TACAGAAGAAACAGATGAAAGAAAGTTGTGTCGTTCGATTGGATGTAGCAGTCATAGTTGAGTGCACATAGTTTTTTACAGCTACCCTCAGTAACGCTTCACTGCGCCATGCTCCTGGTGAGATGTCACGACGACCGCAATGCAACCGAATCTCGAAAATTTCTTGTTCAAATACTTTTATTATTTGGAACGCCTGCGCCTCGGAGCTATGTGGCTTTTATAAGCATAATGATTGTTTTATCATCCGATCACTTTTACCACATAATAACCTGTATCACTATTTAATCTAAAGTAATACAAATATATGATATATAACGCTTTTTGGTCTAATCAAAAAAGCCTCCAAATTTCATTGAACTTAAATTTTATTGAATCTGGCAATAGCAGGAGAAATTGTATTAAAATATTTACCCAAAGGTTATCTGGAAGAGATTGCTTAGTGATGTAACTGCCGTTTGTATCACTTCCCTTGCATTATTTACTATATTCTTCATTTTTGTAATTGGTATAATAAAATGTAATAAATATATAACCCAAATAAATAATGCTGTTTTAGGACTCTACTAAGTAACTCAATTCCGAGATTCATATTCGAATTTCGTACGCACAATGATACGCGTTCATATTGAAATCAGATGGAGAGGAATGCATGATGCTTTATTTGTAGTAAACCCTACCACAAAATGTCTGATTATTCGAAATTATACCGTATTGTTTGATAACATTTCCCTTGTTAGTCGAACTTTAACAACTTATATCTGCAGTTCCGAATATTTGAAATAATTTTCATGATAGTTAGGTGTATTACGTAAAATTATTGGATTTTGTCGTTGTTTAGCTATAGGTGTGACGTAAAAGTCGTGGCCTAGTTTCAAAAAAGATAATTTGTCTTATTTTTCTAATGTCGCTTCAGTTATTGATTTATCAAATTAAAAATAAATAATTATATGAAATCAAATAATTATTATAAAAAATCATCTTGCAATTCAATAAAAGTATTCTTATAGCTCCTTGAATGTTGTAGTAATATAAGTGAAAATAGCTTTGAAACAAGAAGGAAATCTTAAGAGAAGCGGGATTGAGGGTGGACGGGGGGCGCGAGGACGCTGACCCGCGGCCGCTGTGCCTTGTCGTCCCTGTATCCTGAGGCTGGCACTGGACTTATTTCGTTCGACTTGCGTAACATACTTACGTCTGAACAATTTCGATATCTGTCATAGCCACTGGTAAGACTATACCGGTATAGACTATTTTAAGTTTTGTTGTAATTATCACTGAAAATTTTTAAATAAAACTAAGGATGAAATATAATAATAATTAATCGATTTTTTATTTATACTACTATTGGACATCAGTAGACTTTCATATGGTCAGTTTACTAAAATCCGTTAGGTATATTATCGTAAATTTTACCCTTGTGGTGTTGACAAAAAACAGAATAAATTTTAAATATAGAATTAATAATTGATCCAGCCATAGAGTATAAGTATCGTACTTAACAACATAGACTAAGGATAGTTATATAGACCTACCTTCGGTTTTTTTTTATCATGAATTCAGCAAGTATCAAATCTAAGTATGTAATAGATAATAATGAAGATAAAGTCGATAAGATATCGATCTTTTCACATTAAGCACCCATAAAATAAATATTTTTTTATGCAACTTAGAATGGCAAACAAGCTGACTTCTAACTACATAAATATAACTATAATTATTTACGTATACGTAACTACTTACGTACCTACTTATACCTAAGTAATCAATTAATATTATTTACGATAATATGTAAGTGAGTGAGGCCTACACTGATCTCAATAGAAATCCGATCAAGCTATTTACATGCGTCAACAAGCTACCAGAATTAATTATTCATCGCTAATTAGCAGTTTTGTATCGGAGCAAGCAGTCGGCAGATCAGAGCGCCTCGTTATGCCGGAAACAGGAAAAGGGCAATCAACATTCCTAAAAATATCACACATTTGGTGTTCATCCGGCAAGCGACGCGGCGCGGCGCGGCATTCTGGCGCTCGCGACTCGTAGCTCGCGGCACTGTTATGTTATGAGCCCAGTGTGGACTAATTTCATGCCTGCCTATCATAGAGTCTAAATAATACTGACTATTGATTATAGGCAAGTATATTATTAAACACTTTTACGGGATTTAGAGTTTTCAAGATTTTATAACCCGGAAGGATTTTTATTTCTGTGTAGTGAACATACATGTATATATGATTACTGTACTGCAAAATTGTAAAAAATCAGTAAATGGTAGTAAAACTGCAACACCACTAATCTTTATTGAAGTCTATAAGGCAGACCATGTTCAACAGTGGGACAATTAACAGCTGAAATGATAACATTATTTTATGACACTACGACGTTGAATTGCATTCCTTGAAATGCACATTACTTAATATTACAGAAAACTAGTACTTACCCGCGACTTTGTCCGCATGACCGGGAATAAAATATTACTTGACAAAAATAAAAAGTAACCTAAGATGGGCATACTTCTTCGTTTTTTCGTTTAAAATGCTTACCTTACTAATTTACATTTATGATAAAATTTTGTGAAAATCAAGAATCGTTAGAGGAGGATAAAATAAATAAATAATGGACAATAAGGAGATAATTAATGATAATAGAGTTTGTGGCTATATTGCTAGGGATACACTATGCAAACTTGACCTCAACGTGGTCTCCACTGGATCCATTTTGGAACCATCATGGTTATTTCCGAGTGCATTTGTCACGATGAGTTTAAAGGATAAACTCAGGTTGTTTATTGGTCAGATAATCAAGAACGGATCTATCATTATTTATTGGTAATCGAAGGCGTAGTATCTATTTCATTTTCAATACATAAAAACATTAATTAATAATTAAAACTTTACATGACTTGTTATAATAATTGTATCTACATAATTAATATAAAAGTCATGTATTATTATGAAGTAATTAATGAACAGTTGGTAAAAAGTGTTCATAGTTAATACTGTAGCATGTTAAACACACAAATTAGGCAGCTTATCGTACTATTACACTATGTAATAGCTGTTAACCGATAACATCGACCTTACCTATCCACAAAAAAAACGTTCAATATACTTATAATTTTATCGAAATGTCATCGTAATTATTATTTATTGTTGGACATCGCCACTGACATTACAATTCTCGACAAGTGCGTCTAGTACACACCGGTACATAATTAGATAATTTCTATTATTTATATGCGGAGTGGGCCGTGTGCTTCGCATCGAAACGACGTGGCTTCCTTCGTCGGCGCCCTACGTAGAAATCCGACTATGAGTTCCCGCTAAAGAGGATGTAGGCATCGGCAGCAATGATATAATTTACAAAAAGTTCCCGTCGTGACGCTTTCCTGCAGGTGACGCCAGCATATAACTCCCGTTTCCTCAATGCTATGATACGACGTTCATAGTTTTGGCGTACTAATGAGATTACCTAGGTATTCGTGATTTATATCGGTGATTTTTTCACGACTTCTTGCATATTATAAAGTCAAAGAACTAGGTATACACAGGTCCATCGATTGCATTAGGCAATTAAGTATTTAGTTTTAAATCAACTTGCTTATTATACAAATTTACTGTACACCTCATTCCTTACAGTATAGACTACAGATCGTCAAAGTCATACCTCTTCTGTTTTGGCCACTTCCATTAGGACAATGACGTCTCCTTTGAGAGTGAATTCTTCTTCTCATACCGTTTTCTATCAGAGGTTGGTCTTCATTAGGGCTTAGTGTAATATTATTTGTGACAGGGCTATATTTTAAGTTTAGAGTTACGTAGTACGTTATATTACATCTATAGTTTAGAGATTGCCACCCGGAAAGGGGATACTCTCTGGCACTCATACTAAACCAATCTCGGAGAATTTTGTGCCAGCAAATGCGTGTTTAGCCAGATGTCTAACTTTAGTTTAGACTAATTAATCACAATAAAACGTAGTTTATCTCCCTCATCACAAACACTGACACCCTACCCGGTGAATATTTCTATACCTATATGATTCTGGGTATGAACAGTACTAATATATTATACACACATGGTCAACGTCATAGCACGTAGCTTCCCTTTTATGACACTACACTCCTTATGCATATTATATTTTTAGATCAGATATAATAGAAATATTTCCCTTAAGGCTGAAACAACAACCCTTAGATTGCATTGTTTCTGAATTAACACTATTTTAAATATATTTCTGTACCCATTCCATGTCATTTATAAAATGTGCGACTACTAACGCCATCTAACGAAAACTAGGGACAAAATTATAATAAATCTTTTTCTATGTTTATCAAGTACTTACCCATATTATGAAATCATATGTAGCTGACAAATGATTTATCTTTTAAATATTTTGTCAATTATTACACGCAGCTGTTTTTACATTACATAAATATGACGGATTCCTTATGTATAGAATCAGATTCCTGACCCATTCCGCAAATTTCATAAATAGTATACGCGGGATTTGAGTACTATGTTCCTTAAGCGGAATCAAATTTTTACAGGATTGGATTTAGTATAGGGATCTACATCAGTTTCAATTATGTATTGAATAAATTTATTCAAAGCAAACACAATCTGACGTGAGTGAAATAAGTTTATAAGATTGCAATTTGTATTCACATACATTAGTATTCAGAATTTGCAATTGCGTTAAAAATTAAAAAATAATTATAACACCACCACCGAATATTCTTCATACAGTTCATGTCAGACCCCATTTTAATATAAGATCTTTTCGAAATAAAAAAAAATATAAGTGTGGGACTATATCGCTCTTCTCAAAATCTTTGTATCCATTATTTGTATTTGCCATAAATAAGAGCTACAAAGTAAGCTCTATATATAGGTAAATTTAATGGAAACAAAAATTAATGATCCCTCATACAACATTTAAAACTACATTTAATGACAATTCGAATAGTACTGCTAATAATAATAAAATGAAAAAAAAAAGAAATTTATAAACTTTTATTTTAATACTTAAACATAAAAATACTTACACATAAGACATTGTCAACACAAACACAATACGTAATTGACTAATAAACTAATTATAATCATTTTTAGATAGACGCCACTTCTAATTGATATTATTTATATGGAATGTTAATGCTTAAAGTAGTGCATGTATATTTTAACAATTTATCTTTAATTTACAGTAAGTGGCAGTCTCTGTGGGGGGAGAACATTCTTCAATTAAAAAAAATATATTATCCTACAGTACAATGACACATGTTTTTGGAATAAATATAGACATCACATATTTGTTGTACTGCACATTAATCAAATAAACAATTAACATACCTTTAGATAAAATTTTAAAAATATTACATTCACACAGTTTGTGCTTGTACAGGCAATCTAACTTATTTATATTTTATATAAATATTCTTATGGGAAGAGACTGGTGCATAAGTGTGGGATGTTATTCAATTGTTATAATGATCGATGATATAAATATACTTAATATTATGGGACATATAATTTCACTAACAGGACACAACAATTATTTAATTAATTAAATTATTAATTTGTATCGAGAAATGTGCAGACATTTAAAAAAAAACTTGATAAGTTACTGATATATAAAGTTATCACCTGTTTTATAAATTAAAAATATACATATTTCAGAAGAATGAAAATGCATCACAGTTTTAAGGCAAAAGGGGCACTCTTAACTAAACATTTTACATAAGTTAAAATACTCTTTGGACGTATATTTATTATAAAATTGATGTATAAGTACAATTTGTAAATAAATTCATAACACTAGCACCGTGTGCCAAATTTTGTGGAAATTTTAGAATGAAAGGAATTTATTTTTTTGTAAGTAAATTAAACAGTTAAGTGTAGAAAATGCATTAAAAGCAAATGACTAGGAAATGCTTGATTCTATTAGAAACTTCAAACGTAGAAGAGCCGTACTCGCGAAGTCGTAATCAACAAATCACCATCAAAAAATTTCGTTTCTATCACCACATTGCCACTGAAAAATAAAATGAGAACATTGAATAAATTATATATTTCGTTTATACATGATTTATGCAAATTTTATCCGTTAATATGTTACATTTATTTTCATAGTAGCTTTTACCCGCGAATCCATCCGCGTGACGTAAATATATATGTATGTATGAATATGTGTGAATGTATGTGTATACCAAATTTAATAGTAATTAGTAACCCCTAAGGAGCTATAATATAACAAACGCACTTTCACATTTATAATTTTAGTAAAGATTATAATTATAAATCTTTATTAATAAGTAAGGATTTACAGCGCCATCTAGCGCGCCAGTATTACAACAGTAGTACTGCAGTGTAAGGAATAACCAATAGTTCATTATTGTGGATAACACAGGAATATGGAGCACATTACTGTTTAGATGAATCCAATAGGTGACTTAAAATATGCTAACACTTTGATACTAAAAGTTTCACATTTTCATGACTAATTAATTGAAATGGCAAAACAGCTCTTTTAATGAAAAACAGTAACTATTGTCAGATGACCGCTCCAATAGGCATACACTGAACAATTAGCTTGTCATGTAATATTTTACTTACTTTAGTACATTAGCGGGCATCATCTGAGATTCTGGTGCAGATTCTATAACTGACTGCCATGTATTAGTGGAGTTTGGGATCACATAACCAAACTCAAAAAACCACTCTTCTAGACAACGGCCCTTAAATAATACTTTCTGAAATAAAATATAATTTAAAATTTTAATTAAATCAAAATTAGTTAATAACAAAAATGACTAGAAAAATACAAGCATAGCGAAAATAAGCTCATTGTGGAAAGTACTACCTATATTCAGGATTAGGATATAGAAACTAGAAACAAAAAATTATTTGAAAAAATGTCTTAACTTTCATGAGTTAAAATAAAAAGAATTAAATGACTAAAAAAACATTTAAAAACAAGCAGCTCAACTGATTGTATTTAAGCAAAAAGAGAGGAGAGAGCGAGAGAGAGAAGAGGGAGAGATGGGCCAAGGGTAAAAGGAAGAGGAGGATCGAGGGGAGAGGGAGAAAAGGGAAAGAAGAGAGAAAGGAGAGCAAGAATAAAAAGATGGGGAGAGTAGGAAGAGAAAGTTATATGTTACTAATTCTATAATCAACCTGTTCTAGACGAAATCTCTCCATAGATTCAATAGAACTGAAGTTCATCTCACGCGAGACCACACGGCACTTGAGTATACGCTTTGGTACCCGTGCCTCGTGCTCCACATCTGGACTGGACATGTCTTCATTGTGCTGCCACAGTATCTTACCTATAATGCAAATACATTATATTAAAATAGTTGTCAAGTTATTGTGGGTCGATTTAAAAGTATTAGTGATAAGATTTAAATAAGGACTGTTTATATTTCTATATTACAAAATGATTTATACAATACACAACAAATAAGGTACAACACAATTTGTTTATCAAGTACAATTAAACTACATGATATTTCCAAATAGAATAATGTAGAATATATGCAGACTTGTTAAAAATATCCAATTTTATAACTCATATTGTGTATCAATTGCTGTATAGTGAAAACCTGATTTATGCTTCAAAGAACAGTAACATTATTGTCTTGGATAGGTTAGAAAATATGCTTTTTTTTTTTAAATATAGTGAGGTGAGGTGGCATATACATGTATAGCTCACCAGATGGTAAGTGGTTACTATAGCCTGTGACTCCCTACAATATCAGAGGCACTATGTGTGCATTGTCTACCCTATAGAAAACTCTTAACCCTTTCTTTGATAAACCCCATGCTGTAGTGTCTTGAAAACACCTCAATAGGGAATTAATTCTATAATGTGAGCATTCATAGGAGGAGAAGCATTCAGAGATGTTTATCTTTGAAATCACACTGTACGCAACCATGCAGGCTCTAAGATGGGGGTGAACTCCCTATTGGTGGTGAGCTATACAATGATAGAAAGTGACCATGGGCATCATGTTAAACAATTGAGCAGTCCATAGTACAAGCAGTAGAATATGCAAAGGCAAAATCTTTCCGAAGACTTAAGGCTTCACTTCACTTATGGGTGCCGCTTGTAAGCCTGGGATCATTGACAATTGTTATAGCTCGTCACTGCACTGAGTTGAAGCTATATTGCTGTTATAATAACATTTTATCAACTAATAACAATTAATAAAATAACATTCTAATGTGCCAAAATTGAGATTGAGATCATAAATCAATATAACAGACAGTTATCATTCCATTTTTATACATTAATAAAGCCTAGTGTAGATATCATATTGTGATGCCACATGAATAACTAGGTGTTTAATAATATTTAGTTTTTTGCCTACTATTTAATACATGTGGATTTCAGATACAAAAAGACCAATTAGACCAAGTAAACCATAGATACTTAACACAGGTTATTATTTTAACCTATTTAGGAGCCCAGTTTAAAAAGCACAACTACTGTAGCCTTACAAAACTATAATAATATTAGTTAAGAAACTCATTTCATTTCAATTTAAATAGACTAGTTCTAGATGACATATCAAGGAAAAACATACACCAGATTTTAAGATCTTTAAAAATACACCCGTGAGAGCTACGTCTAATTTGGTTTTGTAGTTTTTATATAATATTGGAATAAATATGGTATAGTAACAAACCATTATTCTGTTGACAAAGCATAATTTTACTATATTAGCAAGATTATGTTTCGTCAATAGAATTTCTAGAAATTTTATTCATTGGTTATCAATTTCATTTATAAGACAATAAAAGTATAAAGACTAAAAATAAATTAATCAGTACTAACCTGTATCTGCATCTCGTAAATTCATCCAATTCCTAGAAAATAAATTATACATTAAAAAAAAAATTGATAACATAAAAATAATTTTAACCTAAAAACTAAAAACAGGGAGTAGGTACCCCATGCTATTTAGATTCTTGTAAGCAGATCATAATATATACTTTTTTTTTATGCAACTTAAAATGGTAAACAAGCTGATGGCCTACTTGATGGAAAGTGGTAACCATCGCCTATAGACATGAACAGTACCATGGACAAAAACAGAGTATACCATTTTGCTCATGATACTCCTCATGTGTTGCCATTCCTGAGGACTCAGGTGTTATACCTCTTTACCCTGTAAATTCACTACCATATCCTACCCTTTAAACCGAAACACAAGCATGCAAACAACTGCTTCACAGTAGAAATACAAATGGGACAGAAGTACCTAAGCAAACGACTTTTGTACAAAGTCTCTCTCTCTGGTACATTTTGAATTGTCGTCAATTAATAGTCAACAAGCCTCAATGGAGAGAGGATATACTAGAAATAAGTAGTAGTCCCACTGTTAACAATACACCCTGTTAGGTTGGTTTCCTGCGAAAACCATCATAGTTAATTCTTAGTGAATTCACCAAGATATGCAACTGATCTGAATTTGTCATTACGCATTATCGTTCACTAATACCTCGCCTCACAACATATTGATTGATGTGATATCATCCATAATTTCATTTAAAAACATTGTAGTTGAAAAACTTACACTTGAAAACCATTAAGAATGTTTGTAACACGATCCTGCTTAATTTCTTCATTGGTCATGACTTCGGTCATCTTCGATATGTTTGATATAAATCAGATGAAGTGGTAATTTAAAGTTCAAATAAATACTAAGAAGATATTTATTTTTTAAATAGGTATACAAAGTATTACACTTTATCAATTTATATTGTTGATCAAATTGTTCAAATTTATCCAGTCTTATAAAAAGATTAAGATATATGAAATAAGAATTCCATTTAAAAACTGACGGAATAGATTAGAAATACTAGTGATGGGATTCGAGTTGCTTTTCACTCGAGTGACTCGAGTAGTTTTTATATTACATGCACTCGAGTTAAATTTTTGACGACTCGAGTTTCGAGTGACTCGCGTCGACTTGAATTATGAGTGACACGAGTTCACTCGTACCACTCGAGTGGTTTATACCGAACCGAGTGAGAAATTCAAATTGTGAGAAGTTTACCCGCGGTAGCAGGAAACTTTTAAGAGAGAAAATTCTTCCTGATGCTTATCATGCCGCACGCACTATAATTGTAGATATTCTACATTTAGTTGAATATACGATTGCTACAACAGATTTATAGACTTCTGACAATAATAAAGCATACCTAACTATTACAATACTTATAATTCAAAACTTTTTTCGCAAACTGTTACTACTACTACTAAAGAGGTTACGGAGAAACATTCTTCTATTATTTTAGCAAGTGCTGAAGTCGATATTATCGAAAAAATTGGTCAATTTTTTTTTTAAAGTAGTTATTACACCAATTTCAGTTAAATTTGTTATCTCATTAAAGATACATTATTTTTGTTTTTTTGTTGAGTTTATTTAAGTTTCATTTAAGTTAATTTTAAAACACGTATATTATTACATAAATTGTGTAAGAACATAATAAAACTGTTTGTATTTGGATCTCATGAAAGTTCCTTGTTAGAATAAATTAAATTGGATTAGAACTTATTAGTAGTAGATTATAATATTTTAATTTGACTGATAGTTGATATAAGAGGTTTCTTGATTATGTATGACAGGTTTAGTTTGAAGGAAAATTCTATTTTTTACATTTTGTTTAGATTTTTTTTTTTTTTTTTTGAGAAAATGAATACACATTTTCTATGTAAAATTAATACTGTTTTATTCGTTTTAAAATTTTGGTCACTCGAGTTTTATATTCCGAGTGACTCGAGTCAATAAAAATCACTCGAGTTTTATCTTCACTCGAGTGGCATTCGAGTGAGTAACTTATCAGTACCGAGTGACTCAAGTGAAAAAAAATCACTCGAGTCCCATCACTAAGAAATACCACAGAGAAATACTCTAAACTAAAAATTGAAGTCGTCGGCATAGTATAGTCGCCACAGATAAGGGAGTAGTAGCCACAAACCATTTAGAGACAAGATTGCCAGATGCGATTTTTTCTTATTTAACCAAATATCCAATATTTTTCTAAAAATCAACACGATTTCCTTTACTTTTGTCCAATCACAAACCTATATTGATTTTGACTAGCTTTTGCCATAAATCATTAAACAAACAGCTAAAAAAATCGTTCCATATCTATTCTATGTTCCATTTTCTATTTTACTTCCTTCATTCATACATTTTATATATCGCTATATAGCTTAAAAATACCAACAATGCCAAAAAATTATCAAATCTCTTCAAGACTATTTGTAATTCTTAAAGAATAATCATTGCTCTAAAATTTCGTAAAACGATAATTTTTACCTAAAAAAGTGAAGAAATGCCCAATCTGGCAATACTGCGGAGAGAATTATTAAGAACAACGAAATCTTTGGAGAACTACTAGATAGATAGATAGATAGATATGTCACCACTGTAATGCTCGTTTTTCTTTAGACATAGTCTCTCTAATCTATGCTGTAATGTTAAAACCATTAGGTCATAATTTCATCATAATCACTTAGGTATTAATGTTAAAATAATAGGAAAAGTAAGTTTTATTTGAAATTAAAAAATGTGTGATTTTTATTTTGTATACAATATGAGTAGAATTTTTAATTTATTTTTATTTAATATTTTATTGTACACATTAGTTATAAAAATATGACAGAGGTAAACAAAAGTACAAAGGCGAGCTTAACTCTGATAGAGTTTTCTTCCAGCACACCCAAAGTGGAATGGAGCATCAATGTCAGTGGATACAGCAGTGTACAATTTTTAAACAGGCAAAATTAAATGAATTACATTATATTATTACATTACATTATATAATTGTGATTGCTAATAATATTTCAGATTATAACATAATTTAGACTTTAAATTTAAATTTCTGTACACTAGCCTGCTATGAATTGACAAAAATAGCAACTGATGGTGTATCTTTCGTCTTCTTTTTACTAATTATATTTGCATAAGAAGAAAGAAAGCAACCATCTGATTTACAGTTTTTAATTTAACATTCCTTCTGTGTAGTTTCTTGTTCTTAGATGACTAAAAAATGTTATTAGTAGGATTCTTGACATTTTTTTCTTCTTTATTAATATTGTAAAGTATAGGTAGACTGAGAATGTAAGTTTAGATAGATTTTAATTTGAAAATAATTTGATTCGAATTTTAATTTTACATTTAAATATATAAAATTAATTTTTAATTCAATTATAAACAAACTCTAGAGTAATAATTTGAATTTATTGGTACTGCCGTGTCGGTCCCAGCATAGAATAGACCATCCTTTCCTTTCCTGTGGGTGTCATAAGAAGCGACTAAGGTAACTTATGGCCGAAGGATGGGCAGCAGCGTCCCTCTTAAAACATCACCAAAGTCCTAACTGTGGTTGCCAATCCGCTTGTCAAGTGTAGCAACTGTTGGCAAAACCCCCCAATGGTAAACATTGTAAGGAAATGGCTCCAAGTTCCCGGCAGCTTCACTATTCCTGACCAAGGTAGCGGTCACAATAACGGCGGAGCAAGGGGTGCTAAAAATCTCTGACAGAGATTCTGCTATTAACCAAACCGATTGGACCTGGCAATATACAGGACACAAATATTGAGGATCGATGAGAAGATTCACAATGGGCTTTAGCACTATAAACCACATATATACGCTAAGACAGATTATACAGAAGACCGAAGAGTATAATTCGCCACTATGACTGGCGTTTGTGGACTATGAGAAAGCCATTGATTTGGTCGAGACATGGGCGGTACTACAGTCCCTCCAGCGGTGCCAGATTGACTATAGGTATATGGAAGTATTGAAGTGTATGTACAGTAAGGTTACGATGTCTATTCGAGTACAGAATCAGAGTACGAAACCCATCCCAGTGTAGAAAGGTTTAATACAGGATGACGTCATGTCCCCGAAACTCTTCACAGCTGGTTTGGAAGATGTTTTCAAACTTTTAGATTGGAAAAGATATGGTATAAACATCAATGGCGAATACACCACGCATCTTCGATTTGCCGATGATATAGTAATTATAGCGGAATCCTTGGAGGATCTGAATACTATGCTCAATGACCTCAATGGTGTTTCTCGACAGATAGGTCTTAAGATGAACATGGACAAGACTAAGATCATGTATAACGTCCATGTCACACCTATACCGGTTACGATTGAGAACACTGTGCTCTAAGTTATCGATGAGTATGTACACTTGGGACAAGTTGACCGAATGGGTAACGGAACCGAAACGTGGTCCTACACGATTGCCCGTGTGCAAAAGCTTCAAATTACTCAACGGCCTATGGAGGGGGCTATGCTTGGTGTTTCTTTGCATAATAACGGATTCTTTTATACATGTATAACCAGAATATTTGCAAAAAAAAACCAAAGTAACCGATATAGCTCGAAGGATAAGCAAACTTAAGTGGAATATATATATATATATATATATATATATATATATATATATATATATATATATATATATATATATATATATATATATATATATATATATATATATATATATATATATATATATATATATATATAATTCTCGAAATAACGTTATATGGTAAAACAACGTTTGCCGAGTCAGCTAGTATTTTGAAGTTTATATTAAGGAAAAATAATACATTATAATAAAGAAAGATACAGTTAAGCAAGGTAAAGAAGCATGGGCTGGTCACATGACAACAACCGTTATCGGTCGGAATAAAGGTTCCTAGTCTGACAACCCCTTACAAGCATACTTAATCTAGAATGACCTTCTTCTACCTCTTACATGGAGCGATGTCCTCAAATGTATTGCAGGGAAATAATGGATTCAAATGCTTTATAATCGTTTCTTATACAATTTATGAATGAAGCCTATGTTCAACAGTGAACAGTTAACGGCTGATGTAATGATGATAATAAGGAAAGCTTACTATTACCAATTTATTTTAATCGTGGAACGAGGTTGTTTTATAATTTAACTCTTACTTTTTGTCATATTGGCAACCATACATTTCTGCTGTTCCATAAACTATAAGTATATGACCGTGTATGGTTCAATATAAAATTCAAAATAATGTCATCTGGGGTTTATTAAGATCTGTGATTTAAGTTTCAAAATGGTAGCTTGATTTGGTTGACAGATAGAAGAATAGAAATAATATAAATTAAAGGACATTTTTTTTGCTACTTTTTTATGTTTAATGTTTTATAGTTTACTAATGAAAACATTCATACGAATTAATAATTAACGAATGAGCTTTCTTGTGCTAAAACTTAGTGTATTTATGTTGTTTGTAGCAGAGAGATTTTGTACTGAAAAGCACTTATTTCTATGAACTCGAAAAGCGAAACTGACGAAGCTTCAAGGTATGGTTAATTATAATTATCGGTCTTTTATTTGTCACTAATAATAATATATTTGTGTTTTAATTAATGAAGATCTACGAAATATTTTCACAATCTACTGCGTAATCACGACAATGTTTAGGTTAGGCATTACTTGCTATTTTTGTTCTTTGTTTTCCTATAATATATAAGGTGTAATGAATTGGGTAGTCACGTGTAGTATTATTGCGACTTTATAGGGGGAACGAAGCGTCATCGTCAAAGACTATTTCAACCCCAAACAATTCGGAGGAGCAACCCGCGTCGAGTTTATGTACTACTACAGGTTCAAACAACACCCAGGACATAATGAAGCGAGCTGCCGCTAAACAGTTGATTGAGAGGTATTTCTACCAGTTGCTAGATGGCTGTGGAAACCCAGACTGTGACAATCAATATTGTGCTTCCAGTGGGGAGGTAATGTATACTTGTATTATTCTGTTATTATACTTGACAGATTTAGTAAGCAGTCTAACCATGTGGTTTTATCAAATTAAGTAATTAAAAATAGGCAATAGACACAATATATAATAACAGAATAAATCTTTACAAAAACCTTATTTATTTGTTCATTGTAAGCAGTTAAAATTAATTTTTAGTTTTATCAAAATATCATACTAAAACCTTATGTTCATATAATTAAACAAGTGTATACAATATGTTTTTGTTTACACTTGGTATAATATTTAATAAATAATCCTGATATGTCTTTAAAGATAAGTAGAATACTATTGATTGGTAAATTTAATAACAAACTAAGACATATTATAAATTATTATAAATGTGAAAGGGATTTGGTTTGTACAAACAAACCAATTTTTATTTCTTAGCACCTTAATAGCTTAACTAATCATTATGAAATTTGGTATACATATAGTATATGGGATAGATAAAGATATGTCCTGGTCACGTGGACAAAGTCATGGGTAAATGCTAATAGTAAATATAAGTATGTGGGTGTGGTGCAAATATTTGCTATGAACTCTTATAGACATATTTAAAAAAATAGATTATCATCAGTACAATTCACAATCAGTGATAAACATTTATGATAAAATTATTTTACAATGAAGAAATTAAATAATTTTAAATAATATCAATTAATCAACAACATGAATTGAAATGCAGGCGAGGAACCTGACTCCCAATGAAGCAGCAGCAGAGGCCATAAAGCTGTTCTACAAAGAGGCACGCTTGTGTGACACCCTCCCAAACAAAGTTCCTCGCACTGAAGCCAGCACATGTGATTCTAGTGCCAGGTACGGTCTGTTTCAATTAATGTAAATGAAAATGTAAACAAATGCAAAAATTTACTAGATCATAAGACAATCTGCTGATGTCCAGTAGTAGTACAAAACAAAGACTGATTAATTATTTCAATGTTTCAATTTTTATTTTAGAGTGTTTCTGTGATAATTTCAACAAAATTTAATTGTAACAGATAACAATATTTTGTCAGAAAGTACCTGTTTATATTATCATATATATAAACTATGTAATTTATATGTTTATATATCCACACATTGGTTCAATTTCACATGTTGTATTTAAGACCAATTTAAATTGGTTATGGTGTTCAGAGTAGTACCACTCATTTTTTTTAAATGTTTGTCTAGACTGAAGTATAGTTTAAACTACTCCTCTCCATCCAAAGGTTGCCTGGAAGAGATCACTTTTAGTGTTAAGGCCATCCATTGTTTTCTCAGTGTGAACATTTCTTGAAATTGTATCTATTTATAATAAGTCTACTACTGTAATGTTTTGGAGGAAACAATAAAGAGTATCTATATAGTATTATGTTATCTCTAGGGCAGATATAAATAAAAGTTTACTTGATATAATTAATATAATGTTGCAGCACAACATGTACAGTATCAAATACAAAAGACAAAACAGATAACAAAGAGAACACAATTGGATCTGCTTCATCAAGCACTTCTCTACAACACAGCACTACTAATGAGGCAAAACCAGAAACTAGTCAAAAAGTATCTCAACAAGAGGAACACAAAACAGTTAGTCATAATAGTAAGAACTGATATTTTTTTAATGCTACCCTTTAATATTTAATATAAATATTTTAAAATCTGCTTGTTGTATAAAAAAAAATACTGATATAAACAAATGTTGTATTTGCTACAATGTTAACAGTTGATAAAATGTCTCTGGCTATCCTTGAGTTTGTTTATGACCTTAAGGTCTTAAGGTGATATCTTAACCAATCACTATGAAATTTAGTATACACATATTGGATGAAGAAGGACATAGACAATATTTTGCCGTGGTCAGTGAACATATATTGGCCATATTGACAATGTCTCAGGCAAAAACCATGCACATATGCAGTACCAGGTGCATCACTCGGTTATCTGATTCTTGTGTTCTAGAGATCTTTAACCACATTACCCAGTTTTTATTGCTATATCTGATATTTTAAATTGAAACACAGTTATAAGCTTTTAAATTTGATGGCAGAATTAAACAAAATAACTATTAAAGAGGATTAATTACGTATCCATGCAGAGACTGATGATGTATGGGATAACATGTACATGGGAGTTCCTTACTGTTATAGATATACATAGGTTATGATGAATATCATGTTAATATTTAGGCAATTTAATAATGATTTGGTATCATACATATCATAATTTCCAAATTGTTTTATTTCTGGATATTTAGGGTAGTGCTACAATTGTTTTTATTTAGTTTTCGTCAACTGTTTTATTTTACAATTTCGAAATAAAAATGGTTATGACATTGATTTAAAAATGAGTTTTTATTATGGAAGATACATAATTTTCATAAGCACTCATTTATAAAATAAGCTATATCTTGTTATTTCACTGCAGTATTGCATGTTACAATACATGCAAATTTTTTAATACATGACAACATTAGGCTTTCTTTAGAAATGTTAGAACCTAAATGCGATGCAGGTATCCATAGGCTACAGTTACCATTTACCATCTGTATGCTTGTTTGCTAACTTCAAAATAATACATAAATAAAAGGGTATTATGATATTTATTTTTAAATTAATTTGAATTAATTTATTGTATATTTAATAGGTCATCATGCCTTTTCTCATTATTGTAATAGTCATTAGTAAATGAGCCCTAGTTATGTAATTTTACTGGGCAATTAGTATAATGAAGTACAATCATTAATAAATTATTAATATATTGACCAATTTAATATTGACTCAGAATAATAATAATAATATATATATTAAGCTAATTTTAAACTTGATAGGAGTCAGTAGACTTTGAGTCTCTGCATATATTAAGTGTCAGTCATGAGTCAGAAGATTTTGCTTGTCAACATGTGTGATCAGTGTTTGTCGGATATTAGAAAAAGCTATTCTGCATTGTTTACCTTCAATGACGATTTAGTATTGAATTTATTAGATGGCGCACCACTTACTGAGGAGCGTATTTGTCAACTTTGTGCTGAGTGCCTTCATACATTAAAACCGCAACCCCTGGTCAGAGCATTGGGGGAAGCGTTTACGCAGCCAGCTATACTAGCTAGGTGTTTCCAGAGTAAAGTGTCGGAAGATGATAGTAATAACGATGGCGGGAAAAATAAAGGTAAGTCTAATTAATATGGATTACTTAAAAAACTTGTTTTTATAGTAGAATTAAGTTTTTTTTTTTCTTATTAAATTATCATTAGTTTACTACATTATTCATCAGATCTATAATATTCTCGAAATTTTTATATGTACATAATCATCATATCAGCCTTTAACTGTCCATTGCTGAACATAAGCCTCCCCTTTGAGGTATTTTGCCAGTAGTTACCACGCTTGGCAAGCGAATTGGCAACCACAGTTACGCTTTAGAGATGTTTTAAGAGTGATGCTGCTTCCCATCCCTCACTCTCCCTTAGTCGGCTTTTACGACACCCTCGGGAAAGGAAGAGGTAACCTATTATACACCGGGACCACACGGCCATTTAAACGTATACATAGTATATATAAATATTCCCACTGTAGCTTCACAATACATATACGCAAACATTTTATATATAAACAGGAATCTTCAACTATTTCTTAAAAACAGCAATTTCAATAATTCTAACACTAGATACAAATTCAAATTTACTATTTCGAAGTATTGTTTAGAAAAAGTTAATTATTAATTAATAGATCTTTTATGAGAATTGGCATCAAATGTTATAAGAAGATACCCCAGGCTATTTTATATCTATCTTTTAATAAATTTAAAATTGTTAGTAAAAATACTTATTGGTCAAAGTCTATTATATACTAAACAATTACTTGAATAACAAATGTGCATGGTGTTAGTCGATCATGCACCGGCTTTTTAATGACCAGTTACGCATTTAAATAAATATACATAATGTTAATTGAGATTTAAAAGAGTAACTGTTGAGTTTCTTGCGAGTTCTTAACAGATAACTTTCCGGATCCTACATCAATAAAATAAAAAAAAAAAATACGATTTAAAAGTGCTTGAAAACATGTCCTTTTGAATAAACATGATTTGATTTGAATATGACTTTAAAAAGAAACAAGGTCTTAAACTATTATATTGATTAACAATTCACTATGTAATTATATTAACTATATGTAATACTTTTTCTAAAATATCTTTTAATATGTTTTTTTATTTTTTATCAGGAAATAGATAATATTTCATAGATGAATAAGATAATGTATTGATAGGGCTTATTGGTAGTCCGGATTTGATTTGGCTTTCTGATTTTTAATAATAAGTCTTTATCTCACTCATTGTTACAAAATAAAGTTCGGAATTACTAACTTAGATAAGATTTTACACATCTGTGTTTTGTAGTAGACATACTCCCATGCTTCATGTACCTTTACACTCAATATTGTATGGTCAAAATGCAATACTGACTAGAATCATGCCAATGTATGACAAACAGTTTGGATATCTGGATCCAATTATTACAAAATACATTTACAAATAATTAAATATTCTTGGATATCATTAAAAAGAAATTATTGACTGACGCAAATTAAATTTCTAAGTAAATTATGACCACCACAATGCAAACGATCGACAATAGTATTTGTCTATCCCATTATGAATTATTGTCGTGGGTGTATTTATTATTAACATTATACTGTTAATAATAAATACACCCACAAAAAAAAATAAGAAAAAACTCAAATCAATATCATTATATTATAGTTGTTCTTATACATTAGGATAATTATGTATGTATATGTTACTGTCAAAACTCTTAACCAGTCAAAAGTACTATTGACTAGCAAAATCAATCACAAGTATTTTTGACCGTATGCTTTAGTCAATAATATACTTTTAACTAAAATAACAGTTAAAAATACTTTTGCTCAATGGAGCTGGTTAAAAGTATTTAACTAAGTGATTCCGTCAAAAGTGGTTTTGACTGGTTGTATGAGTGAAAACTCTTAATAAGTCCTAACCTAACTTAAAAAACTAACCTAAAACCGTGCGGTCCCGGCACAAAATAGGCCACCCCTTTCTTTCCCATGGGTGTCGTAAGAGGCGACTAATGGAGGGTTAGAGATGAACATCAGCGTCCCTCTTAAAACATCTCTAAAACCTAACTGCGGTTGCTAATCCACCTGCCAAGTGTGGCAACCACTGGGGAGGGTCCCCAAGAAGGACGTTTATGTTCAGTAGTGGGCACTTAAAGGCTGACATGATGATGATGATGATGATTATAAATTATTTAGTTTGCTCAATGGGTGCTTATATATTACGCTGTGGATAACTGTAATTAGCAAGCATTTAGTGTTTAATATATAATTATGTAAAACACTGTTATTATCCCAAATAAATTAAATTAATAAATATAAATGAATGATTTTTTTTTTTCAGAAAAAGAATCCAAAGCAATGTGTTCATCTAGTGACCCAGACAAAGATGTAGATAGTGTCACAGGGCCAGGCTTGGACGTAGCGTCATGTCGCAGAGCCTTCGAGTATCTAGCTAAAGTAAGTTTTATCTATTACTAGTTAGTTACCTGTCTCGGCTTCGCACGGGTGCAATGTAGTAATAAATGTGGTGTCAGTTTGGTGCTAGTGTCTGTATTAAAGGATGTAACGTTTGAAGCTGTTTTTTCATCAGGCAATACAAACATGTTTTCTTTAAAGAAAAGGTCACCTATAGACATGAGCAGTACCATAGACATAACAGACATTATAGATTATACTCTTTGGCCCATGATACCCCCCATGCGTTGCCATTCCTGAGGACTCAGGTGTTATTCCTGTGTAACCTGTAAATTCACTGCTATATGCAATATTCCACCCTTCAAACCGAAACACATCTATGCAAACACAACTGCTTCACAGTAGAAACACGAATGGGACAGAGGTACCAAGCAAACGACTTTTGTACAGTCTCCCTCTGGTTGGTCACTAAACAAAATTAGACACAAAATATTACATGACGCTGGAAAAAATAAAATATTTTATAATAATACGTGTTCCAATATTTAAAAATGCATTAATCAACAGGTGCCATCAGAATACTACAGCTCGGCCCTTGTGACTGCATTAACTACACTTGCTGAAAACCTCGAAATAGATCTAAGGATAACTAAAAAGATGAGTATGGAGGACGCCGTGAATTGTTTTGTGATCGCATTTGAAGTGCCGGATCTCGGGTGTAGCGACTACTTGGAGATTGCACTGCCAGCGCTCTGTCACGCAGCTGAGCACTTGTCAGTTAAAGGTAAAGGTATTTTTTTAGCCTGAACGATTCTTTTTGTTGCAATCTGAGATTTTTAAGTTGATAGCGAATAAGTATTTTCTGGGTACGCATTAGGTTAGTGATAAGCTCTGTCCTAGGTTTTATTATCACTTACAATCAGATGAGGTAAGATCAAGCGCAGACCCTTTTTGTAATTAGAAAATACCTATAAAAAAGTATATTTTGTTAGAGTTGGAGCTGGATACCTACCTAGTCAGGAATATATATATACATGGAAAGAAAGACCAGCATGAAGCTACCAGAGGAAGAATTTGTACAAAAGTCGATTGCTTGGGTACCTCTGTTCCATTCGTGTTTCAACCGTAAAGCAGTTGTGTTTGCATGGCTGTGTTTCGGTTTGAAGGGTGGGATATGGCGTGAATTTACAGGGTACAGAGGAATAACACCTGAGTCCTCAGGAATGGCAACACAGGAGGTATCATGGGCGAAACAGTATACTCTGTTATGTCCATGGTACAGCTTATGTCTATAGGCGACGGTTACCACTTTCCATCAGGTGCGTCGCCAGCTTGTTTGCCATTCTAAGTTGTATAGAAAAAAGCTAGTAGCGCTTGTACTAACCACAATAGATCTAGTTCTTAATCCAAGTAATTTGAAAATTTATTTATAAGAAACACAACAGACACTAAATACACGAAACACTATATCGCACTATTATATTAAAATGTTATATAAATTCTAAAGACATTATTTTTAGACAAAAGTCAATTCATAAAACATGACAATTATTAAGGTTACTAGGCAATAAAAATTGTTTCTTTCTATTTTCAAATTTCACTAAAGAGTTTATTAATACACAGTTTGCAGCTTAACATATTTTACATCCATTATGTATGTAAAATATTGATTCATGTATATTAAATTAAATAATAATAATACATAAAAAAAAATCCATTTCAACTTTTTCTACTTTTTAGGACAGTGGATTCTGTTCCCTTAGATAAGGTACAAACGAATCTATAGATAGAATTGCTTCGCACGTCATTATTTCATTTTACCTCATGAACTTGCTAGCGATAACGATTCTACCTATAGATTCGTTTGTAGTTTGTTTAGGGTTCTAGAAAATAAAGTTTTGAATAATTTGTTCAATGTTTTGTTTTTACAGCTCAAGCAAAACTTGCGCGTATATGGGCACAACACTGTAAGGAGAGCTTGCGGCATATATTAGAAACATTACAACAACTTATAACGCTGCGGGTTATTTCCACTAACTACACCAACCATTTTACAGTACAGGATGATGAAAGCGTCACCATGGCAACTAAATTAATGAAAGTAAGTACTTTTCACGAAAAAAATCCCTTGAACTAATTGATTGATTTAATGTTTTCTCAATAAAAGTCTAACTGAATTATAATTTCGTTATATTTCCATTATTCATCTTAAAAGAACCTAATTTATAAAATTAATGAAATGTTTTATTTATTGTTGTAAATATGTTTGTCTATTTAACAACTAGAAGGTGGCTCTTTACGAGATGTTCAGGGTTTTATTTATTGTATTTCACAGATAGTGTACTATGCAAATATGCTAGCCGGTGTTATGGAGTCAAACACGTTGAGAGAGGAACCCATAGTGATAGCAAATCAATTGGACCCACTAGGCGATGTTATAGAACATTTGTTCCCGCCCATGAAGAGCTCAAAACACTCACAGCCCGACGATCCATTAGGTAAGAGAAAAACAAAAACATAATTTGTACAAATTTTTAATAACTGTATTATTTTTTATTAACTGCGCTGGTAGAAGTGAATAAATAAATATTATTAGAGAAGCTTATCAATGTAATTTCCTTAATAAGACATGTACAAAGTGTCAATTGAGTAAAAAACAAAAGAGTTATAAACATTCAAAATAAAAAAAATATAAAATCTAAAAAGGTAAAGTTATGTAAAATGTAAAAGTCGCCAACATTTTTATTTATTTATATGAACGAATGAATGAATTTACATATAGTCCTATATACATTGTTGAGGCTACACTGGTTTTAGCTGGCAGTGTCGTTAATATGCCTTTTAACAGTAGGCATGAAAGTGTTTCAACTTTTACGTAACATATCAATAATAAGTGTTACGCAAACACAACAATTATGATATTGTGTTTTAAATAATATTATGTAATCAATGTTCATTGTACACTTTAACAATTAAAGTAATGTAAATAATTTAAATTTTTTTGAACTTGGAATGGCAAACAATCTGATGGGCCATCTGATGGAAATTCGTAACCGTTGTCTGTACTATTCGTGTTTCAACCGTGAAGCAGTTGTGTTTGCATGGCTGTGTTTCGGTTTGAAGGGTGGGATAAGGCGTGAATTTACTGGGTACAGAGGAATAACACCTGAGTCCTCAGGAATGGCAACGCATGGGGGATATCATGGGCGAAACAGTATACTCTCTTATGTCCATGGTACTGCTCATGTCTATAGGTGACGGTTACCACTTTCCATCATGTGGGCCGTCAGCTTGTTTGCAATTCTAAGTTGTATAAAAAAAAAACACAGAATACACTAATGTGTACAATAGCCTTCTTATATTGCCATTTCTGAAGACGAAGGTAAGGTAATGAGGCATAACGATGTTTCACAAGTTAGACAGACATAGGACGACATTTGTATAAAATCTAAATAAATATATTTCAATATTTTTTTTATAATATCTCTAATTTATTAATTTGTATGTATTTTGTTACAGCTATTGAATTAGATATAAATGTGTTAGATGCTAGAAAACCATACTTGCCATTCGAGGAATTTTACAACGAACCTCTTAGTGATACTATAGAAATGGAAATAGATTTTGCAAATTATAAATCTGAAATAAATAACGGTAAGAAATTTGTATTGCTATTATAAATGCTTTTATTTTTCTTGTGAATGTTAATTTTGTGTTTTATAGTGTATAGGAAAAATCGATCAAACAATAATGATTACTAGCTAATCCTATTGATGTTGTTCTGTCAAATGTTAAGACGTCAATATTTGTTTGAAAATTTGAATTGGCAGCTGTACATATGTACATATATATGTGTCACGCCTTAGGGTAGGCCGAAACAACATTGAGTTCTAATTATGTATTATTCAATTCAATGTAAAACAAACAAGCAAACATAAGCAAACCACAGTCCCCACAAGCAGCACCCGTTGAAAAGTATGACGGATGAGCCAAACAACATTGCGCTATCATATTTTAGGGAGCTCGATGACCCGGCCTACCTCGCCGCCACCTGTCTGGACCTTATAGTAAACATGACTTGCTTCAAGTTATCTGACTACGTACGACTAGTATACTTTTGTATTTAGATTTGTTATTGAATTCATTATCTAGATTTTTACCTTTATTGGAAAATAGAGATAAATAGAAGAAGAAAACTTTTTACCCTGTTTATCTATCTCGCTCTAACATATATGCTATGTTTTTTTCCCTTTTTCATTACGAATACCGTACACAGGTAAGAAGTTCACGTTCCTAAAGTACCCGTTCATCCTGACGACGGCGAGCAAATCGCTGGGGCTGTACTATGAGAACCGCATCCGGATGCACTCGGAGCGGCGCGTGTCGATGTTCCACGCGGTGGTGGGCGCGGTGCCGCCCATGCCCTTCCTGCGGCTCAAGGTGCGGCGCTCGCACATCATCGATGACGCGCTCGTTGAGGTCAGTACGCACGGTCGGACGATCATTTAATACTTGCTATAATAGTATAAATGTACATTCACATTTAATGTAAGTATTTGTGTTACTTCTTTTTTTTTTGATCGCTGAAAATGGTATGGTAACCCCGCCTGTGTTAACGGTATACCCTGGCGGAGCACCAGTGAAGGGTAATAGATGAGAATTAAAACAGGCCAGTTAGCCCATCCTGATGAATTCATCAGAAATTAATCATGATAGTTTCCATGGAAAACCGCGAGGAGGTCGACCTGGTTGGGTATATTGCTAGCAATGGGATTCTTAGTCTCCATTACTAACAATCCCTTTCCCCCTGTGTCACCTCTTAGCGCCTTAACGGCTTAACCGATCATTATGAAATTTGAAATACACACTATATGACATTGAGATTCCCATGTGGTCCCGCCATAGAAAAGGCTACCCCTTCCTTTCCCATGGGTGCCGTAAAAGGTGGTTAAGGAAGAGTAAGGGATGGGCAGCAGCGTCCCGCTTAAAACATCAATCTACCTGCCAAGCGTGGCAATTACAGGCAGAGTTTCCCTCGGAGGGGGCTTATGTTAAGTTGTGGACAGATAAAAGTTGATATTATGATACTTAATAGCATTGAGAAGGACATAGGCTAGTTTTTATCATGGTTAGTAAATATATTATATCTCGGTTACGTAGACGAAGTCGCCGGTAAAAGCCCGTATAGTATTAAAAACGCAAAAGTCTGTGAGGATGCATGTTTGAGGCTTATTAAAGAGTTTTTTAAAAGTGGTTTCTAAAAAATTTATCAATATTTTAAATGTTATTGTAAGGTACAGGTGAATAAATAAAAAAATTGTCATTAGATGTTGATTCTTAATTATTGGTACTGTAACGAGGAAATATTTTAATACCGATACGTCCATGTAAATTTTTTTTATACAACTTAGAATGGCAAACAATCTGACGGCCCACCTGATGGAAAGTGGTAACTGTCGCCTATAGACATGAGCAGTACCATGGACATAACAGAGTATACTGTTTCGTCCATGATACCCCCCATGCGTTGCCATTCCTGAGGACTCAGGTGTTATTCCTCTGTACCCAGTAAATTCACGCCATATCCCACCCTTTAAATCGAAACACAGCCATGCAAACACAACTGCTTCACGGTTGAAACACGAATGGGACAGAGGTACCCAAGCATTCGACTTTTGTACAAAGTCTCCCTCTGGTAAGAGGTAATTCTCCCTCTGGTAATTTTTGTACATATATAATTATAAAAACACTTGCCAATATATTTTATTTTACAGTTAGAAATGGTAGCAATGGAACGAGTATTGGATCTAAAGAAACAGTTGGTGGTCGAGTTTGAAGGAGAACAAGGGGTCGACGAGGGCGGCGTGAGTAAAGAATTCTTTCAACTCATCGTCGAGGAGATATTCAATCCCGATTACGGAATGTTCACACATCAAGCGGATACCAATACTGTGTGGTAAGTAAATATTAAGTACAGTGAACATCAAAAGTCAATAAACATTTGTAAATATTCAAAATCTGTAAAGACTGTTGCTTATATATGTATTTTAAAAGGATATGTGGCACAATGTGTGAAATGGATGAATTATACAAATGAAGTTAGAATTAAAAATATACAATGGTGTATGCTACGAAGTTAAGAGGTTATGAAAATCTTAAATCAACTTTTGATGCTGTTTTTTTTTATACAACTTAGAAAGGCAAACAAGCTGACGGCCCACCTGATGGAAAGTGGTAACCGTCGCCTATAGACATGAGCAGTACCATGGACATAACAGAGTATACTGTTTCGCCCATGATACGTTACGTTACGTTGCTATTCCTGAGGACTCTGAGGAGATGTTATTCCTCTGTACCCAGTAAATTCACGCCATATCCCACCCTTCAAACCGAAACACTGCCTTGCAAACACACTTTTTTACCACTGAGATGGCAAGCAAGTTGCCCACCTGTAATCGGTTACCGTAGCCTACGAACACCTGCCATACCAGGGCCTGCAATAAATGTTGACCATATTACAAATCATATCAATTGCCAGTTGTCATAGACAAGTAGTAAAAAAATCGATCAATACATTTTGTATGTAAACGAGCGAAAGAGAACGATATCGTATATTGCTGTCTCGTTCTATCTCATGCATATGGACGCGATATCGTATTTATCGATAGAGTCGCTTGCCATTTGTTGAGGAGATAAGTTATAATATGAAGGAATGTGCTTCAATAAAACATTTTTTTTTTCAGGTTTAATCCCACATCGTTTGAAACGGAGGCTCAGTTTACACTAATAGGCATAGTTTTAGGTTTAGCGATATACAATAATATTATTCTAGCCGTAGATTTTCCCATGGTTGTGTATAGAAAACTTATGGGGAAGAAAGGTTCCTTTGAAGATTTGGCAGATTGGAATTCGGTAAGTTTTCTCAAATTAATATTGTTAACTACATATTTCTTGCCATTGCGCTTTGTTTATATCTTTGCGACTTAGAGAGCTAATGGTGGAGGGACGGGCAGTAGCATCCCTCTTTAAACATCACTAAAGCCTAACTGCGGTTGTTAACCCGCTTGTCAAGCGTAGCAACTACTAGCAAATCCCTCCAAGGGGGAGGTGTATGTTTACCAGTGAACAATTACCAACTGATATGTTGATAAAATATTGCACTTGACGTATTGTTATATTAATGATATTATTTTATTTTTTTATGAAAATAACAAATACATTTATATACTTTCAGACTTTATATAGAGGTTTAAAAGATATGCTAGAGTATACTGGAGATGATTTAGAAGAGGTGTACTATCAGACATTTAGGATATGCCATCAAGATGTGTTCGGTAACAATATATTCCATGATTTAAAGGAGAATGGCGACAGCATATTTGTAACACAGGAAAACAAAAAAGTGAGTATTTGTCATACTAGACTGTCTACTTGCCCTTCATTTGCCCGAGACAAAAAAAAAACAATGTTTAAGAAACTTACACATGGCTCTACATACCATAGAGTTCTAATTTAGTGTACATATTTTTATAGCGCCCTTACCATTGCCTCTTTAAAAAAATATCTACTTCAGTTCATTACAGTAATAGAATAAAACACTGAATATTTATTTAGTTCTAATTTTAAAATTCTTAAATAAAGGACAGTAAGTAAATAAACAGTTGTGTAGATCCTGGCATAGAATAGCTACACCTTCCTTTCCCGTGAGTGTTGTAAGAGGCGACTAAGGGAGCTATGGGCAAGGGATGGGCAGCAGCGTTCCTCTTAAAACATCACCAAAAGCCAAACTGCGGTTGGTAACCCGCCTGCCAAGCGTTGCAAATATTGGCAAAATTTCCCTTATGAGAAAGGCTATGTGCAGCAGTAGACAGTTAACAGCTTATCCACAAGTAAATAAATGCAATTATTATTGTCTATTCCAGGAATTTGTTGATTTATATGCCGACTTCCTTCTGAACAAGTCTGTAGAAACACAGTTCAAAGCGTTCCGGCGCGGTTTCGTTATGGTGACTGACGAGAGTCCACTCTCGGTGCTGTTCAGGCCGGAAGAGGTGGAGACTCTAGTTTGTGGCAGCAAGGTCAGTTAGATGTATTTATGTACTAGAATATAGTGGCAAACTTGTCACTTCAAGTTTATGCATATTAATTGACAGATGTAATGCTCGAAAATAAAAAAAAAATATGTATATCCCCCGTATACAAAATTTTTTAACAGTAATAATTTTGTTTTGAACTAAATTCAATTGCAAAAAATAAAATGTTCAAAATTAACGAAAATATTGCATAATACAGACAACAATTCATGTTGAATTTCCTTTTTTAAGTTTATTTATAAAATTGTGAACACGTTTAAAGATTTATAATCGCAAATGTCACTTCACAGAACTTCGACTTCAAAGAGTTGGAGAAATCGACAGAGTACGACGGCGGGTACACGGCCGAGTCGCGGATCATCAAGCAATTCTGGAATGTCGTGCACGGACTCGCTCGCGAGCACAAGCGCAAACTCCTCGAGTTCGCCACCGGCTCCGACCGAGTGCCCGTCGGCGGCCTGAGCTACCTCAAGCTAGTCATAGCCCGCAACGGACCCGACTGCGACCGCCTGCCCACCGCACACACCTGCTTCAACGTGCTCCTCTTACCCGAGTACGATTCCCAGGAGAAACTCCAGGATAGGCTCATGAAGGCCATTAGTTATTCCAAGGGCTTCGGTATGCTCTAACCATAGCGCCCGCGCGCTCGTATTGTAAAAAGCCATGACATCCCTGGTGTCTTTGTAATAATAAAAGTTTGTTCTATTTATATAGTATCGGAGTTTTATTTATAAATTAAAGCGACGTATTGAGTTATATGGTTTATTTATATTATACAATTCAATAGGATATTAAAATTAGTGTATAAATATCGATGAAAATAATACCCAAAACATTAGGAACTTTTTACCGCTAAGAACTGTTTAAAGCTCTATTGCTAAACATTGTTTGTAATGACTATATTACAATTATATTTTCATAAATTAGTAATGGATTTGTTGTTATATTACATTTTCATATTATTTACAGAAACACAAGCACATATGGATGATGCTAGTTTACTCACTAGATTGTTCGTATTTATATTTAGTTCAGGGAAGGGAAAATCAGGCGACTGGCCAGGGTATCAGATCCGTGATGTAAATAGATAAAAATTTTGAAAGCATGTTCATCTCTCAAATAGGTATAAGAGGAATAATAGAACGTACAAATTATAAATGTGCTAAGTTAAGCTCTGCAGGGCTTAACTTAGCACATTTAACTTAGCTGACAAGAGTCGAATTTATTTGTTAGGATATATTTACGTCACTGTACGCATGAAAAAGAACGAGATGTTGAACGTGCTCTTTCTATATCATGTCTATGATAGCGTAAACATGTAAATTAATCAAACTACGTTGCGTGGATAACAAGTGGATTCTAAAGGGCTATGTTTATTATATAAATAATAATAGTTAAAGTGATCATGACACGCGTGGATGGAATTCGTTATTCTTCCTCTGGATGAACGTACAGTATTCGAGCGTCAAAATATTAAGGATTATTTTAAATTGTTCTATATGTATTAATTTCTTCTTTGAACTAGTCTTAATCAGGAATAGAAAAGATTATTTTACCTGTTTAGGAGGCTAGTGTTTGGTAAAATGATTCATTTGTTACTTCAGAGGGAGAGTGATTACGGGCGAGATACATCAGGCGAGGATTTTGTGGGGCGCGACGGCTTTTAGCCGCAGGTCGTGCACTACGAGCGGGAACGGGCGGCGGCACGGTGGCGACGGCGCCCGTGGTGGCGACGATGCACACGCTGATGCACGCCGCTTCTGGAGTCTACAACACAAACATACTTGTAGGTGGTAAATAGACTAAGATTGAATTAGTTTGCAAATAACTCTGAGCTGACTTTGGGCAAATTGATTTCTTATTCTACGACTGCATTTCGTCCCAGCTCAGTTACTTTTGCAAATATCAAGCATTCGTCGCTTTAAAGCGGTAGATATACTATCGGACGCGTCCTTCAGCCACAGACACAGATTAGAGAGACTATGTTTGCCATGGTTGATGGACGCGATCTGGACAGTATATTTACGTTAAACAGTGCATACTAGCGGTCGTTATGTGACATGGCAGTCGCCAACACGACCTTGGACGATAGAACATGCGACGACAACTTGTCGCGCAGGATGTTTTACAAACACACACACACACACGCACAAGCACACACACACACACACACATGCGTATGTCACAGGCACATACAAACACACATTAATTAAGGAAAGACGGACGAATATAAGAAGATATATATCACCGTGCGCACTTTTCGCGTCTATTACTTATGGTAGACAGATACATCAGATATAATATACTTGCGGCTTCACTTGAAGATTTGTATGTCGTACTTACCTGTGCCTCGCGTCGCAAGTGCAGGCGGCAGCAGAGTGCGCAGCGGCAGCGGCTTGTCGGCGCAAGTGTCGCGAGCACACGCGTTTCAACTCGTTGTCATGCTGATACTCGTGGCAGTGCTCTTGTTCGCATTCGTGCTCGTGCTCATGCTCGAGCGCACAGCCGTGGCCCACGCACGCAGGTGCACTACCACGTCGCGACGACCGTGACAGCGATGCATACGTCGGTGCCGCTACACGCTCCAACTTCGTACAGTTTTACAAATTTTATTAACATTAAAGTCATGTTACTAGTCTCTTTCAATGATATTGAAACTGTTTCGAAAAATTTAATTTAAAAAATATTTCTTCCAATATAAATGTGGCTGAGTAGACTTAGGTACCTATTTACCTAGGTATCTTATTACGTTAGGTACAAACACCAATCAAGTAATAAGTATCAGAAATAGTTTTAAACAGTTTAGTACTTCCTTTACGTAAACTAGCGATATAAGTAAATCTATACTGTAGATACATAAAATAGTCCTTCGAGCCGGATACTAATTCTGACGTTACATGACAATGGTTTTAATTACACCTGTAGATATATCCATGTAGTATTTTTCAGAAATTTCCGATATCAGTTGAACTATTTGCAAATACCTCAAATCCATTGGCTTTTTTCCGGCGCCGTAGTGGAGTGGCCGCCGTTTCACGTTTGCGTCGTGTCGACGGCGGTTGCTGTGATGGTCCGAAGAGACCGCGCTCCTCCGCCACACGGATCATATACTTAGCGTCGAGCCGGGTGATCTCCTGCGGTCAACCTACCGTTGTGTTACTTAACTAAGCACGATTACACCTAAGTCGTTTAAATGACAACCTAAATCTGATCCGTAAAGGCTACATAATAGGTACTTACTGTATTTTATAAATATGTTTAAATTTAACTACTAACCTTTCTTTGAATTAGACCGAGGTAGCAACCGTCTCTATCCAGAATGTAATTAATATCCAGTCCGTTCCCCAGATTTGGCAGATTCCTTATTTCAAATAAATCACAGCTTGGCACCTACATAGATACAGTAAGACATACAGACATAGTACTCGTAATTATAGTAAAATTTTTTATTGAATTTAAAATAATTAGTATTTTCATTTCTCACTTTATATTATAATAACTTACATATACATCAGGATTATCTTTGTCCGGGTCTCTTGGAAATTGGTCATTGTCTATCATTTCGGGAATAGGTCTTGTTCTAGTAGTGCCCGGTCTAGAGGCCACGTCTACATTGTTTGCTTGTTTCTTTAGTACCGTATCATCATTTATCTCTGTTTTTGTTCTGGTTGTAGAAGGTGGAGAATCTGATGGAGGTCTCTTGGAGGATGAAGTATCATCTTGGCCGTCTTTATCTAAGTCCGATCGAGATAACGTATTCTCCAAAGTAGTTGATGAATCGACAGCTTCAACGTCTTTCTTTGGACTCTGCATGAAAAAAAAAGGTATAGAGTATAATTACATACTATAGATATTGTTAGGTGTATTATATAGTGAACAGGAGTTAATATATGTTATGATAAAAAAAAAAGAAGCATAGATCTGCATGTAGTTAACCAGTTTTTTATTAATTGATTTCAAATTATGTATGATCTGAAATCTAGCTACATAACACCGTAAATAGTATAAGAGACAGATAAATTTGAGTACCTACTTATATATTTTTATACCTACATTTCATCTTTCGTCTACTTTAACATTTACTTCCTTTATCATCTCATTCATCCCGCAATCTAGTTTCAATCTATCGAATTAGTAGAAGAATTAGTAGATCAGGTAGATTCGTCCTCAGCAAAATATTCTGTTTATGCTTTATAATAATTATTTGTGACAATTTATTTGAATCTGATTAGGTATATTTGCACTCACATGTGGACGTTCTTTGTTCTTCTTTTTAAGCAACGTATGTCGTTCTCTCGCGAGACGATTTGCTTCGGCGACGGCTCTTGTCACTTGCGCTTGGTTCTCCGCCTCTAAAGCTGAATGTGTTTCATACAGTACCAACTGAATCTGAAATATCAAATAGAGAGATATTTTTCTGAATATTTAGCACACATATAACAATAAAAAAAAAATAGATAAAAGAACAAGATACAATAATAAGATACATGACCAAAAAAAAAAAAACTGTTATTTTTGCCGATACGACCCCAAAACATGTTTATATTGCTTAAACTAGGATGTTATTTAAACAGCATATAGTTAATATTGATAAGTTCCAAAGACGGCAATGCGCATGTGACTTTTGATGCTATAAGCCTCCATAGATTGCAATAGCCGTTTATAATTAGATGGAACTCTTTGGTTATAATTTTTGTAACATAATTATAAAATTGAAACTTACTTGAGGTTTAGATAACAGAACTTTAAGTGTCTTTTTTTGTTCTTCAAGGATAGATTGTACTCGAGCTTTGCCTTGGGCATCTATCTCGGACTCTGTCAAGACCTGTAACCATATAATATTGGATAATCCTTCCTCCTCTCACAGAAATCTTTTATTTGAATCTGTTCGTCATTAATTTTTCTTGAGGAGATAAAAAGTTGTTCTCGCTGGACTAGTTCTCAGGAATGCCAATGGATGAGGTGGTGGTCAATATCAGTGTATTTCATGAATTGGCATTCAAAGAATAGTCTTTAGACAAGATATTGTTATCTTGTCTATAGGCGACGTTTATTGCTTTCCATCAGTTGGGCCATCAATTTGTTTGCTATTGTAGGTATCATAAAAAAATTACCAAAATTGGTTCTTAACATTCATGATGGAGATTCTTCTCTTTTGGATGCAAAAGTAGCGGCTTTCTTGTTTTCTCTTATTGACGAGGATAAATCGGTTTAGTACATGCAAGTTATCGGGACGAATTTATTAGGAATAAACTACGATGGTTTCCGGGAACCGCTTAAAGGTTGACTTAACAAAGTGCATTCTTTGCAATCCCTCTATCTCTTTAACCCCTACCGCAAAAAAAGTGGTGTTATAAGTTTTTGGTGTCTTTATGTATGTCTGTGGCATCCGTAGCTCCTAAACAAATGGGTCGATTATAATGCGGTTTTAAGTTTGAAATCTGGCTTGATCGAGAGGATTTTTAACTACAATTTATGAAGATCTGTTCAGGAGTATTAAGAGCTTCAGTTCGGGGGTTACTTAAAATTTTTAATTTTATTATATTATTTTTAATGTGACGAAAATGGGTATGGTAACTTCGCTGCGCTATCAGTATTCACTGGTGGAGCACAAGTGAAGGATGAAGTCAAGTTAGTTGGTATATCGCAACAACTTAACTACGAATGTTTTTGATTCATATCCCGCGGAAGGCGAACTTATGGTTATACTGCTAGCAATGGGAATTGACTTCATTACTAACAATCTTTTCCGCCCTTTTTGCACTTTCTTTTAATGGATCATGATGAAATGGTAACCCCACCTGCGCTATCGGTATACACCGGCGGGCCACCAGTGGGGGATGATAAGTGAAAATGAAAGATCAGGTCAGTTAGTCTATCGTGATAAATACACCTGGAATTCAGCACGATTGTTTCCAGGAGGGACCACGTGGAGGTCGACCTGACCCGGTATATTGCTAGCAATGGGACTGGTAGTCCGCATTACTAACAATCCCTCCGCTCCCGCTTTCTTTACACTGTCGTTATACAACACTCACCTCAAGCATGGCTAAATCGCCACCTCGTCCGCAGACCAGATCAATGGGGTCAGTGACCGCGGAGTAGGAGTTGGGCGGCGTGGCGAGCGCGGCCACGACGCCGTCGAGTGCGCTGGCCACAGACGGTGTGTCGCAGTGGACCGCCTCGCTTAGCACGCGTACCGCCGCACCCGAATGCAGTAGCTCGGACGCTTCTATACCGAGCTCTCGAAGTGCACACACGTAGCTCTCCACTCTACAGGGTTAAAATCTTTAGCATCCTCTTTAACAATGAAACTATATAGTTACTCTTATGGAGTACCAATTATTACAAAATTATTTTTTCTAATCAATTCATATTAACCTACTACTGGGTATAGGCTATCTTTTAGGCATCATTCCGACACAATAATAGTTATCGTCCCTTACTGACCGCCCACATTTTAAATTTAAATATTTTCGACGTATATAAGGTATCACAAATATCTCATCTTTCATCACAATTGAAGTATTTTTTTTTCAAAGCATATTGTAGGTAACTCGCACGTAATGCCCATGATATTGCAGGTGTTCATAGGCTACGGTAACTGCATACGGTACATAAGGTGGGCCATATGCTTGCTTGCCTTTCTAAGTACCATAAAAAATATAGTAGGTACTCCGTAGCAAAAAAAAGGTATGCTCACTTATCCCCAGCGCCGAATACGACCAATTTGCCCAACTCGGGGGTAGCTGGTGCGGTAGGCAACGTGGCTTTTAACACAGCAGCTAGCTCCCGAAGCTGCGCAGCCAGGTACGCTGAACACCGAGGTGACGACGCATGCGTCTGGGCCACAACTCCACGCAACGAATTTGCTCGAAGAGCCCTGCACAGCGTCGATGCACCCTCGCAGAATTCACGTTCCTAATCAATTATTTAGTAATTAAATATTACGATCAAATTTATTTATTCTCAAGATGTAGGTAACAGCAGCTTTTCAGAACGATCATGATGTGCCATAATACTAGACGGAAATAAAATCCGTGGTCGTGTGGTCCTGGCAAAGAATAAGCCACCCTCTCCTTTCCTGTAAGTGTCGTAAGAGACGACTAAGGGAGAGTGTGGGCGTCCCTCTTAAAACACCTCTAAAGCCTAACTGCTGTTACCCCAAAAGGGCAAAACCTCTGAAGGGAGAGGCTTATGTTTTTTTTTTTACAACACAGGGGGCAAACGAGCATGCGGCTCACCTGATGGTAAATGACTACCGCCGCCCATGGTCACCCACAACACCTACGGCATTGCAGGTGTGCTGCCGGCATGTTCAGCAGTGGATAGTTAATATGATGATAATGACGAAATAAAGTCAGATATGTAATGCATTGTGGACGCCATATGGTCTCGGCATAGAATGGGCCACCACTTCCTTTCCCGTGGATGTCATAAGTGGCGACTAAAGGAGGGCGAGGGATGGGCAGCAACGTGCCTCTAAAAAGCCTCTTTAAATTTAATATTTTAAATGTGTACTAAATAGAGAAATAGTATTTGCACCTAAACATAAAAACTAACCTGTAGCACTATAACTCCTTCTTTGACCAAATCCAGTTGACCGATGCTAATGCTTTCCGGCGGACGTAGTGTAATAAACCTGTTTCAATATAAAATGAATTTTTTTATACCACGAAGGTGACAGAGACAGGTTGTATGCTTACATTCATACACATTATACAATACTATATTACTACCGATGAAGGGTATGATTCGAAAACTTTGAGATATGTTTATTCATTCTCGTATCCCGGCCTTCAAACCAAAACAGCTATGCCAGTACAGCTGCTTAGTAACAGATATGTGCTAAGCAGACAACTTTTGTGTAGTATTCCTTTGGCAACTTTATTGTGGGAGTTCTATAACTTTTACAACAATAGTATAAAATAAATTTGGCTTCCATAAAATATTAAATTACGTTTTCTTTAAAATAATAGCTGGGTATTTTGTGATCTTATCAGCTCTGTTGTTTGGTATTATTTTTTAAATATACAAATAATATTATTGGCAGATTACTAACCTTGGACACACGCGATCAAATCTATACTCTCCGGCACAAAGCTGACGAGAATTGCTATACGAATAACCCAATTCGTGAAGTCTTTTTACAAACAATGCTACTTTTCTGCAACAAAAATTCAAGTTCTCTATTATACTATATATGTATTAACTTTTTTAACGCGATCATTTAAGTAAACTATGATAATTACCTGAATTATCTTGACCTTTCCACTCATGACCACGGCCGGTGTAATCTGATCAAAATGTAATTAAGGTAAATTATCATGGTTTACCTAAATGTTCGCGTTATTTCTCATTTTTTTATAAACCATACTATATGTTGCCGTGTAGGTTTCGGCATGGAATGGGCCACTCCTTCTTTTCTCGTGGGCGTCGTAGAAGGCGACTAAGATAACTTATGGTAGAGAGATGGGCAACAGTGTCTATATTTAAACATCACCAAAGACCTGACTACGGTTGCCAATCCGCCTGCCAAGCGTGGCAACTACTGGCAAAACTCTCCTTATGAGGAAGGCCTATGTTCAGCAGTGGATAGTTGACGGCTCATATAATAATAATAAATATTATATATTAGTAGTAAACTTTAATTTTATTTACAATTTTGTCTGTATGAATCAGCACAAAAATATCCTGTGCATTAATCCCGGATATGATCTACCTATGTACCAAACAATCCGACTAACAGAGCCAAAATCTATTTAAACTTTTATTTTTATAAAGCTAGTAGAATAATAGAGTGCTATAAAAGTTATTGGCAATGAACTTACTTTGACACTCTGTTATCAAAATAGGAGATCTCGTGAACTTACTTAGCCTTGAAGGTATTCACCCAGCCCGTGACAGTTTCTTTATTAACGCACGCCGATATACGTTCCTCGCGTAAATGAGGCGGCAGTAAATCTGACAACCTGCAAGATGAATTGTAGATTTAGGTATTACATGAGTTAAACATGCAGAAAAACATGTAAATACATTCTATGTAAGCATTCAACATTGGAGATTATGTAGTGTATAATTTCTCAAACAAAAATATTTTTATCATTGCGTAGGATACATATAGTTGTAAAACCCTATTAAATAAATTAATTACAAAATATTTGTTAATGGGGATGAGTCAATCAATACTAAACTGGAAGGAAAACGGGAAAAATAAAAGTGACGCCGATTTTAATTACTAGCGTTTTTCTATTATCAATGTTAGTCGATCCAATTATAATCAGTGATACATATTTAAGTGGTTTGATGTAAGGAAAGTTCAAGAATCGGATATTCTGTGTTGCTCAAAATGTTCAAAAAACAAATTAGGTAGAGGTTAATATTTACGAAAATGCTTTATTCTTGATTCGTATTCTCGCGATGGCAGCAGCAAAGTGCACTCTTTGGTTCCAAATTGTATTTTCAATTTCTTTGAATGGATATCCGTACTCGTTCAGTAGGCGAGTGGCTCTCTCAAGTTCTGTCCTTGCTCTTGCGCCCCACCGTCGTCTAGCAAGCTCCATTAGAAATAACCAGACTGCGTGTCGATGATTTGCGAACTGAACAAAAAAAAAAGGAATGTGCAACATTCTTATAATGACATTTTTCCTCTATTTTTCTAATGAGTACGTCTTTTTTGGTCTTATTTTTCCATAGGTACGCTTTGTTCGATTCAAATTAGGAACCACTAAAATGTCTCATAGGAGTTTTGTCCTTCCTACCAACTCTTTTAATTATTAAATAACTAAGTATACACATAAGTTAATTTTATAAGTACAACTTAATCTTCTTTCTACTTATAAATTCTAACTTGAAAATGTTTAAATCGCGAACCTTATCATTCAACCCCAATATTAGGCGTCTAAGTTGAAGACTTCAGCGCCATGGCTGGTGGTAGATTATAATGATTAATCGGATCCACTTTAACGACCCCGAAAACTAGCAATTCCGATTCTTTTCGTTCACCCAAATAGCTTGTCATAAATATAAAGCTTATTTTTCGTGAGCTGAGCATCTTTAACATTTGAAAAAGAAATGGTTTCGGTCACGAGATTGGCATAATGCGAGTTAGATAGGGCAATAATTTATTTTTGTCTTGTCGAACCTACCCTAACTGAATGTTATAGCGATTTGATTACGGCTTACTAATATGCAACCTTGATGCCGGTCCAAGAATAAAAGTACCATCAATTTTACAAGTTCAAGAACGCAATGACAATGGTTAAAAAGATGCTTATGTCAGCTTTCCATAGCAATTTCGTTTTAACATAAATTTCGATAATAAAAACATAATACGGTTACAAGTCAATTTCTTTTTTGTTTAAAATAATAACAACTTGTATAGTGCAATAATAGACTTGTAGCTTGCGGGGTGTTAGGTTCGAGTCTAATTTAGATCAATTTCGGCCACGAGCTTTTCTAAATTAGAAGAAGATGTTATTATGGAATTATGTAAATTTGATGACGAAAAGTATTTTAATCTAGTTACTCGTATTCTCAAAAAATCGTCAATGCGAACATTTTAACCAGGGGGACTACCATGAAATAAAATTCCGAATTTTCGGACTCAATGTCGTGATTTTGTTCATACCGAAATCGGCTTAGTAAATGGAGCTTAACATTTCGTTCTCCATAAATCCTACCTTAAAAATCCAAAGGAACGATATTTTAACATTTCAAATATTTTTAAACGGTAAGTATCATGTACTTTTAACATCAAATTTATGTTTTGTCCGTCTCCGAAATTTCGGAAAACATTTTATGGTCCTTACTTATTAAGTTAAATCTTAGAATCTAAATTAGATGATAAGTAAGAAAGTAATAGTATACTTTTATAAAGTAAGACCTATTTTTTTTCTGTAAATTAACTTACTTCTGGATAGTCCCCAAAGAAATCGACATCTTCAATGGCCTGTTCTAAAATAGTTTTATCTGAAAAAAAAAAAACAAATATATTTTTATATAATAGATACCTAGACGTAAAATTCACATGAAATGAACAAACACAACTGAAGTGCTGAGTCTGATGAATAAGTAAAGAGCTCGCAATAAATAAAGAAACATTTCTATTCAAATAATAAGTTGTCCATGACAGGTGTGGTACGTTTTATACAGAATAATTTGTTTACATATACTCGTATAGAGGTTTTCTAAGCATGCAAGTGTTTGGTACCAGCCGTGTCGATATTACAGTTCTATATCGTTTTTATTAAACATACAGTATGTATTATATTCTACTAGATGATCTTGTTTTATACCAAAGCGCATATTTTTTTTATATATTGTAATACAAATCTTTAATATTTATTTGTAATTTTTAAACTTTATTGCACCATTTGTAAAAATAATAAACACAGTAAATTACAGTTAATATGTTAATAGGTAGGTATGTCTAAGGGAAATTGTTTCTCCATTTTTCCAATATCTAAAAAAGAAATACATAGACAAGTCCTGTTTGTTTATCGATAAATCTTATAGATGGATTGTAATTTTTATTAAAAAAAAATATTAATAAGTTTTTAATAAAAAAAAAATAGGGAAAAATTAGGTTTTTAAAAGATTTGTTTCATGAATTTTAATGGAAAGAAGAAAAACAACTGTTTTTAATAATTATTATAGAAATAAAAAAGATTATTCAACATTGAAGTGGTCATTTTAGCAATCTCAGGACTTCCCTCTATAGGTAATATCATTAATATTTTTTCTTTATATAAAAATACAATATTGCTATACTTACGATATGGCGAAGACCTTACAGTTTTAAAAACAGATTTATAGCTAGCAACTGAGTAAAGGTAGAAATTCTAAATAAATACATTCAGCACTAAACTGGAAACATTGCCAAATATTTTCTATCGTACCCATTAAGTCGTAACTTCTAGTTTTTTATTGCCGTGTAAATTGAGGGCCAAAGCTAACTAAAAATAATAAAGTTGATTCCACCCAAAAGATTGTGAAGTTGTGGCAGAGTTTTGGCTTAAGGAAACATGGTAAAGATATAACTTCAATTACTTTGATGGTCACAGAAAGGTCACACAGGGGGGAAATTCATGGTATGTTTTTATCTCCCTATTATGTTAGAATCTGCTATGCTTAATGCAACGGCAAAATTCGATATTATGCCTCTGACTATATCCATGTGGAATTATAGTCGTAAAAATAAATAATTAATCGTACATGATACTAAGTATGAGTACATATAATCGAATCTTTTATATTACTGAGAATTTGTAAACAAGCTGACGGCCCACCTAATGGAAAGTGAGAACTCTCGTAAAAACATTTTAATAAGTAATCACTAGGACTAGAGAAGGATACTAAATGTCATCGCATATGGTAGTGCATATATTATATTTATTACCAATATATCTCTCTACTCAACACACGCTTGCTGTATCAATCTGCACAAGGTTTGGGAATAAAGAAAGTTTTCAGGTGCTCATTTATCGCGACAAATAATCGCGTAGGCTTCGCGAAAGCTAAGTTAAACAGTGCCATAGAACGATAGTAAACTAGTTTTGATGGTGGCGTGAGGTAATTTACAGCTTGTGGTACAATACGTGTTAGGGTCGCCATAATACAAATTTTGAATATTGGACAATTATTTTTATTTATTTATTGTACAATAAAAATTTGTACAAATAGGTAGCTTGATGTTGTATGGCACTCTCTACCAGTTAAGTATTACTTGTACTATAATTACTTAGAGTACGTCATGGTATTTGGAATTACACGATATTACCCTTAGGATGACAAACGAGCGGACTATCCAACTAATAAAAAGTGGTAACTATCTTTTTTTTATACCACTGAGGTGGCAAACAAGCATACGGCCCACCTGATGGTAAGCGGTTACCGTAGCCTATGAACGCCTGCAATACCAGAGGTATTCTATAAATGTGAATCTTATTATGAAATGAAATATGTATCTTCTATAAATGTGAATAACAACATGGACAACAATCACAGAGTGTATGGGGAAAGGGATTGTTAGTAATGAAGTCTAACTGCCCTCTTGTTAGCAATATACCCTATCAGGTCGACTTCTACGCAGTTCCCCCTAGAAACTATCGTGGTTAATAAATGTTGAATTCATCACGATGATTCAACTGACTTGCTTTCATCCTCACCTATCTTTATTCGCTGGTGCCCCGCTAGTGTATACCAATAGCGCAGGTGGGGTTACTATTTCATTTTCATTCATTAAAAAAAAAGCAGAGTACACTGTAATGCCAATAGCACCTTCATACGTTCTCGTTTCTGAAGACTATGGCTTCATGCATCCGTAATCGGTAATGTCGAGTTTTAGGGTTCCGTACTTCAAAAGGATAAATGGATCCTTTATAGGATTACTTTGTTGCCCGACAGTCAAGATTCCTCCGGATTGCGTTTAGATATCAAACCGAAATTAATATCAAACACTCAAGTCTGCAACCCCTTGATGCTGTGCAAAAATCAAACTTCTAAGTCAACATATCGTTTCATTAAAATATGATCGTCTATAATGCATATATTGACATTTGCAAGGGAATCAAAACCTATAGGGTACTTCTCATTGATTTAGACTCACGATATTTGACAAGAAGTTATACATATACTCGTATGTATTAGTATATACTAATAAATACATAATTATATATAACATAACTTATATGTACTTGTATTTATATAAGTAAACCTCTTCATGTAAATCAAAATGAATACGTAACGATATATCTACATAGTACCTACAAAAAAAGACTCATGGTAACCCTACTAGCGGCTCAACTTTTATATCAGTTTCGTGACACCCGACTTCATGTAAAATGGGTTTTAGGAGACGCCTTTTATTACAATATAAGTATATATTTTTTTGAATTTTTATGATTTATAGACAGACAATATGTTTGTATGCATGCCATAAAAAAACTTAAGTAATAACCTATAAATTTTCGTACTTTTATGACTTAAAGAATCGATACTCTTTAAAATTGATAAGAGCGAGAAGGCTTAATGGCATTGCGGTATATGCCCACTTCAGTGAATCTTTTGATGCAATGCAATCTTCATTGTATATTATATATAAATGATAAATACATAGAACAGGGCCTGCAAGGCCCTTTAGATGATAGATAAATAGTGAAAAAGTAAAATATAGTTACATATCTGTATAAATGATATTAAGATTTCATATCAAATTTATAAATCCCCTTTTAGGTGTTAAGAATTTGCATTTAAATGTTCGCAATGTTTATAGATTGACTAAATCTATGAAAAAAAATATATATACGAGGTCTGTCCGGATATATATATATAAGCGCAGGACCCCTTCCTTATGTCCCTAACAATGCTTCAGTTCTGGTCTGACCGCCGTGCGGTGCGGGCTTGTCACGCCATCTGTGAAGTTACCTCTTAACGAAACCCCGTCGGCATGGAGCCCGCTTCCGTTGAAGAGCAGCGCGTCGTAATCAAGTTTCTCTCGAAACTCGGCAAGAATGGCCGTGAAATTTTTGCCGATCTCAGAACAGTTTATGGGGATGATGCTGTGAAGGAACCAACCGTCCACAAGTGGCTAAAAAGATTCAGAGAGGGCCGAGACAATGTTGATTGTTTTTTTCGATGTTCGGGGGATTGTCCATCAAAATTCGTCCCTCCAGGCCAGACAGTTGATGGAAAATTCTACGTCGATGTGCTCAGACGCCTCAAAGCTCGTGTGGCACGAGTTCGTCCAATTCTTCACCACGACAATGCCCCTGCCCACACCTCTCTTGTTGTCCGTGAGTTTTTGAGTATAAATTCCATTACGGTGACCGAACACCCCCCCTATTCGCCGGATTTGGCCCCGTGTGACTTCTTCTTGTTCCCAAAAACCAAATTGGTACTTCGGGGGCGGCATTTGGGGGACATAAATGAGATAAAAAAAGCTACGACGGGGCAGCTGAGAAACCTACAACCAGAGGACTTTCAAGGAGCCTTCTCACAGTGGAAACGGCGTTGGCACAAGTGCATTATGTCACAGGGGGAGTACTTTGAAGGGGATAAAATTGATTTACCTGAATAATTGTAAAATAAAATTTTTAAAAAACTTTTATACGTACTTTCCGGACAAACCTCGTATATATATATATATAATTTTAAATTTTGCTTTGTGGAAAAAGGTACTTTAAGCGAGACAAAATTTATTTGACTTCGATACAATAGTAAACCTTATTGACGGAAAAAGAAAAAACAAAAACACTTCAGAATTGGTGAAGATATCCTGTAAAGGAATAGTGGAGTATTTTCAATTTGTCACCTGTAGGCTATTTAATTTTTGCCGCTCCTACCGATCTAATTCAATATTCTAGTTCTAAATTATATTAATCATAATTTTTCTATCAATGAACCTCAAATTTGCTGCCCTAGCCTACGCAGCCTATCGAAGCCTTCTGGTGAATCCACTGATCTGAGAATAGATGTAGATTAAGAATTGAAATAGTTTAAAATTTAACTTACATCTAAATATGTCGTAGATGAGAGAATAGACGCATCTCATTTCCTGTTCATCCCCAAAGTTCACTTTCATCGGTGGTTTACACAGCAGATGACCCGCTTTCAGAACCTGAATAAATCCAGCCGTTCGCAATGTTAATGTGATTCAAGTGAGATTCAAAAATAATGTCAATTCCATTTTGCTTTGTAAAAAAGCAGCGTATTCAATTGTGACAAAAAACACTGTTGATAATTTGTAGGCATATTACATTTAATTATACACATTGAATTTAGAACGTGGAATCATGTAGTCGTAAGTAAAAAGTAGACTATTGCTACGCCGAGAAAAACAGGGGAAATAGTATTATATTATCTGTGCTAATACCTATTATAAATGGAGAATTTGTTTGTGTGTTACCTTATAGCGCTTTAACCAATCACTGTGAAATTTAATATACGAGTACACGTACGTGCCTATAGGTTGAAGAAGAATATACGCTACTTTTTATCCTGGTATTACTTACCGGGATAAAAAGTAGCGTATATTCTTCATAGACTTCTTCACATATCCCAGTCACGCATACAAAGTCGTGGGTAAAAGCTATTATAAGTATAAATATAAATAAAATATGAGTGATTTTAGAGATGACCTGTCCGATGTCCCATGCGGGTCCGGGAGTAGTTTTGATAGCGACCGGCGGCGGTGCATTGGGGTTCTTGACGGACACCACCAACTTCCACGGCGCCCACTCCTCCGGTGGATCCTCCATAGGTTTTTCGGTTTTATCGCCATCCTCTTCCCTGGGAATAAAAAGTAAATAATTTTATATTAAGATTCACAAAAAACCTGACTTCAATTATATTGATTTAAAAACTAAACTGTTTTTGATAAACTTTCTATTGGATCAATCTGTAATTATATCGTTTCCGAGAAAAAAGAAATACCAAATCGGTTTATAACTGACAGAGTTAGGAGGTAACAAACATAAAAAAATATTATGACATTGAGAATTTCCTTCTTTTTGAAGTTGGTTAAAGTTAAGCTAAGTAAACTTATTCTATTTTTTTTGTTTGTTTTTTTAATGGATGAAATGGAAAGGTAACCCCGTCTGCACTATCGGTATACACAGGCAGGGCACCAGTGAGGGATGATAGGTGCGAATGAAGCAGGTCAGTTAGCCCACCATGACAAATCTAACAATAAATCAATCACGATGTTTTCCAGGGGGAATTACGAGGAGGTCGACCTGACAGGGTATATTGCTAGTAATGGGGCTATTAATCCCCATTACTAACAATCCCGTCTCCCCCTAAAAACTTATTCTATTAAAAAAAAAAGCAAAGCTGTATAGATCACTGTGTGTAAATAAACATATCTCTCTAGAATAATTTATTATCGATAATAATTAGGGACAACAATAATTAATTTTTGTTTTAATTTTTTATAGAGAATGGCCATGAGATTTCAGAAAAGCTCCCAAAAGAAGTTTTATGTGAATATCAATTTAAAGATGGATTTTATATATGTGTGTCTATTTACACATTATCATTGACTTGTTTTTTCCGTATGTATATAATAAACTAGTTTTTGTCTACCAGTTCATACACGTGGATTTAAGAAGTAGGAATATTCTGAAATGGACCATATCTAGATAAAACATTACCAGTTTTTAAGTTAGACCTTCAGGATTACAACTGTGAAAACCGCATTTAATTTAATTCAATAGTTTTTGCTAGACGTTAAAACAAACAGACAGACAAAATTTAAAAAAAAAATTATATTGTTTTGTCATCTATTGGTCTTATTGAACTCCTTATTTTTTTCAAATATCTCCCATGTACAGATAAAGTTCAGTTACTATTTTATTGTATTATTAAAATAATTTGCTCATTACTTTTATTTCCTGATAGGGTGATTACCCCATCAGGAATCTATCACCTCTTATTAGAGGCATTTGTCATGTCGCTGTGGTAAACAAAAAAGTCTGCATGTCCATATTTCGTCGACTATATTCGTATTACGTTGGAATCCAATGTGGCATAGGACAAGCTAGCGCTGCCTTCACTTTATGTACTTTGGTTTATTAACGATGTTTTCCAACACCAGAAAGTCAGTCAGAAATTTAGATACTATTTACCTTTATTTGGTCTCGGGCAGATTTGAATGTGTGATTTTTGGGGTATATAAGTCAGGATTGTATATATACCACTTGGTTACAGCGTTCTTATAGTTTTACATTTATTGTTTCTGATAATAAAATTAAAAAGATCTTACATTATTGCTTGTTCTTTAGTTTTGATAAACATATCCATTCATGTAACTAGTAAATCCATCGTACAAAAACACAACACAAATTTAGCGTAAATTTATATATGAAGTACCCATTTTTATGATAACCATATTCTTGTTAAGTAAATGTATTAAATGAATAAGATAATTTTTATTTCAAACTATTAAAATAAATATATAAGTTATATAACTTATATATCTATATAGATAAAACTAGCAATATTAAATTTAATTATGTGACAGATGACATATTGAAATGGTTTGATTCTTGAATTCTTGGCTGAAATTGCAAATAAAACAAAAAAGTTTGTTTCTGTTGTTATTCTAAAACTTCAACTCGTAACTTATAAAATATTAATTATATAAAAAACCCCGTGTCACAATTTTAACGCTAATTTCCGAAACCGTCCAACCGATTTTAAATAAATTTATATGTATTTAAATGTGTATTGGTTGCTTAAATCGCGGTGCTTTTTTTGCTTGCCTCCAATTGGTGTACTCTTAGAAATATAATATCGTACACTTTAATTACATCGTAGTGGAGATCAGTTTGCCTGATCACCACTGTAGGGAGATATAATAGTTTTTACGTTGATAAGAAAAAAGGCCTCGTAAAAAATGGATCAGTTTGCTCAGTATATTTCGAGTTTTATCCTGTATGTATTTATAATCAACAAATTTAAACCCCTTAAGTATAGCAAGGTCTTTTCATAACGAAATAGATAAAATTCAATTTTTATCTTGAAAAAGGTTTATGAAATTAATTTATTTTATTCATTTAAATAAATTGTTAATGACTTGACATCTTGGCCTGAATCGATAAAAATTATAATTTATAAAAATAAAAATAACTAGATAAGTAGTAAGATAGTTAGAAATGCTATTTTCATATTATTTAGTACCTATCTTTAAATTATTTATGTACTGGGATAAAATTAAATATTTTGTTACTCGCATCTGTTTTGGTATCTAAACATTCTGCACTGTATTCTTCATTACCTGAGGAAGATTAGTGGTCCTATTTTTTTTGGTTGGATGAAAATAAATTGGCAATTCCGCCTGCGCTAACGGGATACACTGGCGGAGCACTAGTGAAGGGTGATCGATGAGAATGAAAACAGGCCAGTTAGCCCATCATGATGAATTCATCAGAAATTAACCATGATAGTTTCCAGGGGAAATCGCGTGGAGGTCGCCCTGGTTAGATATATTGCTAGCAATGGGATTTTTAACCTCCATTACTAACAATTCTTTTCCCCCCTAGTGGTCCTATTACTAGCAATATATTTTGTCAGTTCGATCTCCAAGTGGTTCCTTCTGGAAACCATAAGTAAGCTCTTCTGAACCGCACTGTGCATGACCATTCCGGTTCTTAGGTGAGGATGATGGCGTGCTGTATTCATGATGGGTCAACTTATCTAGTTTCAATCTTGCCAAATTATTTCACTGTTACCCAAATTAACATAAACTAATAGGGTACGTAGGCGGATTTTTTTAAAGTTACAAATATTTTCACCAATTAAAAAATCCTTATTACCAATATTTCTGTTTCTATTCTTGTTATTTGACCTAAAAAAAAACTTGTAATGTGTATATATAATTATAGTTTATTCGTAGAAAAGTTCATAGATTCAGTAGATTCTTTTCGCCTTCTTCGTATTGAAATGGCATTTACATAAAGGTTTCTATATTGATTATATGTATGAAATGACGTGAGCACAAAATGTATTGTGTATATAAGTATCTAGTAATGGGCAGGTCACGGTCGTTCCAATGTTTCCACATGTTACCTGGGCTTGCAGGTCAGACAACGTGATAGGTACTACAGTCTAAAAGAATTCTTGCAATAGCATGAAAATAAATAAGACTACTTAAAGCTATTCTTATATTTTCTGCGTAAAAGTATTTACTCCTTTTTATCAAAAGGAATTTCTTTTTTAAATGACTTCAAAAGTATCTTTTAAATTTGCCTGCATTCTATTTTTTCTTGCTATATGTAACGCAATTACGTTGATATTTTTGAACCGACTTTAAATGTTTCAATTTTTCAATATGGTTGATCATAAGGTAATTTTGTGTCGATTGATATTGTCGTTTTTTTCTTATTAAAAATAATAAATTTAGCGACACAGTAAAAACTGTGTCGTTAAACTCAAACAGGAAGAGACCAGGAAATCAACTTAAAATAACATAAACATAAAAGCAACTAGAAAATAACCTCTCAGTTAGCTTGGATACTCTAAAAGGAATAATTTCATTCTTCCACTTAAATCTACAATAAATAGAAATTAAATATACCAATAACTTTTCTATTCCACTTCGATGTAGTTAGGAGTACAGTCATGATAAACCGTTTCCCATTGGTGATTCAAATGTAGGAACGTGTCGACGCAAAGTTACGTACTTCCCAGGTAGTCCTCTTTTGAATTTTATTTTATATATTTGCACTTAAATATAGTTTAGTACATATTTTCATTTCTAAACTTTGTTATAGATAATGTTGCTGTAGTTTTCAATAGTATTGTTTCTCTTTGTACGTTTCTTTGTATTATGCATTTGTGTAAACTTTATTGGCTAATACATTTTATCATTTAATTGTGAGTCATATATGTTGTCATAGCTGTCTGTTTGTCTTAAATAAATAAAATAATAATTTTAACTATGTAGTTAAAATGTTTTTGGTAATAAATATTCTTTTTTCTTTTTTAAGTAACTTACATTTCCAATTCCAATGTTTTTTGCATGTCGACCAGATAAAAATATTGCTGTAGCCTCCATTCTTTGTCGCTTGGAAGGACAAGCTTTTCTGCTTCACTAGTATCGCCTTCTTGTCTTGCTGCTTCCTCCTGCAGCAACAGCTGAGCCAGTAGCTCGGGGTAAACGTTGAACAGGTTTCCCTCGCTGCATTCACTAATCGCCACCCATAAAGTGTTTGGGTCATATTTCTGTGACATTTTTCGTACATTTCAAAGGTATATTGTGTAAGTTGTTGATAAATGTGATGAAGTTTCTAAGTTACAAATGTGCGCCCCGTTTGAAGGCGTTTCATTGAGGGCCATTCGCCAACTGAGCGTCTAAGCGATTCCGCAAGCTCGATGCTCGAATAAAACATAACTTGTTGCTGTCTCAGCTGTTTTATATTTTGACAAACGAGTTACTGAAAGTGCTTGTTTGAAAAGACTGTTTTATTGCTTTCCGTGTTAGTAGATTGAAGGCGGAAGTAGCCTTGTAGCATAAAAATATCCACTTTCTCAATATCTTTGATGTTGATAAATAAATTTAATACGTTATGGATATAACGGAGGTATTTTTAATAGATATCATATCTAATTTAGTTAAAATAAATATGAATATTTTTGCACTCTTTCTATATTATTAGAATTCAACATGGCAAAGGACTAATCACCCGAATTAATTTGATGTCGTCATAGTCGTAGAATACTGACAGATCTGACAAATATTACATATAATAAATCCGTCAGTATTCTACGACTATGACGATGTGTTTGGAGTGTTTTCTTTCAACAGAAAATATATTGGAATATTAATACACAAACTTTAAAACAGTATATAACAGTATAATTAAAGTACTTTATAAATTAGGTATAAATATAATATTAAATATATTATACTAACTAGCTGTTGCCCACGACTTTGTCCGCGTGGTATTTGTTATTCCTTTTTAGTATGTATCGATGTAAATACCTACTTATTTATTTTGTCTGGGAATTCTAAACAAAAATTAACAAATAACGTATCGTTCTCACTTTTTGCCTTAGGTCAAAATGACTTAAATAGGCTGTGTACTAAGCTGTGTGAGTTACTACAGTTTTTTAACTATCCCACGGTAACTTTTCCGTGATTAAAAGTATCTAAAATGTTGACCGGGGATGTAAAGTACCATCACGCAAAATTTTATTTAAATCGATTCAACAGTTTCGGAGATTAGCCCGTACGAATAGACAAACAGACAGAGAAACAAAAATTTGCAAAATATCTGAATGTGTTCTATTTCATTTCTAAGATCCCCTTGATTCGATTTTTAGCATTGACACACATTATACAGACATTCGACCTCTTCAGTTTTATTATATGTATAGATATATACAGATTCAAGCACAAAAATTTAATATTACATTATCTGTAGTAATATAAATATGTAATTATATAAAAAGTTTATGTTATACCAAAGACAAAATAAATAAAATAATCATCCACAGACACATGTCTGTGTAATCTTCCCAAATTTGTTATGTCTATAGAATAATAAATCCTAATACCAAAAATATTAACAGAATGTTTCACTGATTTTTCTCTAAACAATATTATAGCAATGCAATAAGTACTCAGGAAAATTTATGTTTGCAATGGAGGTTTGGTAACAGCCACAATGGAACAACTAATGACAGCGCAGGAAAGTTATGTGGAACGAAGACGACTTTTTAAAGACATATGGGACATCGCCATGCACATCGATGACAAGGACGATGAATTTCTGAACAAGCATAAAGTTATCAAGTAAGTAACAAATATAAAGCAGTGATTACTTGCACTGTGGTAACAGTACATAGTTTGTTATACTAAGTCTATGATGGTAACAAACAACAACCCTTTTACCAGAGGTGCTTGGGTACCTCTGTCCTATTCGTATTTCTACCGTGAAGCAGTTGTGTTTGCATAGCTGTGTTTTGGTCTGAAGGGTGGGATATGGCGTGAATTTACAGGGTACAGAGGAATAACATCTGAGTCCTCAGGAATGGCAACGAATGGAGGGTATCATGGGCGAAACAATATACTCTGTTATGTCCATGGTACTGCTCATGTCTCTAGGCGACGGTTACCATTCTCCATCAGGTGAGCCGATTGCTTGTTTGCCATTCTAAGTTGTATATATATAAAAAAAAAAACAGATAATACGGTTTATTGGCAAACATGCTGACGGTCCACCCGGGGGAAAGTGATAGTTTTAAAGATTAAATATTATTTGCTATCCTAACATAATAAAATTTGGCTTAAAGGTACACAAATTTATTTTTTATCTAGAATGATTTCTTCTTACATCAAAAAGGAGATTATAAATTAGATATCTATATTTAATACTTTTTTGTATAATTCAGCCTTTTTTTTCGTATGAATGTTCCTCAGTAGCTCTTTCACATCTTCTACTAACAGTTTTTATTTTGTTTGACTTTGGCCACGTGGTGGAAAGTAATAACAGTACTTAGCATATGAACATCATGTATATGTATGTATGTATGTACCTATTCTGTAATTATAACATAGTTTATTCAACCCTTGCCAGGTCTATATATACTGTGCACAGGTTCAGCTCTGTACAACATAGATGCTTCTTCTTTCTTTTCATTTAGGGAATTTCATTTCTACTAGAGGGAGACTTTGCACAAAAGTCGATTGCTTAGGTACCTCTGTCCCATTCGTGTTTCAACCGTGAAGCAGTTGTGTTTCGGTTTGAAGGGTGGGATATGGCGTGAAATTACTGGGTACAGAGAAAGAACACCTGAGTCTTCAGGAATGGCAACGCATGGGGGGGGGGTATCATGGACGAAACAGTATACTCTGTTATGTCCATGGTACTGCACATGTCTATAGGCTACGGTTACCACTTTCCATCAGGTGGACAGTCAGCTTGTTTGCCATTCTAAGTTGTATACAAAAAAAAAGGAGTTTCCTTCTGTTGGTGCGACTAATTCATGCATTTTCTTCCAGCCAGCTCTATCCTGTCTCTAAATTTATCTTTGACATCCCTAGTGTTTCCTTTATCTGTTCCATTTAGTTATTATTATTATTATTTGTTATAGATGCCTAACTATTTTATATTCGTAACTGATTATATTAATCGCGTGAAATTAAAATTTGATTGTTTACGATAGAACACTTCGTTTGGATGAAGTCGATCGTTGCGCTGCAGGAAAGAAGAAGAAACAGAAACTAAAAAATTTAAGGGCTGTTTGTAACAAGATACTTGATTTTTGCGATCGGCAGGATGCAGACGACACATATTACGAGCAGGTCAACATTTTTTTAAGTATTATATACTTAGTTATTATTATATTTTTTTTATGCAAATTATAATGGCACCCATGCATTGCCATTTCTGAGGAATAAGGTGTTATTCCTCTATACCTTGTAATTTCACTGCCATATCCCATACTTCAAACAGAAACACAGCCACAAACACAACTGCTTCACGAATGAAAGACAAATGGGACAGAGGTACCCGAGCACACGACTTTTGGACAAGTGAATGCACAGATGCAGACTTAACCTATGCAATGTTGTCGCGATTTTGCATAAAATCAGCTTACGTGTCTTTAATGGTCAGTGCAACCAGTTCAACTCTGTTTAAGTAAATACTCATCTCAAAAAATATTAATTTATAAGGAGGAAAATCTATGCAGACTAGAGAAGACCTTAATCTACATGACAACCCTGAAACATTTTTGACGGGACCTCTCTCTGTTCAAATAAAAACTTACCATGCGACCTTTTACTTAATGAAGTGCCTCTGGGCAAATTTTAATTTATGACTTGATGACGGTCGTCGACGATGAAAAAATTATTTATTCACCATTTCATATTATCCTTTCATCTTTTTCATCAGTGGATCACATACTGATCCTATGGTGCCTTTATTGGGCCTCAACGTCTCCAGGGGCCACTCACCGATTGACAACGCAGATTTTTTCCAAAATTTTTTTTTGCCTACTTACTTTCAAATTATTTTAGATGGCGACAGAAGGTAATATCCCAGCTCAACACAAACCAGAGCTCAAACTTAAAAAACTAAAGCCCGCTCGAATAAGAAAGAAAGCAAATATAACCAAAAGCTTGTTCTCTCCGGGTAAAAACGTAACACAACCAAGAACTACGACATCTGACGGTAAAGAGGAATTCAAAAATAATTATGGCAAAAAGACTTTGCGAAATAGTTCACCCATGAAAGCTAAACGCACGATAGTCTTAAAAAAACTGGAAGTGCCAGTGAACATTGTTCCTAAATTGACAGGTTTGTGGAAAACATCTTTAGTTAACTCTCCCAGAGACATGTACAATCGTCGTAAAGTTGTAAAGAAAAAGAATATCAAGACTGTAAAGAAAGTGGATATTAAATTAATACATCCTCCAGGTATATGAAACTAGCCTTAATAATGTATTTATAGAAATTTTATTTATATATCTAGGTATGAAAAATAAATGCAGTTACTTCTCACGTGTTTTTTATTTTATAATTTTCTATTTAATGGATGATTATGCAATTACCCCTTCTACGCTATTGGTATACGCTGGCAGGAAATTAGTGAGGTGAGGATGAATGCAGGTTAGTAGGTTTATAGTCACGAGTTTCCAGGAGTAACCGTGTGAACATCGACCTGACAGGGTATATTATTAGCAATGGAGACTTACCTCCATCATAATTCTCAAATTAGTTTATAGTTAGGTATATTATAATTACATATTTATGCACCTATCTGATCCTGTCTTTGGACAGGTTGCACTAAAATCTAAGCAAAATATAAAAATCCCATGCTCAACCTAATAATAATAAATACTAAGAGTATTATAATATATTAGCTGTGAATCAACCGACTTGAGAGTACGGAATTTTTTTTTATTTCGATAGGAAAAAATGGACGGGTTATGTAACAGTAAATAACGAAACAAAGTTTGAATTTCTCATTCTTTACCGGTTCAGCTAGTCACTTACCTAATAATAATAGTAAAAGCTGCCAAATAAGCGTTCCATATTTTTTTAATACTTCTTACCTATATAAAAAAAGTTCTGCAATTATCCTGTATACCTCCCTGTTAAATTTTTTCTGAAGATTACACTCTACTGTCAGATGATTTGTATGTCCGTCTGCAGACTTTATTATAAAAATATTGTATGTGCTAAAAAATTCAATAAAAGTATATGTAGTTACTATTGTTTTGTGCTGGTGTACCTATCCAAAGAAATAGTATGCTCAGGTAAAGGGAAGTTTAATTAAATCGCCAGATTTTTTCCTTAACACAAAGAGAAAGAAATAAAATGATTCTTAATGATGTTTAAAAATTTACTAATCTTAACTGCTATATATGTCTTTAAATTATGTTAGTGCTAGTATTCTGCATTGGACACCATTAGCTAAGGCGGATATATTATCTTTCATAAATTATATCCCTAAGCTATACCAATTCTTAAAATTTTTTATTATGTTGTTAAAAATGTATGAAATTTATATAAAAAGTCGGTAAATTCATCTTTGTAATTTTTTTTGTAACGGAGAGGACAAGTCATTTAGAAACCTGTAGATGTTATCGATAGTGTAATATGGTCTTAATTGGTATGACGTTATTACATATATCATTTTGACGTTAATTTTTTTGCATTAAAATGCTCGCATCAAACTACAAATCGCATAACTTTTGCATCAAAATGACCAAAGTTCAGGCATGTAATTTTGAACAAAAAAGGTTGTATGAATCTATGCAACACTGTAATGCAACCAATTTATTGAATACAAAAGTTTAACAATATAAAGTAAATCTGTTATGATAACTACCGACATCGATATTTTTGACAGACAATTAAATTATTACATATATAATATATTTCGACATTGGCCGTGTGGTCTCGGCATAGAATAGGTCACCCCTTCCTTTCTCGTGGGTGGTGTAAGAACCGATTAAGGGAATGCGAAGGTATCAGCGATGGGTAGCAGCGTCCCTCCTAAAACATCTTAAAAGCCTGACTGTGGTTGCTAACCCGTCTGCCAAGCATGTCAACTACTGGCAAAATTTCCCTTATGGTGTTTCCCCTTATAGGCTTATATCCAGCAGTGGATAGTTAACGGATGAAACAATAATGATGATAATATACAGAGGCATATAAATAATAGCAAACATTAAATATTAATTTATTTTATTGTGCTGTTACTTCTGAGTGGTTGCGTAAATATATTTTCTAGTTTTATCAATATAAGTGAAGTGCATACTTTGAAATAAAATAATGATTCATGGATAAAGAATAGTACTTGTGGTAGTAATTACTAGGCAATTTGCTCTGTGATTATGTTATGTCAGTTTAACTGTCAACTAATGTCAGGCGTGATAAAAATGAATGCAATGCAGTCAGTCGTGAGTCAGTCACAGTCAGTTTAGTAATCATATGCTGACATTTTGTTTGATTTTTTATTGCCTGTTATGTTCTGAATACTAAGATTTCGCGAAGGAATGTATTAAAATTATAATATCAAACTTATTAAGGTTTAAAAGAATCGTACAATGTCGTGAATACGTATTATAACAAACGCTGTCGGGAGTTTCCTTTGGTAAGGAAGTGGTTTACGTCGTGTTTGTTTTGTGTTTCTGTACATATAGTACGTAAATGCGAAAGTTTTTGTATAATGCGTTATGTGTATTTTATATGAGTGCGTTTATTGTTTTAATTCCCACGCTCGTTTGTGGCCGTAGACGCATATCAAGGAGTGTATAATAATGTCAGAGTACGATCTTCAATTCCAAGCTGATTTGGAGAAGGCACAGGCGCTGAGTCTAGAAAGTCTAGCTTTGGAACAATTTCGTCGGCAGAAGCAACTATCGAACGCAGGTAACTGACGTAACATTGTTTACTGAGAGATAACAAGGGACCCAATGTTATAAATGTTCCATAATTATGATGATACAATGTGTGCAAGAATTTTTTTTAATATTGTTTTAACAAAGAAATATATATCGATATATAATAATACCGTTTTGATCATTAGCCAAATGATTTGAACATAAATTCACTATTAATTTGAATTTTTATATTATACTAAAAATATCCAGAATAACAACATTCCCAAGGTTTTAATATGTTCAAACATTTATCATTATATTTGATAATTATGATAATAGCTCATTACTAATAGTACATTGTCATTGGTTAATGTTGTTGATTTTTCCACTAAATGCATTATAGTATTTGCACTTTTATCTCTAATAATATTTGTAAGATAGAAATTAAATATAATTATTTTATGTAATTTAACATTTGTAAAAAAACTAAAATTCACATATTTTATTATTTTTTATAGTATTTGAAGTCACATAGATTCATCATGGATAGAAACAACTAAGAACTATAATCTCATAAAAATGTTCTATTTATAACTGTCATGGACTAAATTGAAAAAAAAAAAAAACAGAATTCTATCAGTGGAGGCAGTAGTGCAGTTGAATTGTAATCTTCAAGAAAAAAGCCTATTCCTTTCAAAAAGATTGGCAACACACCTGTAAATTTTCTGATGTTACAGGTGCCCATGAGTGAGCTGCAAGCTAGTTTGCCCCCTTATGTCAGAAAAAAATACTTCTTATAAATAAAATAAAAAAACTACATTTCTAGAAAGAGTTACTAACAATTCATCCCTTTCAAATGGGTTGTTAGTAAAGGGGACTAGTGACCCCATTGCTAGTAATATACCCTATATTGCCTACGTTGGGTTGATCTCCATATAAGTCTCCCTGGAAATCAACATAATTAATACTTAATTTGATATAGATAAATAAACAATAATAGATGATGATAGTAATGGTAAAATGGCTATAAGCTATCTGATTTACTTAACATCAGGCAGGCCAAATGCTTGTATGCAATAGAGAAGCTGTTGTATAAATAAAATAAAAAATAGGATATTCCATGTTGATTTACTAGCCTTATCCCACATCAATATTAATCATTAAAATGAGTTGCAACTACTACAAAATGAACAAACTATTTGTTTTATATATTTATTTTTGTAGATTCTTTTTTTTTGTTTGTCTTATTTATAAATTCATTGCCGTTTATAAATGACTGCTCTTGATAAAAAAACATGACAAGTAACAAAACAACAAATTACATTTGAATAAGGGGGAACTAAAACTGTCTGATTACCACAATAAGCTCAATTGGTGCTGTATCAACAGAAATTAAGGAGCATCATTATTTTAATGATCTGTCATATGTTGCTATCACAGTGGAAGGAAGCAGAGTTTGTTAACCTGCTATGTAAAATAGAGCATTGATTAATGAAAATGTCATATCAGTTCAGGCCCTTCATCTCAACTGCTATGAAATGTATTGTCATTGAATTGTAATTATCCTATAATATAATATGAAGATGTGTATTTGGTACTTTAGTAATGCTTACACTATTAAGATGGTTGGTCGCTAAATAAAATTGGACAAGAAATACTAGATGGCGCGAGAATCAAGATTCGCCGATTTAAAAATTTTGCTTCTAATTATCTTTAAATACAAAATAATCAATAACACACTACTACAAGTCTCAATCCAATGCCATCTAAGTATTTATTGTCTTATTTTGTTTAGTTACCAACTACCTTAATGGAAATATATATATATATATATATATATATATATATATATATATATATATATATATATATATATATATATATATATATATATATATATATATATATATGATATTAATGAGATTGCAAAATAAAAGTATCAATCATGTCACTATTTTTTAATATGATTTTTTAATAGGATAATAACACACATGTAGGTAAAGCTGGATACTGATTATGGTATTAGGTTAAATTAGGCTTATTATAATATATAGAATAGGCCACTCTTTCCTTTCCCGTGGGTGTCATAAGAGAGCGACTAAGGGAGGGTGTCCCTCTTAATACATCTCTAAAGCCTAACTGCGGTTGCCAATCTACTTGCCAAGCATGGTAACTACTGGCAAAACTCCCCAAGGAGGAGGCTTGTGTTCTGCAGTGGACAGTTAAGGGCTGATATGATGATGATGATGAAGGCTTATTCACATTAACAAACTATGTAATATCAGTATTTGTATGAGTACTAAGAGAATGATCTGTATGTAATATTTATCTATTTATTAAGGCACACTAACAGCACATGTAAATATAATAAATTAAAAAGAATATTATACAAATAATATTATTTAGGATAGAATTTGAATGAGCGATAAGATGATTCATATTTAGCTCTATCTGAGCTAAATAATATACAATATTTGGTTTGGTAAGGTTTTTAATAATATACAAATGTTTATTCAACGTAAATAAACATACATATAAATAAACATAGGGCGTAAAATGAAGTGGGGGGTAAGACAACTACCGTAATAAGATTATCTTTGTTCGATGGTAGAGCAAAAACTATCAAATAAGATAGCAATTATCATGTCAGTAGATAATGGCCGCGAGATTGGCGCGGGTAGTACGCGGCGACGCGACGAGAGCGAAGGTACACCGCCCGCGCTGCCGCCGCCACCACGGAAGCCGTCCAGGGGACGAACGCCCGCGAATGACACATCCAGGTTAGTACAGTGATTGTCTTGCTTCTTAAGGTTATATTACACTATCAAGCATATTGGTTTGTAGTTATAAATATTAGCTAAAAACTATAGCGATCTCCCTAGATTATTTTTCAATATAAAAAAAATATAAACAGACATTATTCAAGATGTAATAAATTATTTTAATAACATTGAATGTGTAACAGTAGCTTAATCATTATTTATATTTTAAGTGTTTATCAGTTTGTTTGATTGTTACCTCATAGCACCTTAACAGCTTAACCAATCACTATGAAATTTGGTATACATGCACTAGATGGGATGGAAAAGGATATAGGCTATTATTTCCCCGGTCAGTAAATATATCCTAGTCACACGGACGAAGCCGCAGGTAAAGGCTAGTCAATTTAAAATTTATTTACGTTATGTTATAACATACATCTATGATAGTGTAATATGCTTTTTATGCCATAATATGTATTTAAAATGTGAAAAATTATGAAGACGTTTGTTATTCAATTATACTTAAATGACTGAACGCCTTTCTTCTTCTTAATTATTCTAGATTAAAACATCGGATAAATTCTATTTTAATTCACGTGGGTAAATAATACTGGTATCATTTAGACTTATTGATATTTCAAGTAAATATATTTTAAACTAGCCATACTACGAAGATCAGGTGGTATAACATGGGCATAATCCAGAAGCATAAGACTAGCCAAAGATAGGTTTCCTAAAATGTTAGTCTATTATTATTATTATTGTTTATATATTGTTTGAAAAATATCTTTTTTTATATAGGTACATTTTATTTCAGATAAACTTGTAAATAATATTAATATTGTCAATTTAGACTTTATAACAAGACTTATCAAAACTTTGTGTTTTCAATATAATATTTGAGTTTACAATTCTGCTATTTTTCAGTAAGTCATATTTAAGGATTTTATTGGCTACATTTTACATATATATATATCTATATAACAACCGATAATACCATGAAAATTAATATAAATATATATACTCATATTTAATGGCGCACATATGCTAAATAATTTGGTATCTGGTTAGAGGTAATATTTTTTTTTTATATAAATATTAATTTCTTCTCTAGATCTACGGGAGCTAGCCCAACAAGAAGCGAGAGCAGTGACCTAATATCATTCTCCAGTCCAACAAGCAAGTCGGCGCCCAAAGATGCACACGCTTTACTAAAAGAATACATTGATCAAATCAACAAGTGAGTACAAGGAATTCATCCTCATACGCTGGAACGTAAATAGCCACGTACAGTGCCGTTTCAGAGGAATTTCCTTCCGTGAAAGCTCAGGCTGTCGAATGAGTTCCCTGCGGAGGTTTTTCCTAGACTACAGTATTTATTTGTAGGCTCGCGAGCTCCATCTTAGACCACATCATCGATTTCCATCAGGTGAGGATGTGATCAATCGCGGGACCTTTTAATAGTAAAAAAAAATTATGGAGTTCTTAAAAAATGTTGAATTAAGGTTTCTACAGGGTCAGCAACGCACACGTGACCTTTCACCATCAGACAAGCTGTATTTTTTTTTGTCACCTTCATAGAATAAAAAAATTATTAAGTTTTGAAAAAAAAATTTGGTGGACAAAAGTTTTGTCTCATGGTAAAGAATAAAAAAAACCTGCAATTTGTTTTATTTCCGATCTCTACAGTAATGTAATTTTACAATTAATATTTTTATTTCTGTCTTATAAATACCATGTATAATGGTGGATACTTAAAGTCTGGGATAAACTCCATTAAATTTTTGTAATATTTATAACAAGAACAATGAACCTGTGCTTATTACAAATGTACTATGTTTTTGGCTATTTATTCTTTATTTGATATTGATAACGTGCTGATAAATTGTCACTTTGATAGCAAGTCATAGGTACTTTGTTGTGATAACAAAGTAATTGTTTCATTATTTGTAATTGTCGGAAAACAATTTGTTTGATCATTTGTTTTGAATAGATTAGTGATGTTCAAATTTGTAAGGGTCCATCTTAATGACAGTAAGATATTTAAGTCTAACTTTATAAATAGTTAATAAATATATTTTATTCGTATATAAATACTGATAACGTCTTTTGTTCAATGCAGCTTAGATCAGCAAACGGAAGAGCTCACATTGAAGTCGTCAGATCAGTCGCCTAGTGCAATGAATAATCAAAACTATAACCAAAGGCCGGGCTTTCCATACCAACCTAATTATGGATACTATCAACATTTACCACCACGCGCGATGCCTCCGTATCCTACCACGCCGTACGGAATGCCAACAGTTGCGCCAACGCCAATGCCATCACCAATGCTGGCACCAATGCCCAATTATTCGTACTACCCGCCAACCATGGTGGTGCAACACGAACCTCCTCCGGTTTACAGTTCAACGAACTCACCGGGCTACCCTCCGCCGTACACGTACGTTCAAACACGTATGTCCTCCCCAACGCCAGCGCCGTACGTAGGGTATCCGCCGCCATCAAACACCACATATAACTATAACACGACGAATCTGATAACGAGACCAGCCAGACCGAGTCTGTACCCGTCGTTGGCTCAGAACCACACGTATCCGCCGCTCCAGTCCGCCGCACAGAAACCAGCCAATAATAATAATAATAATGTAAACAAACCACAAACGAAGACCGAACCGTCTAGAAACAACGCGGAGGGCAACAACTCTAATAAATCTGCAGAGGTAAGTTTTTTGAACTTTCTCTTCTATATACATATAATAAAACTGTAGAGTTCGAGTGTCTGTACATAGAAAAAAAAAACGCTAAAAACAGGGGGATGTTAGAAGTGAAATAGAACACAACCCGAGTTTTATAAAATTTTTTGTTGCTCTGTCTGTTTGTCTGTTTGTACGGACTAATCTCCGAAACTGTTTGACTGATTTTATTGAAATTTTGTATCGTGATACCTTACATCTGCTGCTAACATTTTACATAATTTTAATCACGGAAAAATAAAAAGTTCCCGTGGGATAGTTAAAAAACTATAGTAACTTATACAGCTTGGTACACAACATACTTAAGCCATTTTGGCTAATGCAAAGGATGGGAACGACACGTCATTGATCAATTTTGGTCCAGTATTCCCAGACATAATAAATAGGCGGGTACATACATCGATACATACTAAACGGGAATAACAAATACCACGCGGACAAAGTAGTGGACATTAGTTAGTATTTAATAATTTACTAATTGCGTTATCGCTCGAAATGCGCAACTATATCATAACCCAGATATTTTGTGACGCTTGGCTGGTTAACATATGGATAATATTTTGTGCTTTTCAATATTTGTAAACATACTTGGTATAAATTTTTTAATATGCAAAATTTTTTTTTGCTTTGTGTATATTCTATATGCATTGTCATTGTAAATTTACGCAAAGAATATTACCAAGTACATTCCTACTATGAGAACTTTTTTCTGTTAATAGACAACTGTTTTTGATCTTAAACTATCACTGACGAAATATCTATTGTTTTTCTTTATCTATTTAGCTTTTTGTATATTTATTTCAGTTTAGGCTTAGAGATAGGGCTGTAATACTATATTTTTTTTTTTTGTAGAACGAATCAAACGACACAGTGGGAAGTCTACCCAAGTCGCCCAACCTGATAGACTTCGGTGGTAGGAACAGTGGCCCAGGTAGCGTAAGAGTCAGTGTGCTTGAGGCGTTTGATCCTCTACTAACTGAGCAAAGCAACGCTGGTGAGTGGTTTGTGTTTCATTTCATTATCGCAACTTGTCCTACGTTTTAACTACCAAGTGCTATTCGCATTATCTCTTTAGAAGTGAGAGCCTTTGCTATGGAAACTTCTATTTGGTAGTTCGAATAAGACATTTGACAATATATGGACTCGCTATATAGTTCCGATTAAGGTATGATGTTTGACACCCCTCGTTTTTGATTCACGTTCATTTCTCATTTTTATTCACAAGACTGTAAGGACACAGTTCACACCAAAATGTAATTTTTATTATCGTTTAACTTTTAACAATGAAATTACTGTTAAACGATTCGTATGTAGACATTATACTTTAATTTTAAAATAATAACTGGATTGTTTTATGTTTACCCTCAGTCATGAGTGGTCTTGACGTCATTCTTACTGCTCAAAGGTACTTATCATGAAGGATTTTGGATGCTCTGAAACTAATTGGTCTTTAAAAAATCCTTTTATTCGGTTATTATTTTATAATATAGCTAAATTTTGGCCACCATACTGTATTAAAAAAAACATATTGCATTGGTAATTTGATTAATTGTTAATTCGCCATAATACGATTTTTTTTTAAATACAACCAGTCAATTTGTTATGACGAATTTTACAAATTAGCTATGACATATTCTAGAAAATTGAATTTTATTTCATTACATTATAGGTGTACAAATATTTTTTTTTTTAAGTCTATTCAGCTTATCGTAATTCAGCTTTTAACTACAATATATTGGATTTGTCACAAAGTGATAATTTAATGCAAATTATTGGTATTTGTTTACAGTACTATTGCTTTTTAATGTTGGTTTGAGATATACAATTTGCACCACAATATTCAGGGTTGTTTGGTAGCCACGGAATAAATGATGCATTTATCAGTATATTATATTGTTGCAAGAAGCACAATCATTAAAAATATCATTCCACTGTTCACAAAATCATTATTTTCGTTAATTTTGTGTTGTGGCTAATGGCTGAAATTATTTGTTTTTTTTTTGTTTTGTTTGAGAGCATTTTGAAGTTGTGATTGTAATATATAATTTTGAAATATCTATTAATTTAGTATATTAATTTCTAATTACTTCATCTTATCTTATAAATCTGGTGATTGAGTATAGTATATATTAAAAAAAAACAGTAAAATTTTTTAAAGGTTCATTAATAGTTAATGAAAATGAAAATAACAGAATTGTATATATCTTAAAAAAATTAGTCAAAATAATGTCATTGGTATTTAACGTTTTTGTTTTGATTTCTCTTCAAAAACAATTAACTTTTTTTTTTATACAACTTAGAATGGCAAACAAGCTTCAAAAACTATTAACTTATCAATACTATTCCATTACTTTTGTTAATACATTTTATGTTACAATATGTGTTTATTTATACTTGTTCATAGAATATGAAGAGGCGAATGACGGCACAAACAGTGTGTACGACCCCCTGGATCTACTGTACGGCGAGACAGAGATGCGGGATACACCTATATACGCGACTATTAATAAAAAAGAAAACAATAAGCTTCCATCTCCACCGCCAAAATCAATACCTTCAATGCCTGCACTACCTAAACGGCTTACTACTGTGAGTTTTACATATTTTTAAGTTAATCGGTTAAATCTGATGAGATTTGTGAATATTATTAAATGTTATTTTTTTTATTGCAGAACAAATTGTATGACTGCATAGAGAAAACAACAGTTAGAAATTATAATAGTGAACACAAAGCATTTTTAAGAATGGTGCTCGATGTTAGAAGTAAGTTTGTTTAATTTTTTTTAAGCTCTAGAATAAAATAATTTGTTCTAGCTATGGCACTACTGATAGAATCTAAGGGCTACGCCCCTGAAGAAACTTGGTCATTTTTATGCTGTTTGTAAAGGGTGGAATATGACAGTGAAATCAGTAGCTGCTGTCACTTTGTGAATATCATACTGTGACCTTTATTTTATGAGGTTTGTTAACAATGCTGTAATTTTTTTTTAATGGATAAAAATGGAATATTATCTTAGTAACGTATAGTCTGGCAGGGTACCAGTTAAAGGTGATAGGTGAGAATGAAGTCTGTTCTGTCGATTCATTTGTGACAAATTCACTAGGAATCAATTTGAATGGTTTCCAGAAGAGATATTTGGAGATCGACCTGGCAGTGTATATGCCTAGCAACAAGACTGTTAGTTCCATTATAAGGGGAGGGGATTGTAATCCACTACCCCTTGTCTTTCGTGTTGCAAGTAATTGTGGACTGCAGTAGCCATCTATCATATCAGGCGGGATTAAGTCCTTAAATAAAAAAATAAACCTATTCATTATATGTAATTAAATGTTATGTTTTCCATTACAGAAAAATTCATATATGAAGATGTGACGAATCCTGGACATGTGATTGCAGCGAGGTCTGGTGGAAAATACCCTCCAAATACTAGCATAAAGATTTTAGTCCATCACACACATTCAGATGAGCCAATCACCTTTACATCCGATGGTAAATAAATATAAAATGTAACTGTGTGGAATAAGAATTGGAATTATTTGTCTGTAAATACTAATGTTACATTTATTTTCAGTTGAGTCCACTGTAGAACATGTGATATTAACAGTATTGTGTTCTCTTGATGAGGATATAAATGAGGATATGTCTGGATATATGTTGCGGGTAAGACTTATATTAATCTACTATTGAATCCCTGTCAATTCTATTGTCCTAATGATATTTATTATTTACTTTTGTTGCTATTAATTAGTTGTTCATTGACAGCAAATCACTGACTATTTCAAATGTTTTCGAAAATATTATTCAGTGTCTCATTTTTGTCTTTTAACTTTTTTCTACATAAAATTCATATAGAAAATCTGAATCGAAATTAAAGTCGTAGATCAACTTTTGATATTTCAACCCTTCGACGTTAAAATTGAATGACTGATAGTATTAGTGTGACAATACCGTATCCAATTAATTAAAGTAATAAATCGTTCTCTGTATGTAATCCCTTTTAATGGTCCTTCGAGCCGGATGACATGACGTTTAAACGGTTGGCAGGTGTGGGGCGCAAAGGAGTACCTGACGGCAGGCAGCTCGTTGAGCGAGTATGAGTACGTGCGCGAGTGCGTGCGGCTGGAAAAGGACGTGCGGCTGTGTCTGCACGAGAGCAGCGACACCGAGTTAGCGCGCACGCAGTACGACGACGCGCGAGCCGCACACCTCACGCTTGACGATTTGCTGCCCGCGCACACTCTCGCCTCCTCGCTCACTTTCGATAACCTCTCTATACTATTAGGTAAGTCTGTACTTACAGTACCTACAAATTATTCCATTATGCCCGATTCGACAATTTCTGAACTCTTAGGCGAGTAGAGTAAATATTATTTATATCTCTCTTGCTTTATGCTTCATTCGTCTATATATAACTTAAGTTTATGTATGTAACATATAACAAGTCAACTTACACTCATACTTTATAGCCGATTTTATTTACATACGAATGTTCCATGTTAAATAATATATATATATATATATATATATATATATATATATATATATATATATAAATTAATATATATATATATATATATATATATATAAATTAATGCCACTTTTGTTGTAATTTTATAACTCAAGAACGGGCTCACCTATCCAAATCAAATGTTTAGGCTTTGTTCGGACTATTTAGTAGATGGTTTATGTGAAGTTTGCACAAAATCGGTCGAGCGGTTCTTCATTTATCACATTTTTTGTAACAAATGAATTCAGTAAATGGCGGATCATTTTGATAATGGGGATTATTGTGTCAAATTCGAACTTTTTTTTTTTAAACTGGGGATTGTGTTGTCATATTGAAACTTTTTTCAGTGTTGACTGTACAAGCATGTTGTTATGTCATTCATGCGGTCATTTTTTTTTTTTTATTATTTCACTTTATACGTAGGCGAAGCACGTATCGGCCGCTAGTTTATTTATAAAAATTACGCTGTATACTTGCTCTTAATACATATCGATATCTGAATTTTGTGTCAGTTTTCAAAAATAGTTATCAATATTTTTTAATATAAATGAAAATTGACAGACGATGCAGATATCGGACTTTGTACGCATTTGAGTATTCTTAATAGTCCTTAATATTTATGTATTTTTATTATTGACCCACGCAGAGACATTAGAGGGCGAGTTGTCGAAAGCGATCGGCGTGATCGGCGCGGAGGGCAGTTGTTCGCCGAAAGCGGTGTTCCAGGCCGTGAAGGCGATATGTGCACTCGCAGGCGGCGTGGAGACGTTACACATCACTCACACGCTCAACGCGTTCGCTCAAGCGTGCGTTGGAAAGGTGAGTGCTTATTATTTCACATAGGCACTATGTTATTTATGCGATTGTACATTTTCATGGAGTATTAACCTTTTCTTGTGATGATAGTTCGCTAATTTGTCTAATAAAAATTTTGTACCGTCACAGAAGTCAGGTGTAAAATTACACTGACGAAGGTATTAATTTAGGTTTGATGTAGATATAAAGAAATTAGGTATTAGAGCTGAACAATAATCGATTATTGTCAGGTATGTAACTTGCTTATTTTATATATCTGGATGTGTAATAAGACAAATATATATTGTATGAAGATGCTACCACGTTTGAAATTAGAATAATAACATCGTCCGTGTTATTTGTTAACTCTGATGAAGTGCCAGTGAGGAATAATAGGCGAGGATAAAGTTTGGTCAATTGTTCTATCGTACAATTAAACAATAAGTTTCTAAAAATAACAACTTGGAACTATTCTATTTTTTTTTTATGGCTGAAAATGGAATGGTAATCCCGCCTGCGCTAACGGGATACGCTGGCGGGGTACCAGTGAAGGGTTATCATCCTTTCCTGATGAATTCCAAGCATCATGTTGAATTCATCAGGAATTAACCATGATAGTCTGTCAAACTCCATTGTTAACAATCCCTTTCCCCCCGGAAGCGTGGTATTAGAAACGGAATGTAGGTGAGATGTGCGCGCGCGCAGGGCAGCAGCCACGTGGTGACGCCGGAGATCCAGGCGGAGGCGGGCGCGTACTGCGCGGTGTCGCTGCGCGCGGGCACGGCGCGCGAGGCGGCGGCGCGGCAGGCGGCGCGCGTGCGCGACGCCGTGCGCGCGCTGCTGGCGCTGTACGCGCGCGGCCGCCTGCTCGACTTCGCGCTCGCCGACGCGCACGCCTTCCAGCCCGCCGACACGCACAGTACGTACGCCGCTACACGCTCACTAGCCAATATCAGTGTTTTGTTCTTTTGAGGGCAAAACAATAAACTGAGTTGTTCTCTTTGTTTTTTCTTTGCTTCTTTTTCGTTTTTTATTCTTTTATCTTTTTTACTGTGTATGTCTGTATTATGTGTATGTTTGTATTATTATTGTAATCTATCTACTGTTTAGCGCTGTATGCGCACGATCGTCTGCTGATCATTGCGCTCGCTGACGCGTATGCTTTTTACTCTGCTAAAACACAATGTAAAAATGTATTAGATTTAAATGATATAATTAAGATATAAAGTGATTACTTTTCTTAAATATATTGTTAATAGGTATATAAGACCACGTAGTGATAAAAATCAAAAATAAATATTGCGTTGGTTTGGTCATTTGGAGAGAATGGATGAAAAAGTTGCGAAAAAGATTTATCGAAAACAAATGCATGGAAATGCCGGTAAGGGCCATACTATACGGACGTATGCTGATCAAATAGGCGACGTGCTGAAGCAGGGCTAAATTAAAAGTACCAGTAACTAGCAAGCGTGTCTGGAAGCACTGATGAATGTGGAAGAAGTAAAAGAGGTATCTTTGATTCCAAATATTAGGCTTTTCACTATTTCTGGAGTACAAAAGAAAACAAGCGTGACAGATATGTAAGTATAAGTTCATAAGCCCATAAAAAGGCGCTTATATATGTATGTACTTTTAGCAATATATTTAGGCACAGTTAAAAGTTCTACTCGCATCCTGGGATGGACATCAGATAGTCCTGGGTAGGTACGGTCCATGACCTAAAACACGTTTTTGCCGGTATGGATGTAGCGTAAAGCAATGTGCGTGCGGTTTGCAGAAGCGATGCCGTCGCACCGTGTGGGCGAGGCGACGCTGTTCTGCATCGAGGCGGTGCACGGCGTGCCGGCGGGCTGGGCGCACGACGAGTACCAGGTGCACGCGCAGCTGCACTACGGGCCGCGCGCGCTGCACGCGCCGCACCTCACGCACGCCTCGCGCCTCGACGGCGCCGGCTTCTACCCGCGCCTCATATTCGACACCTGGTCAGTACCGCTACTGCGCCGAAAAAAAAAACTAATAAAAAAAACAAACTGAATTTATATCGTAATAATGAATATACTTACTATCATATAAATACGCATTAAGTTTTTTTTTTAATGGGTGATAATGAAATGGTAAACCCATCCGCGCTATTAGTATACACTGGCGGGGCGCCAGTGAAAGATGATAGGTGAGAATGAAGCAGATCAGTTAGCCCATTGTGACGAATTCAACAAGAATTGTTCACGATGGTTTCCAGGGGGAACCGCGTGGAGGTCGACCTGATACTCTATCATATATTGCTGGCAATGGATCAATTAGACCCCGTTACTAACAATCTCTTTCCCCCCAATACGTATTATGTTAAATCCTATATCTTATTCAAGGTTATCGATATAATTCACTCCGCATAGTATATCATAAAATTATAATATTCATACACATGGAAACAGAAAAACTTGAGACCAAAATAAATAAATAAAGTGTAAATTCACCATTACACAAGCTTAAAAATTACAAAAAATCATAAATAAAATTTTCAAATATAATACATTGTCTCTATAGGTTGAGTTTAGAAGACGTACCAATAAACACGTTGCCGCGCGAGACTCGGCTAGTTTTGATATTGTACGGGCGCACGCAGCGGGCGGTCGACAGTCAGAACCAGAGTAATGAGAACAGCCAGCAGGTCGTGCAAGAGGGCGAGGAGAACGGAGACGTGCAGTATGAGCAGGTCGAACTCGGGTGGGCCGCCATACAGATGTTCGACTATGATGGGTGAGTCTAATAGTCTATTTTAATATAACAAAAGGCGACCAAATTTTTTTAATTCTCTTTGCGTCTTCTTTCATCATGGATATGGTAAAGGAGTGGAAATCTCACCGTGTTTATGTTTTTCCATCTAAATATAATTTGCACCAATATAAGGCAAATGTGAAATGGCTATTCGTAGACCCACGAGCCCTATTTTATATCAACACATTTAATCATCTATTTTTTATTTGCACTGCTATTGGATAATAGTAGACTGTCTTATAGTCAGGTTATGTATTTGATTTAAACAATCAATCAATATCTTCCTGAAGTTCCATTGATACTCGACTACAGTCTAGTCTGATTATAATAATAATAATTTTACCGAAACAATTTAAAAATATTTAATTTTGTAAAAAGGATACTGGTTGTATTTATTTATATATTTTGTTGTTGTGTATCAAATATCTATCATTTACCCTTGCAGTATGTTGGCGTCCGGCGCGTACGTGCTGCCGCTATGGGCAGCCAGCTGCGACCGCCGCACCGGGCCCGCGCCCCCCGCACCCCTCGCGCCGCCCTCCTCGCCGCTCATCAATATAGGTACCTACACCGTATAAACGCACGCACATGCACACACGCGCAAACAATACATACTTGTAGACGCGCACGCACGCACCCATGTACATATACGTACACACAGCACGCATACAGACATGTGTGCTAGTAAATGTTGAGTTTCTTGCGGGTTCTTTTCAGCAGATAACAATATTTCGAACCCAGCTCTAGAATGATAAAAGATGACAACTTAAAAGAGAAAATTGATTTTTACATTTAAATAAGTCTATTTCAATATAGTTGATTTTGTATTTGACACATATTCACTCATATACATACACATTAGCATTGCCTATAATTTCTTCAACATTCCCGAGATTTCTTGATCGATTGGGATAAAATGTTCTTCATTCCAAATACTATGTTTATATTAATAACTAATTACTCTATGAAAAATTATTTATGTAGTTCAAAGAGAGCAACTCTCATCTAATACATACTGATTTGTTAGTATATATTAAATACATTTTGTAGTTTTTTGAATATATAAATTAATAGTATCGCAACATGGGAATTTGCATTTTCTCTTAGATTTAGCAACATATAAACTACTTACTTATTATATAAATATTTATACCTTTTTAGAAATTCCGTTATACGATCACAATGGTGTGAAGTGGACAAGCGGCGAGGAAGGCAAAGAGAAGACATTGTTACCTGAAGATCTCCCGAAGTTCGACTCGTTGGACAAGCATACGCAGTCACAGTTGCTACACCTCATTGAACAGGGGGCGTACAATAAAATGCCCACTGAATGCAGAGAGGTAATCTACTTAAAGGTTCTTTTTTACACGAATTGTAATGGGAAATAAATTTATATCTCACATGTGTTAGGATTTTCAGCAGTAAATCGGATATAGATTGTTAGTAATGGAGCTTCTTTTTTAATTGAAGATAATAATAGAATGGTAACTAATTAATAGAATGGTAATAGTAGAATGGTGACAAGTGTTAGTAGCCTGTCTATAGCCAACTGTCAGAAAGCCTTCCACGCGGTTTCTCCTAGAAACCATCATGCTCACTTCCAAGAAAATTAATGACGATGGGCAAACTGACAGTTTCATCCTCACCTATTATTCCTTACTGGTGCCCCGCCAGCATAAACTGTTAGCGCAGGCTTGGTTACCAATCCATTAACATACATTAAAAAAAAAAAAAACCTTTACTGTCTAACTTCTCTTTACAATATAAACTGTTGCCCTATCTATCTTTACTGTTCTTATAATAATGATTATTATGACAGATACTATGGGAGAAGCGACAGTACTTGGTGGAGCTGGCGGGTGCACTGCCTTTGGTGCTACAAGCTGCCACTAACTGGTACGGTGAGCATCGGGAGCAATTGGTCGCGTTACTACACATCTGGCAGAAACCATCGCCAAGAAACGCTATGCATTTACTACTGCCTTAGTAAGTGACCATTTTTTTTTTCTTTTATGTGCATTTAAAATAGTGACAGCTGACTGAGAAAAACCTATGTTTTTGCTTTCTGACTTCGAAACCTTTGGTTTTGGAAATCTAAATATTTTTTTGTTGAATTTTCGTGCTGACTGTACTTGAAACCTTGCAGGATTTTTTTTTACATGGGGTGATGTGTAATGAAAAAGTAGACCAGTAGATACTATTTTATTAATGCAAGAACATGGAAAGATAACCTCACCTGGCTTACGAATACAGTTTGCGATGGCATGGATACGAGTGAGCAATAATGGGCAAAGGTCAGTTGGTCCATTGTGACTAAATGATCCCCGTTTAGTCAATCTCCTTTCCTTCCAAGGTGTATTCCCACCAATTGTACCAAAGCTACAGTCCATGGTGTGTAATTATATATACTGGTAGCAACAGGATTGCTACCACCTCTTACTATCGGTGGGGGGGGGGATTAGTATTAGTAAGATGGTAATCCCACTGCTAGCGATATACCCTATCAGGTCGACTTCCATGTGGTTCCTTCTGGAAACCGTCGTGATTAATTTTTGTTGATTTCATCACGATTGACAAACTGACCTGCTTCATCATCACCTATTATACCTTACTGGTGTCGCGCCAGTGTAAACCGATAGCACAGGCGGGCCTGTCATACCATTATAATTCATTAAAAAAAAGAAATAACCTCTTACTAATCTTTCCCTTGGATGATGTGTCTATTGCACCACAGTTGCAATCCACGGCGTGTATTTATTATTTAAATGTTTTTCCGATGATTTTTACAGTTTCCCCGACGCAGCGGTGAGGTCAGCGGCTGCGCTGTTGGTGAGCGGGCTGCCCGACGATGACCTCTGTTGCGTACTGCCGCAGCTGGCGCAGGCGTTACGTTATGACACCTACGACTGCAGCCCACTCGCAGGTATGCACTTTCATAAACTCTCAATCACACTCCTTTTCCCTCGCACTAACACTCGCCCTCGCACATCCATAGCCTTCTATACATATTAACACTCTCTTCCATCCTCTTTGTATTCCTCACCCTAACCTATGAGGGGTTTTTTTAATATATGAAAATGGAATGGTAACCCCGTCTACGCTATCAGTATACGCTGGCAGAGAACCAGTGAGGGATGATAAGTGAGGATGAAGTAGGTCATTTCACCCATTATGATTTCATCAAAAATTAATCACAATGTTTTTCAGGATCAATCGTGTAGAGGTTGATCTGTTAGGGCATATTGCTAATCATTTTATCTGTTAGGGCCTGTTACATCTCATTACTAACAATCCTTGCCTCCCCAATATATGAGGATTGATGCCTAATGATATGTCAGGATAAGATTGGGTCAGTTGGTCCAGGGTTTCTAGGGGGAACTGTGTGGAAGTTGACCTGACAGGGTATAAGATATATGTATGTATAAAATATGGGAGTATAAATCTTTAGTACTGGGGGATTGTTACAAATAATCAGCCCCATCTCCTCATATACTATAAGTGTGTTTCCCCCTGGAAACCATCGTGAACAATTCTTGTTGATTCGTCACGATGGGCTTCTACTTCATCCTCATCTATCATCCTTCACTGGTGCCCCGCCAGTGTATACCGATTTCCATTATCATCCATTTAAAAAAAAATCTTTAGTACTCATTACAAATAATAAATAATATATATATATATATATATATATATATATATATATATATATATATATAATAACTAATTTATGTTTATCTATAGATATTATTTACTTATTTATACTACAAATGAACACAATATTGTATGTTCAAAATATATATGTTAAAATGTTTTTTGTTTTTTGCAGAATTGTTACTGTCTCGAGCATTGGCGTCTCCCACTGTAGCGCACCGCTTGTTCTGGTTGCTGGTACATTCACTGCCTAATTTGCCTCAGGTAAAACTTATCATATAGACATTGCACAAAAGCCTAATCTTCTATCTATCTATCTTCTTCTATACTTATAATAAATCTGTAGAGAGGTCAATTCTGTACATGAAATATATTTCCAAAATAACTATGAGGGGGTGATTAGTGATCGTTACTAATGCCAAAAATGCAATCAGTAAAATTTTTGTCTGTCTGTCTGTCTGTTTGTTCTTTATAGAAACAAAAACTACTCGATGGATTTTAACGAAACTTGGTACAATTATTCTTCATACTCCTGGGCAGGTTATAGCATACTTTTCATCACGCTACGATCAATAGAAGCAGAGCAGTAAAGAGAAATGTGTCTGTTACACCAAAACCACTGAACCGTGAGGAAGGACATAGGCTACTTATTTTACGAAAAACGACGAAAACGCGGACGAAGTCGCGGGCAACACCTAGTTAGTCAATAAATTTTGTCATTAATAGATTGTTAATTTATATTGCTAATACTAGGTAACAACGGAAGAGTTCCTCGGTATATCTTTAGAGGAGAATGGCGATGAGCCACCAGAAGTGGAACCGTGTATGACGGCCACGTGGCGCTACCAGCTGCTACTACGCGCTTTACTAGCTGTTTGCGGTGAAAACCTCGCCCGCACACTGCAGCGGCAACAGGCGTTGGTCACGGTGTGTACATGTTGTTTTTTATATTGAATTTATAAATAAAATATTTTGAAATACATCAAGATCCAAAACATAAATAAGGGTATAAAAGTAATGTAAAGTGGACAATCTACTTACGAGAAAAAAATATTGTGAGAAAAAAATTTAAGAACATTGAAAGCTAACGCTAGGTTTTTTTAATGGATGATAATGGAATGGTAACCCTACCCGCGCTATCGGTATACACCGGCGGGGCACCAGTGAAGGATGATAGGTGAGTATGAAGCAGGTCAGTTAGCCCATCGTGACAAATTCAACAAGAATTGTTCATGATAGTTTCCAGGGGGAACCACGTGGAGGTCGATCTAATAAGGCATATTGCGCTAGCAATGGGGCTGTCAAACTCCATTGCTAACAATCCCTTTCTCCCCGCTAACGCTAGGTTAATAATATCGTTTTTGAAAGAATTATATTTTCTTATCTCTCTCATCTTATAGCATGGGAGACGTAAGAAAATATAAGTCTTCCAGCCATATGTGGATGGTCGTATGTTTGTTTGTCACCATAGTAGTATAAAATATAATAAAAAATAAATGATTTATATATATTTATATATATGAATGTTACAATATATATATATATATATATATATATCTAAATGTATGTTATGTATTTTATATGTTTATTTATGTAATATATGCTATTATAAGTACTTAGGTATTTGTATAGTATTCAATTCATATGATTATGTTCTTTTGAACATATTTCGTCAAATAGTTACCGCCTCTTATTCTCCTCTACATAAAGGTTGTTTGGAAGAGATTGCTTTAGCGTTAAGGTACCGTCTTTTGTACTTTATATGTTGTTTTGTATTATTCTTAAAGTGGTGCAATTAAGAGTGAATAAATAAAAAATAGAATAGTGTAAAAAGTGAACGGTGGTGTGTTGTGTACGGTACAGATGCTGAGCGAGGTGGCGATGCTGGTGAAGATGTCGAAGGAGGGCCAGCGGGGCGCTACACTGCGCGGCGGCGCGGGCCGCCTGGCCGCCCGGCTTCGTGCTGAGCCGGCCGCGCTGCCGCTGGCGCTCGGCGCACACGTACACGACGTCGACGTCAAGTGTGTACCTTCTCTTAAAAACGTATTTTTTTTTTATACAACTTAGAATGGCAAACAAGTATAAATATATATTTCTCAAACATGCTTGGAAATTTGAGCATTATTTTGACAACCTTCTTCGAGATAAATCGAACTTGCGGTACTGGTCGAGCAGCGGCCGGCAATAGTTGTATGAAAATCCATATCTGTCGTGTTTAGCGGCCAAATAAATTACTATGTAAAATCATATTTGTCGTGTAATTTAAAAATGGAACGATCTTCTACTCCGCAACATGGCGATCAAAGAGGTAACTTATCAAAGGTTTAATTTAAATTTCGAACTGGCTTGCACATAGAAAGCTGTTTAGTGAAAAAAAAATAATACTTTGGCGCGTAAAAAACTATTGTTATTAGTTGTTCGTCAACTTCGTCATTGGTTTTAAATACTTTTGTATTTGACAAAATGAGTTCAAGTGAAGACAATGAGTGTAATGAAATTATTTTAACGCCACCTGAAATTCAAGAGGCAGCAAGAGCAGTAGTAGAAAACTTGTTGCCGCCAAAATCTAAAGAAAAATATTTGAAAATCTATGAAAATTTTGTTCAATGGAAGAATGAAAGAAAATCGAAATCCTTATCCAAAAATATTTTTCTGGCTTATTTCGGCGAACTCGCCAAGAAAGTGAAGCCTACAATGCTTTGGGTCATCTATTCAATGCTAAAATGCACAATTTTAATGAAACATAACGTGAATTTGAATAATTTCCGCGTATTATTTAAGAAAAGTAGTATACAAGCCTTGGCCGCAACTAGGCATTGATGGACTCACGTATGTGTGCCTCGGGTTCCCCTCGGCCCACATTCACACGTTCGTCCATCAATGCCTCTCTTGCCGGCCGCTGCAGTAATGCACTATAGAATATAAAGATATAAGTTTTTGGTACTTGTTAGTAATGATCCCCTCTTCCCAACCTATAAATGTGTCATTCATATTCAATTTCCTACTTACCCTCATCCGCCTCGACATGTATAATAACTTTTTTTTTATACAACTTAGAATGGCAAACAAGCTGACGGCCCACCTGATGGAAAGTGGTAGCCGTCGCCTATAGACATGAGCAGTACCATGGACATAACAGAGTGTACTGTTTTGCCCATGATACCCCCCATGCGTTGCCATTCCTGAGGACTCAGATGTTATTCCTCTGTACTCTGTAAATTCAAAGACTGACAACAAAGCATTAAATAGAACAATTTTTTTTCAGATCATGTACATACTTTTCATCGAATACTCTACCTCTTAAAATAAACTTCATCGGAAGCGACGAAGCCATTATTCCAGCAATGTTTAAGGTAGAATACCATTTTAAATATATTCAAAACGAATAAATTTCGCTGTATCATCATATTAAATTAGATTTATCATATTACATTAGAATATTAAAATTAATTATCCCATCTCAAATCAAATCAAATCTCACAAGTGACTCCGAATTATTTGAGTATTGTCGAACCCTGCCTATTCATGATAAAGTAAAATATTGCCTCTTAAAAGTACATTTCTTTAAACAGGAAATTCAAACAAAAATAAATCATGCTATACATACTCACTCCGCCGCGCAAAACAAGCTAGTCACTACTCGAGCAAAAAATTACTATGGCGAGCGAACGAGCGCCTACCTTATACCGCGATTAATAAATTCTCTACCTACCGACTTGCGAAACAATATCACTGTCAAAAACATAAAATTTAAACTGAGAGCTTATTTACTGTCCAACCTTGGTAAAACAGCAGAATATTAATGTAAATAGTGATATTTGAGAACCGAATGTAAAGTATCACACACAAGCCCAAGAGGTTTAAGTGGTACTAAAAATCCAATTTTTTTAATGTATTTATGTATGATAATTAAATAAAAAAAATATATATATATCATAGATTTTAGATGTACCTTCAATATTAAATCAAATGTCGCAAATATAAGAAAAAAATATGTAATTTACTTTTAACATTTTATAGATAAGCGCTTGCTTATAGGTGATCAGATTTGCAATATAAAAACTTATAATAATCAATTTTATCATTGGGTCTGTTGTGTAATTATTTTCATTATTTTGCTAGGTAGGCGATGACCTTCGGCAAGATTCGTTAGTACTCCAAGTGATCAAGGTGATGGACAGTTTGTGGCTCAAAGCTGGTTTAGATCTGCGCATGGTTACTTTCCAAGCACTGCCAACAAGCAACAAAAGGGGTGAGATATTTTTTTTTACTGTAACACCTATACATTGAGTAATTGAAGGGTATTTTAACTATGTAATTATCTAATTGTTAATTTTCAGTCATTATTGAATAAATAGAATTATTAACGACTAATTTAATTCTAGTTATATATGTTAATGTTTTAAGTTGAAAAGTAATATAGAATTTGGTTCTTCTGTAGATGCCACCAATACTTAATTATTTGATTTTTCCCCCCGCTTATAGAATAGGGTATTTGAGAGGTTCATGAAAACATCTCAAATTGTGCATTATAATATGTTATTAGCTTATTATATATATATTAACACTTAGTGATAACTGGTAATTTATAAATGGTGCGTAGTGCTATAATGTACATGTTTTAAAATGTTTGTTTATACTAAAGAACAATAAGGTTAAGAAAAATTTGTTAATGTTCGCATGTAGATATCAGAAGTGTATGTTTTTGTGATTTTGGTTTACAAAATAATAATTTAGTAAATAAGTACATTTATGTACTACAAATATATTTATGCATGTATTTACTAGTACACATTTAATTTAACTTAAATGCGTTTACGATAATACTTAGTGTTGCTTTCACATTCTTTAATTTGATAGCGTAAATGTCATGGTTCTTTTTGAAAAATAGTCCGACCATGATTGTTTCTATTTCAGGAAGGTTACTATTATCATCTTTAACATAGTTGCTGTCCATCGCAGTTAATATAATTTTCAAAGATAATTTGTTATTTTAATCCCTGATAGATAAGAATATTAGTAAAAATTAAGAAAAAACACTAATGCGCGGTACAAATCATCAACTGATATTTTCTGTAAACAAGCAAGTAACGTCACTCCAGATTCAACCAATCCCGTGTGTTTTTAATTACATGGTTAAACATTAAACATTTTTAATTTTATTTATGGTTCCTTTAAATATTCCTATACATATTTTAAAATAATGTGTTGGCTAAATATGTTTAAAAAATGTTTACTGTTAAGCTAACAACAGTTTGACTTACATTTTTGTAATAGTTAAATACTCTATTGCGTACAAATGTTAATTACGTGAACATTAAAATTACAAGTGTATATATGACAAATAACTGAATTATATCTGTTCTCGTATCTACGTGTAGACAAGTTGTAACTTTATCCTTTTATTACAGGTATGATAGAAATAGTAACGGAAGCGGAAACCCTCCGTGCTATTCAGACTGAATGGGGCCTCACTGGATCATTCAAAGACAAACCTATTGCCGAGTGGCTCGCGAAACACAATCCTTCTGAGCTCGAATATCAACGAGCTCGTGATAATTTTACAGGTAAGTCATTGTATAAATTTTGTTTTATTTACATTGAATAGTCATAATTTGGCAATAAATTTACAAACGATACGTGAGTGGTATTAATGAGCATATCATGTGTGGTAAAAGGAAGAGATCATATTAAAAGATATTGAAAGTTTTGGGGTGTTTAATTGGTGTAAATACCAGTAAAAGATATTATACTTGAGAGAAAACTAGAAATCAATAGGATATTAATGCTTTTAGATTGTCTTTTCAAATAGATTGTTTGTTATTTGTAATAGAATAAAATAGGTGTACTACAGGGCTCAATTTTATGACCTTTATTTTTTTAAATAAAACGCTTTTTCTTAGTAATTTTAAACAATTGTAATATTATTAGAATTAAAGCATTTATGTTTTTTTAGCATCATGCGCGGGATACAGCGTTGCTACGTATTTACTAGGAATCTGCGATAGACACAACGACAATATAATGTTAAAAACCTCCGGACATTTGTTCCATATTGATTTTGGGAAGTTCCTCGGCGATGCGCAGATGTTTGGAAATTTTAAAAGGTAAAAAATGAAATATGAAGAATTAAAGTTATATTTATTCATGTAAATTTAAATTTGAGAACTTGTTTTTAATTTTTATTCATACAGTTATTGAATAATTGAACTTGAACCAAATAAACAGCTACATAATGTTAATCGCAGAGACCGCGCCCCGTTCGTGCTTACCCATGACATGGTGTACGTGATCAATGGGGGTGAGCGACCCACGCAGCGCTTCCAGCACTTCGTGGAACTGTGCTGCATGGCGTTCAATATTGTACGCGCACACCACGACCACATACTGGATTTGTTCGCTCTGGTACGTCTATGCTTCACGTGAACAAGCAACTTATTCAGCGCTTTTAGTTATTTTCTATATTTTGAATATTTTTTTTATTTTTTTATACACTATTGGTAACCGTCGCTTATAGACATGAGCAGTATTATGGACATAACAGAGTATATTGTTTCGCCCATGATACCCCCCATGTGTTGCCATTCCTGAGGACTCAGGTGTTATTCTTCCGTACCCAGTAAATTCACGCCATATATCACACCCTTCAAACCGAAACACAGCCATGCAAACACAACTGCTTTACGGTTGAAACACGAATGGGACAGAGGTACCCAAGCAATCGACTTTTGTACAAAGTACTTTTAAGCGCGTCATCTATTTTCAGTGAAAAATTTAGAGCTGTACGTGATATGTGAAATATTTAGTTATATCAGTAAATACCCTCATTGCGTACATACTATTGTTTTGTCTTAATGCCTTAGATACAGCATAATATATTTATAGTATATCTAAAACATTATATTTATACGTTATGCAAATGAATTTTATCCAAAGTCTCCCTCTTGCAATGCTGATGATAATAAAGATACATTTCGAATTACGTGATCAGTCCTTTGCTGACTGATGGTTTTTTTTTTATATCACTGAGGCAAACAAGCATACGGCCCACCTGATGGTAAGCGGTTACCGTAGTCTATGAACACCTGCAATATCAGAGGTATACGCGTGCGTTGCCGACCCTGAAGAAACCTCTTTACCCCCTTTTGAAGAACCCCATGCTGTAGTCTCTTGGAAAAACCTCGGCAGAGAGCTCATTCCACAACCTGAGTGTTCGTGGGAGGAAACATCTCTAAAACCGCGCAGTACGTGACCATTGAGGCTATAGGACATGAGAATGAACTCCCTGTCGATGGCGAGCCGTACGATGGTAGAAAGTGGCTGTGGGCATCATATTGAACAATTCCTCTGAACACAATTCATTTTACAGGCGGTAGAATACGTAGAGTGAGGCAAAATCTCTCCTAAGACTTGGTGTTGTCTCCCAGATGGCGATGTCGGGCGTGTCGGGCGTGACGAGCGCGGCCGTCGGCTACGTGCGCAGCGCGCTGCTGCCGGCCGCCACCAACGCCGAGGCTGCCGCCGCCTTCGCAAGGCTCATCAACTCCTCGCTTAAGAGCAAGTCAGTACACTGTAATGATTTTATTTATATACTACTACCAGACCTGTCCGTGAGTTGTTGTGGTTCTTAACAAAGCGCCATCTATTGGATATTTACCTAATCTAGATTTGAATCGTTATGTCGATAAACTAGATGACACCGTTATTTATTAGACTTGTTGAATTCACATATAATATAAACAAATGGTTTATAATAAAAAAAGTATAGCGACTATAATAATTTGCAATAAAAAGTGTCCTATCTTTCAAGTTTACCAAAGTTAAAATTAGTCCAGTAGTATAGAATTTCATCGCTGACAAACAACGTAGTTTTTTGCGTAGTTAGAGACATTGTGTAACCTCTTTTATGTACTTTTTTTTGTATATGTTTTATTTCTTTTTAAATATGTACCAATAGCTAGTGTTATTTGTGTGCTGTAAGTGATGCAAATAAATTACATACATACATACATATCTGTCACGCCTGTGTCCCATTAGGGTAGGCAGAAACAATGGAACGCCAAATGCTTCGATTCAAACAAACCTCTTTCGCTTCTTCCACATTCATCAATCTTTTCATACACGCTCGCCGGTTACGGGTACTTTTAATTTGGCCCTTCTTCAGCACGTCGCCTACTTGGTCAACATACGTCCGTCTAGGGCGGCCCCTACCGACATCTCCATTAATTCTTGCTCGATAAATCTCTTTCGTAATTCTTTTTTCATCCATCCTCTCCAAATGACCAAACCAACGCAACATTCCTTAAATAAATTACATATTTATCTATCAGTCTATTTAGTTACTATATAATAGGAGAGCAAAATGTATGCAATTATATGGAGATGTTATTATATTACCAAGCGCTTTCACAATGTAGTCGTGGAACATTAAAAATATCTCCATACAATTGCAGATATACTGTATTTTTTCTCTGAATTTTATATATTTATAATATATTCAGAAAAAAATACAGACATATTTTAACTGTCACATAACAAATTTAAAAACAATACATGTTCTTAAAATATCGATGTAAACAGCCAGTATTAAAACTCTAACAATAACACATTCAATTATGTTTTGTTGCAGATTTACACCGATAAACTTCTTCTTGCACAATTTGGCGCAAATGATGGCAAGTGGCGACCAAAGTAGCAGTTCCTCAGAACTTCTGTCGTTCATGCCACGGACTTACACGTAAGTGACATTTCATAAACACTATGTTTAGATTTATCTTAACAGATTTTTGTAGTTCAAACACGATCTGTTACAATATTAATAAAAACTTAAAAAATAAAAACTTAAAACTTAAAAGTAACCTATATTCTTTTCTATTCTGTATACCAAATTTCAAATTGGTTAAGCGGTTAAAGCGCTAATAAATAGCTTACTAATAAAACTATTAAATCTGATAATATAGCTTACTATAGCTGAAAGAATTTTTGAAATCGGTTGAGATAATTTTGAGTTTACCCATTATAAATAAACCAATTTTTTCTCTTTGTAATGATAGCATAGATAAACATGGGACGATTTCAAATGAAAATATGATTGCAGCTGACAAGGCTTTTAGATAGATTCTCTTTGTTTCCTCCAAAAGATTCCAATAGTAAACTTATTATAGATACACATAATTACAAGAAATAATCACAGTAAGAAAACAATGGGCGACCTTATCGGTAAAACCGATCTCTTCCAGGAAACCTTTGGATGGAGAGGAGTAATTATAAACAGTTTAATTGGAGGCATGATAAAAATTCTACCGTTTTAAGTCCAAGATTCCATCTATTTTTATTAGTACGGATTTAACAGACTTAATTTGTCTTGTCATTCGTTACCATAAAGTTAGTTGATTATTTTCTACTCTATGATATTGTTGCAATTTATCTTTTAAATATTTTTTTCGCATTCTCACATTATTTTGTTCGATATATCAACTAGATAGAACATAGGTTGATTACTACTATATCTAAATGAATCTGGGGCAAAGGCTGTTCTAATGATAACGCATTCATTTATATTGGAAATTAATTCGATAATTTAACTGTGATATTTGATATGTATAAGTATATATTACAAACGCCGCGAATTGTTGATAAGAAAATTAATCGGTTAGCGATTATTCGGCATTCCCAGTTGCTACGGTTTCATTAATCAAAATCGTGAAATATTGCCGATACTAGACTCATGTACGATTTAATATTTATGTCTATGAACAATTTAGATATAAATATTTTTATTAAATATTCAAAATTCAATGCTCATGTGACACTCCTAGTGTCACAGGCATGCATAGATTACAGTGACTGTTTACTATCAGTCAATTTGTATGCTTGTTTGCTACTTTTGTGGTATAAAAAAAATATTATGGAGTAATTACCAACAATGTAATCAAAAATGCAATATAAAATGAGTTTTTGCTATGATTTAGGCACATGGTAGTAATTGTCGCAAAGACATATTAGACAGTAGAGTGTTAGGTATCTATGATAAATTTTACACTGGCGCAACTACCTGAGTTGTAAACTAGGGTAGTTGATAATTCGGCGCTTAGAATGATGAGGTCATATAGGTTTATGAGCATGTCTTTCCTGAGTTAATGACACCTAGGCGATAAGGGAAATTATTGGTCCAAACACGGGAAGCGGTATCCCTTTCAAAATATCACTGAAGCCTGCGGTCGTCGACCCGTCTGCCAAGTATGGCAACTACAGGCAAAACTCCCTAGTAGGGGGAGGTCTATGTTCAATAGTATAATATAATAATAATATATAATAATTAATCTTTTGGTAGATGCATGTTTTTGTTACTGCGTGCAAAAAAAAAAAAAAACAAGTCAGACATTTCTGTCTCAATCTTTCTTACACTATCGTGTTACCAGAAAAATATTTACTGATAAGTTCTATAATTACTTCTTTAGCGGGTTAGGACTCTTATTCCAATCATCCATTATTTGCTCACCGCTGAAAGTAGGACACCTCCTCCTCTGAATCCACGCAAAAATTTAGAAAATAAGCATTAATTGTATTTTATTTATTGCAACTTAATATATTCTTTTTATTGTTTTGCATTATTAATAATTATTTTTCTTCTACAGAATGGCTCAAGAAGGCCGGCTAGTGAGCGTGGAGTGTCTCGGTTTCGAGAAGCGATACGACCCTGAGAAGCATTACGTTTACTCGCTCCGCATCTACCGACAAGGACAAACCACCCCTTCTGTGCTGTACCGGTCGTACAAACACTTCACCGAGCTTTACCAAAAGATATGCGTGCTATTTCCACTAGCGAAGGTTCACAGGTAAGATTTTTTTATGGATGAAAATGAAATGATAACCCTGCCTGCGCTATCGTTATACGCGGGCGGGGCACCAGTGAGGGTGATAGGTGAGGATGAAAACAGGCCCTCTAAATAAGTGGCAAGCGAATTCGTCGATGGAATCGACGTCGCTACCGAGTCTGTAAGTTGGAATGAGACATCCGGCGTTGCTATCTCATTTTATCTTACAAACTCGCAAGCGATGTCGATTCTATCTACGAATTCGCTTGCTACTTGGCTAGAGGGCCAGGTCAGTTAGCCCGTTGTGATGAATTTCTCAAAAATAGATCACGATGGTTTCCAGGAGGAACTGCGTGGAGGTCGACCTGTTAGGGTATATTGCTAGTAGTTGACCTGTTAGATCTCATTACTAATAATTCTTTTCCCCTCACAAATAGGATTAAAATCATAAAAAAAATCTTTGTGCTGTCAGTAGCAAAAGTAGATAAATACTAACAACTTTCCAAAAACAGTAAACATTATTGCGTATAAGTAATTTAGAGCTAGTATTTAATTTAAATGAAGTTAAATTTATTGAACATATAGAATGGCATAAGTATGCTTCGAAATATAGAGGTTATGAAAATTTTATATTTATGTGTTTATGTTAATAAAATTCAATGTAGTAATTATATTCATTATTTATTGTTGTTCGGTTAACATTGCGAGTCAATATGAACTCGAATTATACTGATATACAGCCTGTTTTTTTCTTACGTCAGACAATTATTACTACTTAAAAAATAATATTTGGTCTGTATGGAGTCGGTTGAAAATGTACGTACGATACTTAAGTTTATTTACAGGAAAATTCATTACCATGTTGCCTTGACCAACATTTAGGTATAATAAAATTTAATAAACCTGAGTCAACCATGATATGTATATTTTGTTTATAATCTGGATAAATACTAAGTATTTTATCTGTCTGTCTAATACGTAAGATATAAAGTTACGAAGTGGTTCCCTGATAATAAAGTAAAACTGTCATCAAAACGAATTTATTAATACTCGTACGCGAACCTGCGGGCTCTTGTTATTCTTTAATTGTTATGTTGTTCTATCTAATCATATAATATTTTCCTTAATTATGTTCTGATAATCTTGTATTTTTATTTCTTACATATCTAATCAAATTTCTTATTAGATTAAAATAAATACCAAATTATTAAAAATTTTGTGCACTTACATTAAAATAGAAAATAATATATGATAGTCCCACATAATTATGTCATAATCAGAAAAAAATATTTTAAATTTAGAATGCTTTGGAAAACTCGAGAACACTTTGATTTTTAAAGTATTTTTGTATCTTATACAATTATACAACTTTCTATTAGCACTTATTGTTCACACACAGTTATACACAGTTAAGCATTTTTCTTACACAACTTAAAGACTTTACACTTATTAATTAGATGTCACGCTTCACTATTGTCTAAATCGTCGTCGTTATTCTCAATTTTATAATTTAAATCCATCACTACTTGTTTACGGTTAATCGTACTCGGTCTGGTACTCACTGACGGTCTAGCAATTTGTTGTCTATGCTGTGATATCATATCCCAACTGCTTGTTGTATTGCTTATTGGTTTGCTGAAACTTGTATTCCCAGTATTATCCCTATCATTTCTAAGGACTATCGGTTGAGGTACTTCGGAATAAGGCGGCGGGCCACTAGTCTGTGGTATATCACTTTCTACAGTGTTAGTAATTGGCGGCATTGTTGGTCTTCTAACTTCTATGTTCGGTTTAGGCGAGTCTGTAATAGTGGGCGTTCTTTTTACTTTTTTATGAGCTTTTGTATTTTGAGCCACTTGTTCACTTTTTGCCTTCTTGAATTTCTCTTGTTTCTTTTGTTCTTGCTCTAGTTTAGCTTGAGCTACTTCTTGCGTTTTCTGTTCAGCTAGTTGTTGTTTCTCAATTTTCTTCTTTTCCTTTTCTTGTTTTTTCGTTTCTTTTCCTTGTTTCTTCAATTCCTTTTCATGTTTCTTTGCATCTTTTTCTTGTTTCTTTGCATCTTTTTCTTGTTTCTTTGCATCTTTTTCTTGTTTCTTTGCATCTTTTTCTTGTTTCTTTGCATCTTTTTCTTTTTTCTTTGCATCTTGTTTTTTGACATCTTTTTCATGTTTTTCTACTGTTTTTGAACTACTTGGAATTGGATTCCGAGATTCCATATTATAATTTGGTCCTCTAGGATCTAAGGACACTTCAGACATGCTTTTGTTCAATTGTGCTAAATAATTTTTCGATTCAATTAGGTCGCTTGTACTTTTTGATGGCCTTAACGAAGATGTGGCTTCGTTGCTTGTAGGGGGATTTACTTTTGATGGTGTTACTCGTTTAGGTGGCTCTGGTAAACTTCCATATCCTGTGAAGAAAAGATATATACTAAGATCTGTAAAATATCTGCAGTCAACTTTTTCATTAATTTGTCACCTGAATGCAATTTACTATTTGTATTTTTTTTTTTACATTTTCTACTGTATTTTGTATTACAAACTCACCAAAGAATTCTTCTCTATTTGTTCTGTATATACCAGTGCCCGGTGTGGGGATATTATCCTCGTGTGCCGAAAAATTTATCCTCGCCTTAAATCCCTTGAATTTAAACAGCAATATGATGCAGCAAATTCCGCAGAAAAATACAACGGCCCCCACGTAGTTCATTGGATTTTCCACTGTAAACAGGATACAAATGAATGTTATTGTTAATTATATATACTTCTAAATATCATAATAAGAAAATATTATTATTAATACCAAAGGGAGACTTTGTACAAAAGTCGTCTGCTTGGGCACTTCTGTCCCATTCGTGTTTCCACCATGAAGCAGTTGTGTTTGCATGGCTGTGTTTCGGTTTGAAGGGTGGGATATGACAGTGAGTTTACAGGGTACAGAGGAATAACACCTGAGTCCTCAGGAATGGCAACGTATGAGGGGTGTTACGAACGAAACAGTATACTCTGTTATGTCCACGGTACTGCTCATGTTTATAGGCGACCGTTACCACTTTCCATCAAGTGGGCCATCAGCTTGTTTGCCATTCTAAATTGCATAAAAAATATAATCAATGTATATTAGAAAAATAATATACTTACAATCTGTGTCTCTTAATACAGCCATATTTATATTTGAAATTGTTTTATGTAAATAAATAAATATTAAATATAATGTTTGAATTGCCAAGTGATTCGCCTGTTTGAATTAATACTAATGATTACAGATTAGATTGTAGTACTTTTGCTTTTGCTTCAATCGTATAATGAATAATAACAGCAATCTTATCTATGACGTATTGTTTCTATTAATCATTTTGAACCAAAGTAACGTTATGTTATCTGATTGCTTAAATATTTGTACACGGAATATTTTAACTAACTATTAGCATTAGTAGCATACTTGTGGATTAATCTGAACAAAACTGAAGTTTCCGATGAGATAATTATACGAGAGCGTAGTAGTTGTAGTGTAGTAGTGATAATTATCACACTACGTCACACTCGTAGTAATTATCTCATAGGACCATCGGTTGTTATCAGTGCCGGCACTGAGAGGACAATTTAATTCGTAATAGTAACAAGCTTTTTTTTTATACAACTTAGAATGGCAAACAAGCTAACGGCCCACCTGATGGAAAGTGGTAACTGTCGTCTATAGACATGAGCAGTAGCATGGACATAACAGAGTATACTGTTTCGCCCATGATACCCCCCCCCTGCGTTGCCATTCCTGAGGACTCAGGTGTTATTCCTCTGTACCCAGTAAATTCACGCCATATCCCACCCTTCAAACCGAAACACAGCCATGCAAATACAACTGATTCACGGTTGAAACACGAATGAGACAGAGGTACCCAAGCAATCGACTTTTGTACAAAGAAAAGCTTGTAATAGCAGTAGTAGTACTAGTTTGATTGTTACTTTTTATACTGTGGAAAGTATTTATATTTTTAAGAAAAAAGTCACACATTGAGATTTTCTCAATCTCAACACTTGAGCGTTAGTATTGGTATTGACAGACTTTTAGAGTTGATATATGCAATCGATGACCGGATAGTTCTTAGTTTGACCACATATTATGATTTAATTTCACTCGATAGAATACTCACTTTTTCGAAAATATTAATGTGTTCTTTTTTGTCTAATTAAACAGCACAAATTGAGATCAACACCACAATTTCTTATTTAATCTATGGCAATAACGACTTTAATGATTTTTATTGTGAACGATTAGTATAATACAATGACAAATTATATTTTAGTACCCTACATAATAATAGCTTTTTCAATAAAGAGTTATAAAAGTTGGGGTAGTTCTAGAAAACACTGATACATACAATTATTGACATGCAGTAGAATTTCGATTGTCCGAATATTCGATTACCTGAATATTCGATTATACAAATTTATTCTTCTAGCCTTTAATTACTAATTTAGAAATGGTATTATGTATTAATTTTTTTTTTCAATAATAATAAAGTTTATTCTCTTCACAATACCAGTTGTACATCTATTATATTTTAATATATTTATTTTTGAAGGTTACATAATTGTAATATAAGCCATCATATATATAGCTCGTATTTTTTTTTTAATTATATTGTCTAAATGACGTATGTAAAACTCTCTTACTATTACTTCAGCCGTTAATTATTCATTGTTAACCATAAGCCTTTCGCATAAGGAGCGGTTTGCCAGTAGTTGCCACGCTTGACAGGCAGGTTGGCAACCGCAGTTAGGCCATTAGAGATATTTTAAGAGAGACGCTGCTGCTCACCCCTCCACCATAAGTTCCCTTAGTCGCCTTTTACGACACCTACGGGAAAGGAAGGGGTAGCCCATACTTAAACTTTTTTATTAACTAAAACATATTAAAAAAAAATTGTTTGATTTGACTATGAAATCAATTATTCGGATTTTTGATTATACAGAATTTAACTCCTGGTTTTTTCTATTCGGATAATCAAGATTCTACTGTACAATATTTATATTTCCGTGTGTGCAGTTTACCGTCAGGGCTGCACGTGGGCCGCTCGAACACGCAGCAGGTGGCGCAGCGGCGTTTCCACGACGTGCAGGCGTTCCTCACGTCGCTGTTCAGCCTCGCGGACGAGATTGCGCACTCTGATCTCGTGTACACGTTCTTCCATCCGCTACTGCGAGACCAACAGGACGTCGAGCCGCAGCGGAATAAGAAGGGTATATTGTTTTTAAATTGTACTCCTAATGGATGGCGTTGGTAGTAAAGCGGTTTAACACTAACCTCAAAATTCGGGTTAGATTTATAAGTTCAAGTGTTAGATGGTCGCACACAACGCGGTTTCAGAGATGTTTTCTCCCACGAACACTCAGATTATGGAATGAGCTACCTGTCGATGTTTTCCCAAGAGACTACACCATGGGGTTCTTCAAAAAAGGGATAAAGAGGTATCTTCAGGGTTGGCAACGTGCGCGTAATACCTTTGGTGTTGCAGGTGTTCATAGGCTACGGTAACCACTTACCATCAGGTGGGCCGTATGCTGGTTTGCCACTTCAGTGGTATAAAAAAATACTCTTCATGCGTTTCCGTTTTTGACATTTAAGGTATTATACCTCTGTACCTTGTAAATGTCAAATCCAACCCTTCAAACCAAAATACAGCCATGTAAACACAACTGCAGAAACACGAATAGGACAAAGGTATCCAAGCCGACGATTTTTGTACAGTTTTCCTCTGATGTATTTATTATTTCTGTAATTACCAATAATTACTATAAGTAATAATAATCTGATAAGTGTTAGAGTTCGCCGTTTGGTCTCGGCGTTGAATAGGTCATCCCCTCCTTTCCCGTGGGTGTCGTAAGAGGCGACTAAGGGAACTTAATGATATGTGTATTGCAGGTGAAACGGCGGAGACAGAGAACGGATCGGGTTCCCTGAAGTTGTCGGTGCAGTACGCGGGCGGCGTACTCTCCGTACTCATATTGCACGCACAATCTCTCGCCCTCACGCCGCAGGGACTGCCGCCTAATCCTTATGTCAAGGTAATGACGTTTACATTTAGGTTAGCTATTCGTCTAGGTTAGGGGTCGGCAACCTGCGGTTCGCGAGCCACATGCAGCTTTTCGGATGTGAAGCTGCGACTCTTTAGTTCCAAATATTATTGTGTAATAGCAAATATTATTTATATAAAAAAAACAAAAATCTAAATCGATTAACGAGTATTAGGCACCAAACTAGTATGCAAGCACTTTTTATTGTTGGCAAGAAAAGTTTTGTGGTCCCTTAAAACTTTGAAATTTTGTAAATTGTAATATTTGATTCCTCCGTCTGGGTTATCAAACCTGTTTGTTCAGTCGCTTATACATAAGTGGATTGTTCCATCAATAATGAAACAATCTTTTTATAATCAAGTTTTGAAGGTTATGTCTAAAATTTATAATATTTTTAATTAAATTATATATTATATTATAGTATTTTTACAAAATTATCAATTAAAGTATAATATTGAAGGGTATACTTTGATATTATAGCTTTTGTTATTTTAAATATATATATATATATATATGTACCTAGTAGTGTAATGTTCTATAAAGATAGGTCAATAAATAACCCATCATAATATAAGATAATCTAATGATAATTTTTTGAATGATAGTGTGTTAAAATTTTTTGACATATTTATTAGTTCAAGACACCCTTTTTAGAAATGAAATAGAATATAATTTTAAAATTTTTTATTACTTTTTAACTTAAGTCTTAATATAAAAAAAATTAAACTTGCGATAGACAGGTGTCCAAAACACCCTAAGACGACTTATTACAAAATCGTTTTTAACTTTTATTTATGTATAAATAAAATAAAGTATTATTAAAATAAAAGGTGTTTAAAGTAATTAAGTTTATTATAATAACATATAGATTTTGGTACATAAAATTACAAATAAACGTTATTACATTGATTAAATAATATTTAATCATTTAGATAGATATCTTGGCAAACATTGTTTATATAAACATTGTTTTAAATATTTTTTGTAGTAAGACCATTAATATCTTCAACTGAGTTATATATAATTCAAGTGAGTGTATTATTCAAGCGTATTATTATTAGTCAAGCAAGTGTATTATTATTGTATTGTTACAGGTATACTTAGTACCGGATCCAACCAAAGAAACGAAACGTAAGACGCGCGTACTAAAACGCAACTCCCACCCATCATTCATGGAGATGCTAGAGTACCGGCTGCCGATCGAAGTGGTGCAGAGCAGGAGTTTGCAGGCGACCGTGTGGCATTACGACTCGTTGCAAGAGAACCAGTTCCTCGGCGGTGTGGTGATACCACTCAGCTCGTTACCGCTCAGAGAGGAGACGGTGGCGTGGTATCCTCTAGAATATATCCCCCGGTAGCTAATATTCGCCCGCTCTGCTATATGGAGCACGGATCTTCACAACGTTTAGTTGCAAGTTGCATACTGAGCCCGCAGACGTGGTATCATATTTTACTAAAGTCCTTATTGTCGTTGGCGCATTTAAAGTTATTCTTTTGGGGGCTAGCTACTTGAGAAGGGCACATATGTACTCTGAGATATGTCTTTGCGCATAACTGGAAGTTCTCCTCAGATCCTGAGGAGGGACCAGATAATTCTAGGGCGGGCTTTTTGTATGTTTGTTTAGTGGTTTTATATTCTACTCTCTATACGAGTTTTAACGTTAAATAGTCCTAATTAATCACAACATAATATACGCGTGCCTCTAATGTTCCAACGAATTTAACTTGCACATATCAACATGCGTATTTGGTGCGTGCGTAGACGTACGTGACACTTAGACATGCCCAATGAACGGACATTAATTTCGTAACAGAAATTTCTCTTCGTATACAATTTTAGGGGTTTTATTATGACCGACTAAAATGTACTCCGAGGACTGTCTCTTGGCGATCTTGAGCGGAAGAGGCAAAAGGAAATTTTCTCCGCGATCAATTCCTCATTCAGGCAGGCCATTATAAAAATATCTCTCTTACAACTATCCAAAATGGGATTTTAGATAGTTGTAAGAGAGAATTGTTATAATTGTCAAAAATTTCATCTAATTATTTTAAAATGTTGTGCCAAATAATTGCTTGACATTCACAAACTTGTTATTTAAATCGTTGATATGTGTGTAACATGATTCCATCGGGAATTTAAAACTTCTCATATCATTCACTCTTGAAGAGAATACATTAGGTTTGATCATAAGTATCCACGAAGTCATAAGAGTTTACTGAATTGAAATGTTGCAGAATTATTGTATTGGTCGTACATTCCAATAAATATGAAAATAAAATATGTTAACGACTGTAACCCCAAATAGTGTAGTCAGAGGTTTATATTTGCCACATGCATCATACCTAAGTTATACATCTATTTCTGTATTCTGTGATTATGATATTATAAACATTATTATATTATGGTAAGTGTTTTGGAGAACAATAAATTAATTTTTATTGAATTTTCAAGACACACAAGAATTAAATGATTTTACTTTTAGAGTCAGAAACATTTACAATATTAGTAATAGTCTTCCAGCGCTAGAATTTAATTTTAATTGAATTTGCAAAGAACTCGGGAGAGATACAAAAACTGTGATGTTGAGAAATGAATAAAATAGGCCAAATGAAGTGTCCATCAATTAATACGTTTTACACATAACGAACACGTCACTAAATTGTGATCGTTGAAGAAGAAATTATTGATAAATATCAAGCAATAATCGTTGCATACGGACTATTTTGGAATAAATATAATTTAAATTTAATCCGATGAATGATTATTTTTCATAAATTTATTGTTTAATTATATAAATGTTACAAGGGATTTTATTTTCTTATAATAGATGTTGGTGAAATGAAACTTTAAATATGAATACAGTTTAATAAAAATTCAAGGATAAGTCACATGTATAGTACAAGACGTTTAGAGAGTGAATGTTATTCTGGGAGTCTACAAGGACTACTTTAGATGTTTCATAATGGATTCTTAAAACGACTTATATATGTAATTTAAGAATGTGTTTTACAAAAAAAAAAAAATTGCTCAATTGTGGTAGAGCCAGCTATTTTAAATCTAAACTATTGAACTATTTTTAATAAATTTTGTATGAGACCAATCTATTAGTATATTATTTCAGATAAAAATAATTTTGCAAATGGGCATATAACTAACGGAGTAATTAGGTAACGAAGTAAAAACAAAAATACAAACGAATTAAGAACTTTTACCTTGTTAAAGTCAGTTGAAAATACATTAATTTCTCGGTTTCTGATATAATAATTGTAGTATAGACTCCATAACACCCATTATTTTTGCCACTTTGAGGATTTTCGTAAAATACTGTAAACTAGAAAAAGTGAAAATATGAACCGTTTTAATAATACTCTGAAACATTCAAAGTGTGGTCACTAAACTCCCTTCTTATTTTATATTAGTGGATATCGCGTTCGTTATAAAATACCATGATATTGAATGAATTTTAATTATTTCTAATTTACAAAATAATTAAAAAAAAATTCATCAAAACCTTATCAAGTTCTCTTTATTGGTTTATCGTATTAATTGGAATATAAAAAATATATTACTAATATTAATATGCCTAATAAAACCCCATATTATAAGGGTTGTTATTATAATGTATGAGCCTAATTAAAAGACTAAAAGTCACTTAACAACTCTAGCGACGTCTTATTTTACAACATTATCGATGCGGTTATCTTTAACTGTTTTAATAATTATATTAAATTGTGATTGATGAAGGATTATGGATTTATGACATGTATTCACATTCCAAATTAGCGAATTTCCTATTTTTATATTAATCTTTGCGCTTACAAACCAGTATAAATTGTGGTGCTTGTTCTTTGCGTAGGTCGACAGTGTTATTTCAAAATGTAATATAGTTACTTTCATGATATGAGAGTTGTATTTATTTATTAAGATCTGAATGGATTACGATATTGCCTACGAGAGGGTTTTCTATTGTATTCTATATTTTTTTTGTTTAGATTATATAGATAGAGTGTCTCCATAGAAATGTTTTGAGAAAACGGGTCAACTTTTTCATACAATTTTGTGTGATGAATAGTTATGTGTGATTCCTTTATAACTTCTATATTTATTTTGCCTTATAATTTCTGCATCTTTTTAATGCGCAAACACTCATTTTATTTATTAGATAATACGTTTAAATACATTTTATGTGTAAGTATATACAATACTGATAAAAAAGAGTCAGCCAATTTGACAATTAGCTGACAAAAAGTTGACCTGTTTTTGAGACTCGATGCTCTATCTATATAATCTATGGTTTTTTTTTGTAATTATTTACACTACGCTGTGGTACGTACATATTGAGAGTATAATTAATTTCGTACAAAATCTGTGTTATATCGTCTACTCTGACTTTGTTAGACATGTTTCTTATGTAGCTAGACTATAATTTATAATATTTATTGGAAATTAGTGAAATGGCCTATATTAATTTGTGTTTGTATAATAATTTATATCATTTTATATTAAGTCAGGTTTTGAAGAATATATTTTTTAATTGTTCACGGTCATTGTCTTTAAAACATAATCTCTTAATGCTTTTAATTTATACACAATGTACTAGGTAGCAAGTCTTGAAATTAGTTCGAATGTAAGCATTGGATTGTATATAAATGCTTCCAGGGTTTGCTCAAAGTATAGTGGGGAGCAAGAAATAAATCGATCAGGATTTGTAATGAATATGGACTGAATATTAGCAGCCTCATGTATATATTATACAATAGTTTTTTATACGAACATCAGCGTAACACAATTATAATAAATAGAGTTGTTGTTTTGCATATTGTAATAAAATAATAAATTGTCTCAAATCTTGTAGTTTTTATTTGACAACTTGATTCTAGATGTTTAACAAACCGTTCTCTTTCCGATGAACTCGGGTTCAATCCCTGCACAATATAAATATTTGTATTTTTTTTTAATGGGTGATGGAATGGTAACCCCACCCGCGCTATTGGTATAAACCGGCGGGGCACCAGTGAAGGATGATAGGTGAGGATGAAGCAGGTCAGTTAGCCCATCGTGCCGAATTCAACAAGAATTGTTCACGATGGTTTCCAGGGGGAACTACGTGGAGGTCGACCTAATAGGGCATATTGCTAGCAATAGGGCTGTCAAACTCAATTGCTAACAATCCCTTTTCTCAAATATTTGTATTGTGGTATGAGAATGATAATATGTTTGTGTGTATTTACAAAAAAAAAAGTAATTATTTCTATAAGTTGTTTAGTACAAGTTTTGCTTAGTTTGCGACTAACTGGTATTGTCTAATATTTTCAGTGGTATTTATTTTATTTAATACCAATTTTTATTGCGAAATTCGTCCACTTTAATCATCCACATATGTGGATGAACTGGGATAATAGTAATCTATATTTTTCATCTTAATTATGTTATGATTGAAGTCGCTGTTATTTTGTGCATCAAAATTTTATTTTTCCATCACCTCATAACTTGGGGATATCCTATTCTAATTTTGTTTGTTTGAAAATGGAATTCGAATAGTGAGCTTTGCGTGGTTTTTTGGACAAGTGAATATAGTGTAAAAACCCCGCTATCTCAATCGGTTTAACTTGACGTAGTATTAATGAGTGATGATAGATGAGAAAGTTAGGTCAGTTGGCCAATCGTGGCGAATTCATTAGGGAATAATCACGATGATTTCCAAGGTAGATTGTGTGGAGGTCGATTTTTTTATGGATGATAATGAAATACCCCGCCAGCGTAGCGCGATAGGCCAGACAGACATTTAAAAAAAAAGTTTCTAATTTCAACGTGTTCTTGTAGCAACTAGCCAATATCGTGATCAAAATCTAGGGTACCTACTTCCTGTTGACCTAGAATTTTGAAAGTTGTTATGAAGGTAAGTCTAACACCAGTAAAGGAGTACAGGATTTTGGTTCCTATTAAATTCATGCTGTGTTTGGGCTAGTCCTCAAAAACAACGTGAGAGATATCATGAGCATCATTCGTTCTGTTATGTACCAGAGGGAGACTTTGTACAAAAGTCGATTATTTGGGTATCTTTGTCCCATTCGTGTTTCTACCGTGAAGCAGTTGTGTTTGCATGGTTGTGTTTCGGTTTGAAGGATGGGTTATTGCGTAAACTTACTGGGTACAGAGGAATAACATTTGAGTCCTCAGGAATGGCAACGCATGGAGGGTGTCATGGGCGAAACAGTACACTCTGTTATGTCCATGGTACTACTCATGTCTATAGGCGACGGTTACCACTTTCCATCAGATGGGCCGTCAGCTTTTACCGTTCTAAGTTGTATAAAAAAATGTTCATAGTGCAGATCCTGTCTACAAGTGACTGACCGTTACGAATTTCCATTAAATGGATCATCAATTTTATTACCACTTTGGTCGTTTAAATATATTCCCTAGGTAATTTAATATATTTAGTTTATTAAATAAACTATATATATTTATTAACTGAACTTTAAATATCGTTGAAAATCAGTTGTAGGTATAAGTAACAATTATTTTTAAACCTACTTAAAATAAGAGTTCTAATTTGGTTGTATTTTTTTTATTTGTTACCTCAGAACTCTGTTATTTATAAACTGATTTGGTAAATTCTTCTTTATGTTTTTTATCTTGTTTATTAAAAAAAAAAAAAAATATTTTAACTAGTAGTAGTATTGCTACAACTGAAGCCGGTGTTTTTATGCAGAACAAAATCTTAATTATTTCATATTATTTTCTATATTCTTTATCATTATTAATTATTTTCTATATCTTAATATATAAAAAATAAATATCCCGTGTTACGATATTCTTCACGGTGATCTCCGAAAGCGTTTAAGTGATTTTGATGAAATTTTGTAAAAAAATTTTACTCAACTTGAAAAATAGAATAATTTTTATCCTGATAAGAAAAAATGGACCTGCTAGATAGTGATAGGCAAGCAGGTATTATCTTTATATATGCTTGTAAATAGGTACGATCGCCTTTACTTATTTCTGTCATGAAGCAACAACGCGTGCTTGAAGTCTATTCAGCAGTTATTTTCGTCTGAAACGCGTATAATAATAAAAACAAGAATTAATTGAAATATATTTAGACTACCGGTTTCTCGCGGCTTCACTTATTGACACAAAAAATTTAAGTCCCTTTTTTTTGGATATGGTTTATGCAGTTCGTTCTTTGTCAGTTTATTTTTTTAATGCTTGATAATGGAATGTTTTGTAATGGATGATAATGGAATGATAACACCGCCTGCGCTAAAGATATATGCTGGCGGCGCACCAGTGAGAAGGAAAAGGAAGGTCAGTTAGCTCATTGTGAAGAGTACACTTGAAATTCAGCACAATGGTTTCCAAGGGGATCACGTAACTTGACAAGGCATATTGCCCCCCTATATATGACCCCCCCCCCTTCTTTGACAGTACCGTCAGTGAAATATAAGCTATTATTCGCGACTTTATCAAGATGGAACCTCTCTAATTTGTGGGTGACGGGGTGAAAGGGATTTTTTGTGACAGAAATTAGCGGCCCTGTTGCCAGCAATGTACCTCTAAGGTCGACCTCCTCGTGGTTCCCCCTGCAAATTATCGTGATCAATTTTTATAAAATTCGTCACAATGGGCTAACAGGCCTGTATTCATCCTCACATATTGCCCCTCACTGACGCCTTACTAGCGCTGGCGGATCGCCATTCCATTATCATCCCATAAAAAAATCTGTGGAAGGATCTCAGTCGTTTTTGTGGTGCTCACAAAATCTATTTATTTATTTCTATTAAAAAAATATTTTTATTTTATTTTAAAATTATTCTTTGTAAAATCATATTTCTAGAGCACACAGTTTTGTTTTTTTTTTAATGGATGATAATGGAATGGTAATCCTGCCTGCGCTGAGGCAGCATATACCTGCCGGGGAACCAGTGAGGGATAATAAATGAAGATGTAAAGGCAGGTCAGTTAGCCCATCGTAACGAATTCAACGATAAATTAGATATGATGATTTCTAGGAGAAACCGCGTGGAGGTCGACCTGACAGGGCATATTGATAGTAATGGGGACTAATTTCCCTATTACTAACAGTCCAAACATAGTTTCGGTTATGCGTTGATCAGTCAATAAGTTTACACTTTTAAATAACAAGTAAGTACCAACAGTTTTTCTGTACTAGGTATTAGGTACCTAAATAATATAGATAACTGGGAAGAGAATTGTTTTTGTGAGATTACCTTATCAAATACAAAGTCAAGAAATCACAGTATAAACGTAAATATCGACTGCATATAAGCAATCTGAACAATTTACAGATTTACATCAAAAGGTAATTTGCATTGGATTTTTTTACAAGCGTACGATTGCGCTTTCCTTTTGTAGTTCCGACATTCTAGATCTAATTGCAATTGATCAGTGTAATTATTTACAAACGTGGTCTCGTGTATGCGACAGGCATTGACTTAGGAGAACTCCGATCCGGTTTTACTGGTAGACGTCGGACTGGGTATGAAGTTGGCACATTGGCAGTATTACGCCGCATCGCCCGTCGCTCTGACGCACTGTTCGCTCCACGCACATAAACAAATAAAACTACCGACTATAAAATGATCATCGATATGACATAAAATCTATTATTAACATATATTGTTATGCGTGAACCGTTTTAACTACTTCAGTTCGAAGAGGTTACAAACAAAATTTTGTCAGACTTATTAAGTGAAAATGAATGAAACAGCAGTGATTTCTAATAACACTTGGCAGTGGTTTAGAGAAGTAGCCCAATCATGGCTGGAAGACCCTGGTGTGGAGGAGCACGAGGGTCTGAACATGACCGCCCTGAAGATGGATCAGGCGTATATGGTTGGATTTTCTGATAGGAACGTCGGAGTCTACAGTGTGTCCGATGATTGTTTTCGAGTAAGTTTTAGTTTTCCTTATTTCTTTGTATGTGCATAATGCATTCACCACAAACTTAAAGTGCAGCGGTTGTTTTATAAGAAACCAGTAGGAACAGGGACGTTCGTCATTTTTGGGCAAAAAGTTCTTAACTGGTTTCGCGAGTGCATCGCTGCACTTTCGGTTTGTTGTTTTCATATAATTGACTCTCATTATGTTCTGAGATTGTTTGTGATATGTTTATATTTATTTTATCTTTAATATTCTTTGTTTGTTATTGAGACAATTGCTGCTGTAGGTATATGCATATAAGGATTTGATGAGTAACTAGTCAAAACAAAAGATTTCGTTAGAGATTCTGTGCTACTATTTATAGATACTGTATATATGTATAATTATATTATAATAATGTGTATAACGATTATGGCATAACACATAGTTCTAAGGGATGACAGACTTTAAGGGCCATGATATCACGGCCAGACACCATGGGTTGGATGAATGGTTCTATGTGGTTCCCGTATATCATTCCCATTGGAACTCTTTGTGAATTTGGTGTTATATTGTATTATATTTATTATATAGACGAGGGTTACCACTTTCCATCAGGTGGCCTGTCAACTTGTTTGCCATTCCAAATTGCATAAAAAATTAAGTCATTACTTGATATATTTTAGATATAAGTAGTAAGCATATATTATTTTTATCAAAGGGGTAATATATGGCTAGATATTAGGACTGGAAATTATTTATTTGTTATGAATTATATGGTCGATAATTACGATCTAAAAATCTATTACTACTAAATTACTATTATTATTAAAGAAAGCGTTATTAATCCATTGTTTCCAGTTCAAATCGACTGAATACAAAAATGTTGATAAGTAAACGTAAATTGGCAATCACTAATAATGGCCGAAACTAAATGTTAAAAAAAATTATAAGTCAACTTATTCACTTATTAATACGAATATATTATATAGTAGCTTGTACCTGCGACTTCGTCCGCGTGACCAGAATGTGTCTTTAAAAAAAACGTTCATGCTCACTTTTTCACTTTATCCGAGCAGTAAGTACTTAATATTATTCTCACTTTCGTGTATAATATATTATATATCATATATGTGTAAGTATATTTGTTATTTATATATATTTATTCGTTTATATATGTAATTTTAGTATGTATGTATATCAATAATTACTAGTACCGCATTCGAGTATTCTGACATTTCCCTATGGTTGACTGGAAGAGAATGCTTTTAGCATTAAGTCTGGTATGTACACATATTTGTACTAATGAATAAATAAATAAATGAGTCCAAAGACACTAAACACTAGGCTATGTATTTCTCTGTCCTTTCCAGTACATGTAAATTGAATTTCAAAACAAATGATTGAGTTTTTATTTCACCAAGAGAAATACAATTCACTTTTATATTTATAATATTACTAAGGATTTCATATATATTTGAAGATTGTGTCTCATAAAAAAAAACAGCCTTTAATTGTGACAAAATCAGTTATTTTAATTTAAAAATTAAACTATTGAATTGATTTTGATAAAAAATATATGGAACCAAACTGTAAGTATATTTTTTCAGATATTTTTTTATTACATAACCAATTCCCGCGGCGTTGTCCGCTCCTAACTCTTTATGAATCCGGTCTTAAATTGTAGTATATTTATTAATATTAATATATATTAATACCTTCATAAAGTTTTAGCCATTTCAACTGAACGGTTATTTTATAGTATTTTATATGTGATTTTTAGATTAATATAACTTTTTTATGTATAAACCGATGGAAATAAAACAAACACTTAATGTTGAGTGGAGCAAAGGCAACGCATTAGTGAAAATCGCAATTAAATCGGTTAAGCCGTTTTTGAGATTAGCGTGCACAAACGTACAGACAAACAGGCAAACGGATAAAAATTCTAAAAATCATTGTTTTGGGTTCTATTGCGTTCATAAAGCCACCTATAATAGTTTTTCTTATGTATCTTCCATGTACAGACACTGATCAGTTACGATTTTATTATATGTATTGATATTTATTGCGTCAAATAGTTACTTTTTCTTTTTTCCTCTACTTAAAGGTTGTCTGGAAAAGATTGCTTTAGCGATAAAACTGTCTTTTGTTCTTCATATGTGAATACACTTATATATATATATATATATATATATATATATATATATATATATATATATATGCTTAAATATTGTTTTGTATTATTCTTTAAGTGATGCAATAAAGAGTAAATAAATAAAAAAAAAGAATACAAATCGGCTAGAACTGACGTGCCAAAATGAGAACTTTTTAGAAATCGGTTGAAAAGTAAGTAGATATATATATCTATACAAATGCATAATTCTCGGAAAGTAACTCACGGCAATGACCAGTATTGACGTCGTGTCATGGGAATTTCCAGGCAACTTTCATTGCCTATTTAATCACATAGGACTTTAATTGGCTATTTAGATTTAGAGAATAGAGAAACAATAGCATGCAACCTATCGTTAGCCTGGGAATTTAGCGGCAGTGCAGTACAAATAGAGTTCGTTACTTCGACTTTTTATTTACTAAACTAACTCGAGTTTTTAATAATCTAATTATTAATTTCTTGTTGGGTGAGAGAGGATTATTTTATGATTAACTTTGGGGTTCCTAACCAAGAAATTACGGGGGGAAAGGGATTGTTAGTAATGGAGACTGAGAATCCCATTGCTAGCAATATACCCAAACAGGTCGACCTCCTCGCGGTTCTCCCTGGAAACTATCATTGCTAATTCCTGATGAATTCATCATGATGCGCTAACTGGCCTTTTTTCATTCTCATCTATCACCCTTCATTGGTGCTCCGCCAGTGTATCCCGTTAGCGCAGGCGGGGTTACCATAACATTTTCACCCATCAAAAAAAAAAAAAACCAAGAAATGACCTAGATACTGTTTTAATAAAAGTTTAAAAAAATTCAAATTTTTAACCGATTTTTATTTGGTTGTATTTTGTTTATGTTTGTTACCTCATAACTCCGTCATTTCTAAACCGATTTGAAATATTATTTTTTATATGAAAGGATATATTCACAGATTGGTCCTACAGAATTTTATCAAAATCGAACTAATTTTAATAGTTTTAGTTTTTGGCTCAGAATAATTGGTTTTGTCACAGTTGAAGTCGGTTTTTTTTTATAACACAATGTTTAATTGTGTAACAAAAATTAGTGCTTCGAGTTTTAAACTCATTTGATCGGAATGATACATTTATAATCGAGGCTCTGAGGAAGTCAAGAGGCCATCACAAACAATATTTATATCTAAAGAGGATTGTTTTTAAATAGGCATTATTTATTATATATATTAATAATGCATATATAATTATGTATATATAAGTTATTCACTTTGTCACCTCAATTCGTATCACCTCCTTGATGTCAAGATCATTGGAACAAATTGGAACGAAATTGCTTTAAAAAGAAAGAGCAAGGTTATTTGACTGTAGGTATTAAATAATTTTGACCTTAATTCAGAGTCAGATCACATCATTGTATAAATAATATATTTTTCCTTTTTTTATGGATGGTAGTAGAACGATAACTCAGCCTTACGGTATTGGTATACGCTAGCGGGATACCAGTGAGGGATGATAGGTGAGGATGTAGTCAGGTCAGTGACCCATTTTAATGAATTCATTAGAAAATAACTACCCATTAACTAGGCCCAATGCCTTACCTTAAAATGAAAGGCTCTAAGAAAATTACACAGAGTCGCTTTTATTAAGTCTATTATGACTTTTAACCTATTAAAAAGTAATCTAACTTTTGCCAAATTTTTTTGCCCTACCTTAAACTTGGCTCTAGCTACGGCTATTCATTAATTTATTCATTCTATTGAAAAAGTCAATCATTCTTATTCATAAATAGTAAAACTTGGGGGGAAAGGGATTGTTAGTAATGGAGACTGAGAATCCCATTGCTAGCAATATACCCAAATAGGTCGACCTCCTCGCGGTTCTCCCTGGAAACTATCATTGCTAATTCCTGATGAATTCATCATGATGCGCTAACTGGCCTTTTTTCATTCTCATCTATCACCCTTTACTGGTGCTCCGCCAGCGTATCCCGTTAGCTCAGGCGGGGTTACCATACCATTTTCACCCATCAAAAAAAAGTATATATATCCCAAAGTATATTGATATCTCAATATAAATATATTTCTAGTGCCCTTTCGAGCTCCAAAGAACACTCACGGAAGGGGCAGAGGAGTCGTGGGTGACGAGTACAGCTCGCCGTGCAACATGGCGAGTCTATACAAACATTACAGAAGAATACATTAGTGCTAGAAATACCACGTAAGTATTAAATCAGAGCAAATTGTTCGTTATTAATCACAATGTAATATTTTATGAAATACCAACTAAGCTAACGGTCCACTTGTTGGACAGTAATAGGTAACCTTTGTCTGTGGATATGCATCATAGATGTTACAGAATACACTGGTGCGTTTCTTTGGCATTTCTGAGGATTAAGATGTTATTATAAATTGAAATAAACAAGTTGAATAACTTAAATAATTAAAGATTGTGTGCCACAGAAAAAAAACGGCTTCAATGTAATAAAACCAATTATTTTGTTTTAAAATATAAACTGCTGAATCGATTATTTGAAAATTTCGATGCGACAAATGTTTATTTATATATCTATTTATTGCAGATAAAAATATATTTTTACATTAGATTATGTTTTTGGAAACTCTTGGAAACTTCTGTAGCTAACTAATCATATTTATTTTGAGTATGCTGATTGAAGTAGTTCTTATAGTTATGTTGTAATAATGTGGTTACGAACAAGGTTATGCGGTTTTAATATTTATTTTAATACTTATTTTAGACTTAATACTCAAATTGTTTTTGTAATAAATTCGGTACGGTATATACGTACTATTTTTTTTTTTTTGTAATGGATGTAGATGGAATGATGCACCCATTTATAATAACGGTATACAATGCGGGGCATTAGTTAAGGATGAAATAATGAGGATGAAGTCATTTTGTCATTAAGTCATTGCGACAAATTATCTAGGAATAACCATGATTGTTTCCAGGAGGACCGCGTGGAGCGACCTGTCAGGGTGTATTGCTAGCAATGGGGATAAATATCCACATTGCTAACAATCCCTTCTTCCCTTATCTAATCTATCTATCTATCTTTCTATCTAGAAAGATAGATAGATAAAATTTTTATTTGAGCCATTTATGACACACGTAAATTTACAAATGAGTTTATACAATTAAATTATTTACACTTTTTAAAATATACAACAAAAGATAAAATATGAAAATATAGTTTCGCCATGTGTGTCGCAGTGACCCAAATAAGCTGCAGCTCAGTGATGTTTTTGCTTAAAAGCAAAGCACTGATTTTCAGCTGCAGCCTAAAGTTAGGCTACATGCACGCGTACAACAAACCCAGAGTGTAACCTGTATAACCAATTTAACAGCCAAAGATAAAATTGTATTATATAGATAGATACTTACATAAATACTAATAACTAATACTGTTTTATATACTATGTACTGTGTTATATATTTTTTTTTAACTGGTGAAAATGAAATAGTAAACCTACCTACATTTACGGTATACGATGGCAGAGCACCAGTAAAAGATAGATAAGGATGAAAACATGTTAGTTCACCGTGACTATTTCCACAGAAATTTACTACGATGGTTTCCATAGGGAACTGCTTCAAGGTCGACCTGTTAGAGTCTATTGTTGCTAGCTGTTAGACCCTATTACTAACAATCCCTTTCCCCCAACTTGTTTTATATTTGTTTAACGTTTGCTTTTTAGAAATAATGATACATCACCTAATGGTAATCAGGGGGGGGGGGAAGGGATTGTTAGTAATGGAGACTGACAATTCCATTGCTAGCAATATATCCAACCAGGTCGACCTCCTCGCGGTTCCCCCTAGAAACTATCATGGTTAATTCCTGATGAATTCATCATGATGGGCTAACTGGCCTGTTTTCATTCTCATCTATCACCCTTCACTGGTGCTCCGCAAGCGTGTACCGTTAGCGCAGGCGGGGTTACCATACAATATTCATCCATAAAAAATAAATTCTAATTAGTCTCAATCTCGTATTGTTACTCCTGTGGAGAATGAAAATGGTTATATATACCTAAATATAATATTTAGTATATATTTGTTCGAAACGTAAAAAAGAAGCTGTACCTATTATGAATACAAGTCGCGCAGTCATTATTAACAATCTATCAATGGTATTAATGTACTCACATATTGCCTAACAGGGGTATGATGTGCCAACTGAGACCAGATCTGGGCCAGTTCGGCGTGTACAGACTGAACGTGACAGGCGATGGTTGTGACATCAGTACTTCCAAGGAGCCAGTCGACATTTATAGACGTAAGTACATATTTATTAATATAATGTCATCCTAATGTGTATATATATATATGGGCAGCAGCGTCTCTCTTAAAACATCTCTAAAGCCTGACTGCGGTTGCCAAGTCGTCTAAGAAGCGTGGCAACTACTGGCTACTGGCAAAACCCCCCAAAGAGGGAAACTTATGTTCAGCACTTGATGGTTAAGGGCTGATATGATGATGATGATGATATATATAATTGATTAATATTATTTGATTGATTAATTGCATTGGACAATAAGGATAAAAGAAGCAAAATTCGAAGTCTAAAGTAACATCATCGCTCATAATGGATATATTTTTGTTTTAACAGACAAAAAATAGCTATTGAATTTGAAAGACAGATATTTTATTTATTTGCAAGTTGTGGTCCGTTTGCACGCGTATTGTCATGTTTCCTGTTAAAAATGTAAAAAATGTGTAAAATAAAAAAAAAATCTTAGTGGATACGTATGTTATATTAAAAATAAACCTATTTGTTTTTTATTGTTAGGGAGGCAAATGATACCAAATTTAAGTTTTGTGTACTGAGTAACTTTGTGTGTGTGTTGATAACCGTTCAGGTCAAACGAATTTATAACTACAGATAGATTGGTATTCTTTGTAAATCTTCACTATAAAATTATATGAATAATGAGAATATCTAATAAACAGGAAAAGCCATTGGCAAAATTTTATTAATACTTTATTTACACATAGGTACCTATAGCTTTACCACCTACTAACTATAGTTTTCAAACACTTAATACACACACAAATCCATAAACATACATTATACAAACAAAAGAAAGATAAAATATTTAATTTATTGTCAACTATTGTTTTTTTTTTATTTTCCCTTTGCCGTTTACATATAATTATCTCTGGTCCTTGACATAAATACAGCACTGGCCATCGACAGAAGTGAATACTTACCTGTTGAAGATATCTGTGATATCACTGTATCGGTTGATGGCTGTATTTATCTTTACACTTGTCCTCTATCGTCATCTTGTTTACCTATAGATTATCTCAAGAAAAATTATAATATTATTGTAGTTAAAGGTAGTTTTTTTAGTTTCAAATATAAGCAAATATTACAAGGCCTGAATAATGTTAAAAGAAAAATAGTCTACATTTCGAAGGTTTACAATTAAATAGTATTACTTATTCTTTATTGTTCACAAAAACATAATGTTAATCACAATTCATTATAAACATAATGTACAAAGGCGAGCTTATCTCTAATAAGAGATTTCTTCCAGCAAAACCTTTTCATGTAAATTGTGTTATTTTAAAAATAAAAATATGCAGTCATACGATCTGCATATATTGATATGCAGATAGATAATATATAAATATAATAGATAAAGAACATGTAATAAATTAAAGAATAATAATATAACAACACACCGTTTTACACGTTTCCGTTACATGTTACTGTCTTTATGTCCTGAATAAATAATAGTATCCTATAAATTATCGTATGGTTTGGAATCAATCAGGTTTTATTATAGCTGATATACAGGATTAAATTTAAATAAAACATACTATTATGCAGTTATATCGGTGTGGTTGGCATCAAAAGTCGATGAATATATTACGATTTTAAAAATCACACACATCATTATAAGTATATTCGTACCTATTTGTAGATTATTTAGTTAATTTTGGCATTATACGACATTTATTTCCGGCGATAATCTTGTTGAAATGTTTAAATGTAGGGATTTAAAAAGTCTAACTCCATTATTCATAAAAACGTCAACACCTCTTATGAACCTACATTAGTTATTGAATTGTTTTGTCTCTTTCTTTTCTGCTAAATTCTCAGTTTGAATGAAAATGACAAAATAGTGTAATAGTTAAAATACTACATTTATTGTTGTTATATTGTAACAAACTACATGTAACAATGTTGACGTACAAATAAATAAATAAATAGAAATCTATTTTCCATTTAAGTATTACGTAATTATTAACTTAATTAAAACTAAATTCTCCTATAAATGTAGGAGGTTTTAGATTTTATGAATAAGAGTATATACGTACGTGTTGAATGACTTTTGTGCTGGCTATACATTAGCAGTGACGTTATTGTAATATTTTCGAACTTCGTACGGTACTGGCTCGATCACAATCGATTTAGGTTGTCGGGTATACCCACATTGCATTGTTGGTATGCGATTGTGGACGATTCTTTGAGCCTTTATCTTTTTCAGTGTATGCTAATGTTGACAATTGTCGTTGAACGATGAAGGTCAGCCGAAGCTGTTTACATAACGGTACACGGTTTTTTATTAAACTAACTATTGCCCGTGGCCTTTCACGCGTAAAATTTGTCTTTCTGCTCAAACGGGATTTCTGAAAAATTCTATCTTAGTCAAAGAACATAGCATCTAGATTTTTTGAAATCCTATGATTATACTACTTATTGCCTGCGACTTCATATGCGTGGATTTTGGACGTTTTACCCCTTTAGAGATTGAATTTTCGAAATTTCTTTCTTATTGTTCCCCTATGCTATAAATTTATATAGCCTATCTGTGTGTGTGCATCGATATGGGTACAGTCAGTCAATCAATATACATATATAGATTTTTTTTTTAAATATTTTAAGGGCTTTTACCTTCTTCACATATATAGATGATCATTCAAATAATAATAACTTGTAAGACCTGTACATTCATATTTGTACAGGGAGAGATTAATTATTTCTCAGAGTGTGATAAGATTTCGCTGGAGTCTGTTAGAAAATATATATTTTATGACGATATATATTTTCATGATGAGGTACAAGTAAAGAGTCGTTCATTAAATTTAGAGGCATAAAGCATGGAATATATATATATATATATATAAATATATATAACATTAAAAAAAGTGACATATTGAAAATAAAACCTAAATATGATTCTGACGATGACGATTTTTATTTTTTCTGACGCAGCTTAGAATGACAAATAAGCTGATGTTCTACCCAATGGATGGATTTGTTACCGTTGCGTATAGACATGAACATAACAGAGTATACTGTGTTGCCTACGATACCCTGCGTTGCCATGCCTGAGGACTAAGATGTTATGTATCATGTAATTTCTCTGCCATATCTCACTCTTCAAGCTGAAACACAGATTCTTCTTTACTCTTCACTTTATTTTTACTCTGTCACTATAATTTATATATATATATACATATATAATCTACGTAGTTTTTTCTAAGTTGATTAATCAAAAAATAACATACTGACTAATCTTCAAGCGACGTCACTGAACAGAATAAAAATTAATTTTCGGTTCTATCAATATATTTCACGGAATGTTAACTCAAAGAATTTACAATTTGATTTATATCCTTTTCTAACAGTCTCGTGATTTATTGCTCGTGACAGATATTAATTATTGCTTAATGTCTTGCTTCTACAATAAATTTTAAAAGAATTTAATTTTTCGCACCACTTAAATTGTATTTTGCTACTCAGTTGTTTAATAATAGAAAAACCGATAATTGAGGAGCGAGAATACAGTCGGGTGACGTCACAATTTTCAGGATCTGTGGGCATGTACCCATTCTCCTTTGATCGGAACGTCGATTAAGTTATTTTTGGCCACCATTTAGTAAAAAAGGTCATGGTTATAAAATACACACTTCTTTAAAATAGTGCCTTCCACTGCCTCATTTTTTTGGGGTTGCCATCAACCATATGATCTGCCTGATGATCTCAACAATTGCAATCATTGACTGCTTGTAATACAAGAGACGGATGAAAGTGGATTGATAGTAATGGAAATTTGAGGCCTTATTGCTAGCAATATACCCCGTTAGGTCTTTTTTAACCCTAACCTTTGTAACCCTTCCCGCGCTACCAATATACACTGGCAGGGCACCAGTGAGGGATGATTTGCCAGGATGAAAAGGCAGGTCAGTTAGCCCATCGTGACGGATTCAACGATAAATTAGTCACGATAGTTTCCAGTGGGAACTGCGTGGAGGTCGACCTAAAAGCGTATATTGATAACAATGAGGACTAACCTCTCCCTTACTAACAATCCCTTACCCCGTCAGGACGACCCCAATTCGGTACCCTTGTAAGTTATTGTAGATAATTGATAATGAATTCATTACTACATAGCAATTGATCTGATTTTATCGTCACATATTTGTCATTAGTATTCGGCGTGCATATATTAATAGTGCAAGCAGGGTTACCATTTCAATTTCATTCATTAACTTCACTTACAAGTATATAATTATTATATTACTTATTCATGATTGGACTATATACTAATTCCAAATTGTTTCAATTTCACAATAGCATATAATTTTCATATCATTTAAATAATACTTCTAAGTAGTAATAATATATGCGCCAATTAATAGTTTTCCTTCTGTATTATATTTCAGTAAACCTACACATTCTTCATTTGAAGATTATTGTATTGAGTTGTTCATTCAGAATGACAACTATAATGTAATCAAGGCAGCTTACATTTTTCAATTTAGTGCACCTATAGGATTCCCAAAAGCTGCCATATTATATCGCTACGTCTTTTAATAGTTGGCCCTACTCTATATTGACGAAACTGGAAAATTAATCTACGTAACCATTTAGAAAGTATCAACTGAATAATAGCGTTGTACAACTATTTATAATAAGCCTCTATCCAAAACGTTGATATTAAAAACATAAAAAGACCTATAGCTACTTTATAGAGTACAATTTTAAAATACAATAAGCTGGTTGCATAGATTTAATACAAACTTTTTTTGTTCGAAGTGACGTGGACCTAGACGCGAATTGATAATTAAAGTGTTAGTTTTTTTTTTTTTTTAATTTAACCGTAGCATAACTAAACTAGGTATTAGTTGAAACAGCTATCCAATGAAACGAGAAGATGAATAGACTGGTCACGCACTAAAGACGGTGAAAATTTATGGAAATCTGGCGGCACTAATATTTACCTACTGTAGCAAACCGCTTTGGGCCAAGAGAAAGTGCTATGGTGTCTATAAAATTTAAAAAATCGAATACATTTATTGACGAATTGCTATAATGTACGACTGTGTCTGCGTTATATTAGTCTATACTTATAATAAATCTGTAGAGAGGTCAATTCTGTACATGAAATATATTTCCAAAATAACTATCAGAGGTTGATTAGTGGTCGATACTGATGCCAAAAATGCAATCAGTAAAATTTTTGGTCTGTCTGTCTGTATGTTTGTTATAGAAACAAAAACTACTCGACGGATTTTAACGAAAATTGATACAATTATTCTTCATACTCCTGGGCAGGTTATAGTATACTTTTCATCACACTACGACCAAAAGGAGTAGAGCAGTGAAGGGAAATGTTAATAATGCCCACCCGTGCGACGCCGGGACGGGCCGCTAGTTTAGAATATAGTTTATATGTGTATCAGTTTCATTTTACATTCTTTTACCGTAATTGATAGCAACAAATATTTTTAAGAACTTTCATAAAAGAGAAGAAACATTAAAACTGCACTGTAGGTAGGTACTGTAACATATTATTTTTATATCTCCGAGAAATAGTGACGAATGGGTAATAAATATCTATTTGCTGAAGGTGGAATTATATCAAACAAATAAAGAGTAGATATAGAGTAATTGTTAGAATCCTACTACTAATCGAAATGTGACAATTTGTGGGGATGGATGGATGTTGGATGCATCAAACAAGATGATTATATACGCTGGCGGAGTACCAGTGAGAGATGATAAGTGTAGATAAAGGCAGTCAGTTGGTCCATCGTGACGAATTTGTCAGTAATCAACCACGATGGTTGGAGGCACCACGCGAATCAAGGTGGAGAGGCAAGGAGGTCGGTTTGACAAGGACAAGACAGTGTATTGGGCTATATTGTACTGGGGCCTCTATTTCTCTGCCTCTTCAATCCCTTCCCCCTAGAAAAACAGATTTGGTATAAATAAAATATTTTATATACAAATAAGTTTATTATAATGCAGTGAAACTAATTTGTATTCAGTATCTCCTATTTAGTGGGCGGGATGAGGAGGCGACATGATCATCTCGTTGCTCCAAATCTTTTGTGCAATGTCTTGTGATTGAGCTAATAATGTATACCATCCGTTTGGCGGCACACGACCTACATATGTTGTTAGTCAACTGTTTTATTGTCTCTTGTATTTAAATTATGTGAAATGTTAATCGTATCGATTCCAGTTAAAATCTGCTCTATCTAAACTAATATTACAAAGAGGAAAGATTTTTTGGTTGGTTAACTTAAAATTTACGTATTTGGTACGGCGAAGGACATAAACAATTTTTTGTCTTGGATAGATAATTTAAATTCCGCTCAAGCTTATGAAGTTGCTACCTGCAACTACAGCATTTTATTTTTAACGGATGAATATGGAATAGTAAGTTCGCTGGCATTATCAGTATACGGTGGTATCAGTACACCAGTGAGATAGGTGAGAATGAAATCAGGTCAGTTAGCATGATGAATTCACCAAGACTACCACCAACACGATGGTTTCCAGGAGGAACCGCTTGGACGTCGACTTGATAGAGTATATTGCTAACAGTAAGGCTGTTAGATCCCATTAGCAATCGCTTTCCCATTCCGATTAACTCAGCATTACATTACATTCAGATGTCATGGCGATAAAAGTGTAGGTATATTATTTCGAATATGTAATTTTTTACGTAATAGTTTATCGAATTGTATGTGTTACATAATTAGTTTACTGAAGTACTTACATATAGATGAAATGCTGTTACATCCTCTTACTAAACCTTCACTTAATGTTCGTGATGAGAAAATTAAAATTTACCGTTTTCAAATACGTACAAAGATGTATTACCAACATTATTTAAGTGAAGACGTAACTAAGTTCACATATATTTTTATATAATCGTACTATCTCTATAACATAACATAATAATTGGCATTCATTTAATATTATAAGTATTGAATTTAGATTTATAATTGTCATTATTTCAATTTTTTATTATATTAAGTTATCTTTTCTTTATTCAAATTAGAATGGCACAAAAGCTTTCTGTCTACCTAATCGAAAGTGATGACCATCGCATATAGACATGAACAGTACTATGGACATAACAGAGTATACTGTATCCCCCATGATACTTTTCATGCGTTGCCATACCTGATGACAAAGGGGTTATGCCTTTGTACCTTGTAATTTCATTACCATATCCCACTCTTTAAACCAAAACGCAGCCATGCAAATACAATTGCTTCACGATAGAAACACGATTAGGACAGATGTATTCAAGCAGACGATGTTTGTACAAGACTCCCTCTGGTGGTGATGGTGTCTATTAACCCAAGGAATTGAACATATTACCATATATTTATCATTGTCATTATCATTACCACACCATTAAATGCCTTTACAATTAAAGATTGAAACTGTGTGTTCACTTCATCACACTACTCAATAATAGTATGGACAAGGCCATTGCGAAAAGGGTCAAATACGTATTGTAGGTAATTGTAGGTTGCTTTTTATCATAGATATACGTACCTACTCATGCATACTTATTTATTAAGATTATTAAGTATATGAAATTGACTAGCTTTAATTCTATGGACTGATAATTATTTGCATATAGGTAGAAGATGACAATGATGTAAAACATGGAATCACTTTCATAATAATTGACACATTTTTCATAAATGTATAAATATATCTTTAATCTTTGAGTACAGAAAATAAAAACATTCAAGATAATAAAAATAAAAAAAACATTAGGGTGCGTTAATGTCGCTAAAAAGAGATTACAAATTCCAGCGAACATTCATTAAATTGAATTGCTGGATACTTTTTCACACACTCATTATTAGGTATAACAATAATAAAATAATAGACGAAAAACAAGCGTAGAAAGCTACTTAAATATGTAGTTTTGTATAATTACTAATTACACATGATATGTATGAGAGACAAACTATTTAATATGGCATTTTCTTAATAGTTTATTGTAGTTCCCGTAATTGTCATAAAAGAGATCCCAGTAGGCCATCCTGTCGTTGTACACTCTACTCTCCATTCGAATGTCGGTGTCAATCACTAAATATGGCTTCGTGTCTTTGGTTACTGGCGACCAGGTCACTGGAAGAAGACCTGTAGCTTTTGGTGTGGGGTTACTTGAAACAAAAACATTTTTACATCATTACTAATAAATATTTAATGAACCAAAAAAATCCGAAATTAAAATTATTATTATTAATGGGAGATTGCTACTCAAAGAGACAATAGTGGACGCAAAATATTTTGTACTCCTTAGTTAATTTAAAATAAGAAAGTTGTTTAGTGTCATGCATATTATCTGTAGCAATCTTTGGTTGCCCTTAGACAATATAAGTTTGTGTGAAATGTTATATCTGGCGACATTTTTAAAACGTTTCAGAAAAACTCGTGAGTATATAAAACAATTGTTCTCTTGTTAATTAAACACGGGAAAGTTTATGATCAGCTCTTTGATTTTCTTCACCTATCCAAATGTATGTTACATGCGGATTTTCGATTTTTTTAGTAGAAAAAAGATGTGTTCAGTTTCAATAAGTAATATATAAAATCTGTTATATAATAATAAATTTAATCTTATTCAACATTTAGATATACATAAAATTAACTGATATTTTAAACTTACCCATATTTTACGAAGTTCGCCCATATGGTTGTTATTCGATCAATTATTAACTGATCTGCTTGATTAACTTCATCTCCTGCATTATATAAATAAAACAATTCAGCTGAATGCCTTGCTCCATCAGCTCCAGAATCGCCGACATAGCTGAACATGTATTGATAAACTTGAGCATTTTCAGCTACCAAATTCGTGATTGTTCTTTGCATTGGATGATTAAAAACAAAATCAGATTCAAAATCTGCCATTCTTGACAGCAAACTTTCTGCAGGTGCATCTCCAATATAGAAATGTTTAATATTCAGTGCAGCTTTATGTAATTGTTCCTCATTCATATTAAAGCTATTATCTATTTTAATATAAAACGGATCGCTGTTGAAATAGTCTTGACCACCTGCGCCTTCTTCTTGACTTGTATGGCCAATTAGAATTGGGGTATTCCTAACTTTATTTGCGTTTGATAATGAAAAAGGGTCACTTTCCACGAAATTATCAACTCCACTGAAGGATTTTTCTCTACAAGGTCTGAGTTGCAAATTTAAATCTATGGCTGCTGCAGTCACTAGTGCATGTGGAGCACTAGTTAAAAATTCTAAAGCTTCCTCAGTATCGGTTGTATTTAACCCTAAATGTTGTGCTATTTTTGTCGCTGCATGTACGTCTCCTTCAACAAACATACCATAATTTTGTGGTGTTCCACTTTCAACTATAACTTTGTGAAACAATTTCTCTTTAGACGAGTATAAATGTAATAAAGTCGCACAAGCACCGGCACTTTGACCTGATAGTGTAACATTGTAAGGATTGCCACCAAATGAATCTATATTTGACCTTATCCAACGTAGTGCTTCGTACTGATCTTTTAGACCCTGGTTTCCTGGTACTGACGGCGTATCTAGGCACATGAATCCGTAAGGTCCCAAACGATAATTAATTGTGACAACCACAATGTCGTGTCTTACTAAATTTTTTACTTTATATTCTCCAGCACTGCCGAAACTAAATATACCACCATGAATAAATACTAATACGGGAAGTGGATTAGTATAACTGGCTTTGAAAGGTACATAAACATTGAGCGTCAGACAGTCTAATGTTCCCTCGTTACTTGGTTTGTCTGGTGAAGAAGTCTGAGGGCATTTTGTTGAACCATCGTAGGCAAAGAAAACCTGCTGTTCGAATCTGGTTATTTCTTGTGCAGGCTGAAAATTTAAATATTTTAGGTTATAAATGAGTGTATGAATGGAATACAATTAATGACGTGAAATAAGGACGTGAAAATGGCTATACAGCTAAGTTATCTAACTAAGCTATATAACTTTTTTTGTCATATAATTATCTAATTAAAAGACAAAACCCTAATAAGATCTCTGACTGTGTTTTGCCAGTAGTTTCCAGGCTTAGCATGTGGGTTGGTAATCGCAGTTAGACTTTGGTGATGTTTTAAGAGGAACACTGCTGCCCATTCCTCGACCATTAAATTCCCTTAGTCACCTCTTACGATACCCACAGTAAAAGAAGGGATGGGTAAAAAAATAATCCAATAATAATGAAAACTTTATCAAGTTTTAAAGAAATTACAAGTATTAGTGTTATTCTCTCTAAATAAAATTAGCAACATACCGAAACATTGAGTCAATTATTTGAGTTTTCATTTATATAACTATGCAACATCAGCACACTGTCCTATGATCAGGCCAGTATCTATTTGTTTATATTTTCATTCAGTCCTATTGAAATAGACTACGGTCTGTTCGAAATACCTTGGTTGGCATTGTACAAGATTATTACTGCAGTTTCTCTTTAAACTGAAGAAGCAATCATAATAACTTACCCCAAATGGATTTTCCAAATCAACTTTCGCGTAAGGAATCCCCAAAAACTCTGAGTAATCACCATCAGATGCCTTGCGACCTTTCACCAGCCCTTGTTTGGTCAACACAAGGGGATCTACCCGCATATCAATACCAGCCACATAGTTAATTGCTAACAAGGCAAACAACAGAACTTTTTCCATAACTATTTCTTATCAATAACTTTTTAAAGTAACACCAATAGTTCGGCTGCTAGACAAACAATGCACTTGAGTGACATTTCTAATCACACTTAAATATCTCATTTTTATCATAACATCGACGTATTGAAAGAGATAAATCTCCATAATCCGATCCATCCGATAATGTCGTAAATTTTTTTCGATATGAACACAGAGATGAAGTGACGTCTCTCTCGATATGCCTATGTCATAAATTGAAAAATATTTAAGAAACTTGATTTACGATTGGTGATTTCGTAAAGAAATACTAAAGTATATAGTATTTAAAATTTAAACTTTAGTATTTCTTGACTTTAGTATTTATAGTATTTCTTATAGGGCCTTAATTTTGATACTATAATCTACAATTATGTTCTTGAACTGATAGCAACGTCATTGCATTATTGTAGACTGTGTGATAGCAGATATCTCATTAGATATCTGAAGAATTCGACGTGATATTGTAATAGAAAGTTTATACGTAGGTATAAATACTAGTTATATTGAGAGAAAAAAATAAGATTACGTATGGATATGAATCTTTCTGTTGGTGAAACTAGACAACGACCTTCTGGACCTCCAGCGATTCGTTAAAAAGCCAGAATAGATTTACACTTAGTAACGGGACTTAAATTAAATTTAGTAACATGTACAACACTTTACTGTACAGGTCGTTGTCGTCATGAAGGTACATTAGTAACGAGATTTTATTTACACTTAATAACGTATCCACCACAGAGGTCGTTGTCGTCACGAAGACAAATATTTGTTTGAAATATTATCTCCAAAAGTATGAGGATAAATTTTGTAATTTTGTTTTAACGTTCCGTCAGTATTAATGAATGTAGAAAATCAATTTTCTTACACAAATTTCAATAAAAATAGGTAACAAGGCATATGTTTTTGAAATATCCGTTGATTCTAGACGGGTAATTACTTTTTTCCTGATTACGAAGTCGTCAATACTTCGAGGAACGCCTTTAAAATTACGACGTATACGAGTACTTAAGTAGGAATATGTATTGTGATATAATAACAATAACAAAACAAATGGTATTAAAAATGAATTTGTTTTATATTTTGATATTTGGCAATTTAATTGTAAATTATTATACGTAGTTTTATTATTGAAATATGTAAATTATATTCCAATGATTTTCGTACGATTGAAAAAAAAAATAGAGGTGTTCAGGCCTTTTACGCACATTCCACTATCTATTTTTTTTATTTCTTTCTAAAACATTAGTCCAGGAATAGCTTAGAAGGTACGGTTTTCAAACTTCGCCTGCTCCGTAACTTTTTTCAATCACACAAAAATTGTTGGTAAATGCTTGCAAATGTATGCATTGTTTTTAAATATGTCTGAACTAGAGTAAATTTTCCTTGAATAGACGACCTAGATTATAATCGATATTACTGTAGCATGCACATGTATGTTACATACTTTTTTTTTAACTGTGCGATTGCAAATTCACAAGGGAATGCAGTTTCGCAATGAGACGACAAAAAGAAACAAAACCGGTATTTTATGATCAAGCAAGATGTAGCTGGTTACATAAGTGCAGTCACTTTTAATGCAAGCCGTGCATTCGTTTACTGCAGATGTTTTAGTTTAAAACTATAGATATGGATATTGCAAGGAAATTACAGGCTACGGACAAATAAAATCCTAGTTTTTCAGGAGTACCAAGGCATGAACCAATAACGTTTTTCTCGCCTATCCCATCGGATATTAGCGTCAAAATTCTAAATTTATAAACGCAAAAATACACAAAAAAAATGTCAAATTACTTAACTTATTACGCATTTGATACTTTTTGTACATTTGTGTCATGATCATTTTGTTTACTGACTCCAGTTGTCATGTTACAAATAATGTTTCACAGTGGGCACACGTGGTTTTGATGGCTTAGTAAATGAAACTGAAAATTACTGAATCCACTTTCTGATTTATTTCTTGTAACCATATTAATAAGTATTCTGGTCTTTATAATTTAAAATTTAATTTATTTTTTTATTTACTAAATAACTGAAAAATAATCGCAAAGACACGCTTGATTGTCCAAGCGGCGAACGGACGAGAGATAATTAACGACAACCCTATTTACATTTTTTTACTAGATCATGGATTTTAAGAAACTTAGATCCTGCCCATTAGGTTAATTATAGTAAAATGAACTGAATATAACAATGAGATTTAGACATGTTGAAGCATATAATATTGCGTACAAAATAGTATTATTTTAACTAAACTTTTAATTAGTGATGTTGCAGTTTGGATTTTGAATTAACTCCTTTATTACTTTTTTATTATTCTTAAGTACTGGCAGTTACATTCTTTATAGAAAAATAGTATGTAATATGTTAACTTAATTTGCCTTTCCCATTGTAGATAAATTGATATTTACGGTAGCTTAAACACTAGTATATGTATTTTTTATTTATTTTCGTCTACATAGAGGACGAGATAAATAAAAAATACATTAGTATATAATTGATTAGTAGCATTTGCATCAGAAGAATTGCAGTTTCCAACAAGTATGATACTAATTCTATGACAGTTGCAATTAGTGTGATGCACATATACCTACACAAAAAATGATAAAACGAATAGAGCTATTACGAATACGTTCTGGATACCCATTCAGTTGAATCGCTGCAATCTTCTTGTTAATTGAAGTAAAAAAAAAACGTAAATTGTGTGAAGGTAGATGACATCAAACGATATGAATCATTGCCTTAGTTTATATGAAAGTACCTACATATTCTTACATCAGATACAAGGAATTAATTAAATGATAATGCGTAAAGTAATTAATAGAAACTCGAAGACACGTTTCTCATTTATTGTTAGAGCTACTAATGTTACATTCTATACAGGTTCAGGTAAAATAATTTTGTATCATATAAGTATTATTATAATATGTTACAACATATATCAAAAATCTTTGCGGTTTTATGGCAAATATATTTGGTAGAAATTTGCAAATACTCAAAGGTTTTCATTAGGTTTCACTTTTTGTCATGGAGGTAAAAATCATAGATTTTTTTATACCACTGAGGTGGCAAACAAGCATACGGCCCACCTGATGGTAAGTGGTTACCGTAGCCTATGAACACTTGCAATACCAAAGGTATAAGGCGTGCGTTGCTGACCCTGAAGAAACCTCTGTACCCTCTTTTTGAAGAACAGATGATAAGATACATCATTGTTTACCAAGAGAATAAAACTAAAAGAAGAATCATACTTTTTACTAATTCATACATAGTAATTTATACCATATATATGAAGAAATTATAATACTACTCATTTACTTAATGACTTTTATTTTATTTTATTTTTTTGATGGGTGAAAATGGTATGGTAACCCCACTTGCGCTAATGGGATATGCTGGCGGAGCACCAGTGAAAGGTGATAGATGAGAATGAAAACAGGCCAGTTAGCCCATCATGATGAATTCATCAGGAATTAACTATGATAGTTTTCAAGGGGAACCGCGAGGAGATCGACCTGGTTGGGTATATTGCTAGTAATGGGATTCTCAGTCTCCATTACTAACAATCCCTTTCCCCCACTTACTTTTATATTATTATGGCTTAGTGTCAAATTTATTGCAACTTTTGAAATAAAGTAATATTTTATATACCTATACTTATGATTTATCGGGCATTAGATTATTATTATCATCTACTTGCCTACGTCATATTTTCTCATCTCATCTGAATTAAAATTTTGTTTTCACTTTTTTTTTCCTTTCTTATGGCACATTGTTTTCACTTGTTAATGAATAATCTAAATTCAGGATTCAGGTTCTAAGCACAGAGCAAGTAATCACTATCTAAGGCAATCACTATATTATTTAAGAGTCAACGCTTTATTAACGAAACTGGATAATGTACCTATGTAATCGTTTAGAAGTATCAACACTATAAAATAAAATATTCATAGTGTTATACAAGTTTAGTTATATACTTCGGATCAAAATGTAAATAACAAAACATTTAGCTATTTTATAGTGTAAAATTATCTAATTCTATGAAATTATGTGATACAACCGTTACATGGTTGCATATATTTTAAACAAACTTTTTTGTTTGAAGTGGCGCTAATCTGGTTGCTTATTTTTTAATTGTTTTTAATAAGTAAATTTGAATTTAGAATTTAAACTATTTTATTTCTTTGCATTAAATTTTCGTTTTGGCGTGTAATCACTCTTGATCTAACTAGTTTGAATTATGACGCAGTGATTACTTGCTTGGTGGTTTGAATTAAGAAGGTATTCCTTTTAGACAAGGCACAAGGCGATTTTTATTTTATTATATATAATATTAAAAAATATACAATTAAATTATAATAATATATTGGTAATTATTTACAGCTAGTAATACAGTACGGTTTCTTTGTAATTAGTTTTGTCCACCATTCGTTATAATTCTGCAGTGAAGAACTAATTCGTCTTATTGTGTTTAAATTAAAATCTTCATTTTGTAATTATTGTTTGTGCAGCTTTGCTCCTTCTACTGGGAATACTGTTGGGAGCATGGGTGCTGTACGGGATCGGTAAGCTGATTATGTCCCGAGTGCGGGTCACTGGCAAACTACGATACGGGGACAAAGAGCTCGCGATACAGCAGCGACTACGCGCACTCGACACCTTTAGAGGGTGAGGCATTTATTGATATTTATTTACTTGGTTTAATTAAAATTTTACTAATGGGATTTTACTTGTGGAATAAAAATGATTTTGTTTTAGTAGAAAAATATGTTAATAATAATCAATTATAGAATTTGTTATTACACCATTATGCAGTCTCACACAAAAGACAGAAAAATATCAGTGTTGCCAAATAATATTTTTAATATTTTTTTTTATAGTTACCCAAAATTAGTTTTGTTGCCACATATTAATAAAGATTATTCTATCTATACCTTTCTTTTATGGAGATCTGCATGCATTTAGTGGATAGTTAAGGTAAGAAACTAGGCTGCACAAAAAATATTAAAGATCGTATTTGTGAAAAGAGTAATGCCTAGCCTTCAAGCTAATAATCCTCAAGTATTATTGTGGAGTAATAAGAAATTGATTGATTGTGTTTTTTTTTACAACTTAGAATGGCAAACAAGCTGACGGCGCACCTGATGGAAAGTGGTAACCGTCGCCTATAGACATGAGCAGTACCATGGACATAACAGAGTATACTGTTTTGCCCATGATACGCCCCATGCGTTGCCATTCCTGAGGACTCAGGTGTTATTCCTTTATACCCTGTACATTCACGCCATATCCCACCCTTCAAACCGTAACACAGTCATGCAAACACAACTGCTTCACGGTAGAAACACGAATGCGACAGAGGTACCCAAGCAATCGATATGGCGTGAATTTACAGGATACAGAGGAATAACACCTGAATCCTCAGGAATGGCAATGCATGAGGGCTATCATGGGCGAAACAGTATACTCTGTTATGTCCACGGCACTGCTCATGTCTATAGGTGACGGTTACCACTTTCCATCAGGTAGGCCGTTAGCTTGTTTACCATTCTAAGTTGTATAAAAAAAAACATACTTTCAATTAGTAGAGAATAGAAGAAGAAATCAAAATTGTTCAATACTTTTCTTTTACTTTCTAAAATAGAAAATAAACAATTTATTATGATAAGTGACGTTACGTGAATAAATTAAGTAGTTACGACAGTCATTCTGCCGTATAATTTATCTCTTTACATGCAAGAAAAATCACATTATGCCGTATGGTCTCGGAATAGAATGGGCCACCCCGTGGGTGTCGTAAGAGGCGATTAAAGAAGGCTCGCCCTTCCTTGGATGGGCAGCAGCGTCCCTTTTGAAACATCTCTGAAAGCTTGACTGCGGTTGCCAACCTGTCTGCCAAGCGTGGCAAGTACTGGCAAAATTTCCCTTATGGGGAAGGATTATGGTCAATAGTGGACAGTTAATGGCTGAAATAATAAAAAAAAATACTATCAGAAGTTCCACAACCTTTCATATAAGTAACTGAGGGAACTTAATGATTGAGAGATGGGCAGCAGTGTTCCTCTAAAAAAATATGTCCAAAGGCCCACTGCGGTTGCCATTTCGCTTGCCAAACGTGGCAACTACTAGCAAACCTCCCTTTATGTGGGAGGCCTATGTTCAACAATAGACAGGTAACGGCTGATATGATAATAATGCTCAATAAATAAGTACCTAAATTAGTTAGTGTATCTTACCTCAATTCAAACCAACATAGTCAGAAAAGTAAATGCAGCTTGGCGGGAAAAACACGATTGGAATGTTTATCAATGTTAGAGTTTTATTATTATATTATCCAGATTGACTAAGTGTATTTAAATGTTTACTCGTATATTAAAAATTACGAGTACACCCAAGGAGACAACCCAGTAACGGGCGAGAATTGCAAATATGTTAGCGTTTGTATTCGGTTGAAAAGTTACCTATCTATGTTCCATACGGATTTTACTACAATGCTTGTATGCGGCAGTGTGTTTACGAAACTTATTTGTTACAACATGACTCAAGAAGATTATTGTGAAACTATTATGAGGATGTAATCTTATGTATTGAAAAGATTTCAAAGATATTTAATTACTGCATGCTATCATCGAAAGAATCGGAATCCATAATTTGATTTACGATAATTACGGACTATTGAAATAGTAATTAATGTTTACGTACATATATGTTGATATTTAATTAATGTTTATAATAAATACTTTAATTTAATTTGTAATTTGATATTATTACAATTATTTTAATTTCAAATGAGATTGTAAATATTATATTTCGAGGCAGCGGTTTTGTATTGAGTATTTATATATTAAAAATGATAAATAAACAAATAATTAAGAATCTTTTAAAAAAATAAGAATATTTTCAATGTAGACTGTTGTTTGATTTCAAATATCGAATAACAGATCGTTCCTCAATCGCATCTTATACTTATGGCCTATTTCCATATCGATTCTTAAACTTTGTACCTATCTTTTTAATTTAAATAATATAGGACTGTTTTTTTTTTCTTATGTACAGAATAGCAATTGTGTTCATGATATTCGTGAACGACGGCGCCGGCGGTTACTGGTGGCTGGAGCACGCCACGTGGAACGGGCTAGTGGCTGGCGACTTGGTATTCCCAGCCTTCTTATGGATAATGGGCGTCTGCATACCGCTCTCTATAAAGAGCGCATTCGCTAAAGGGATTCCGAGGTGGAAAATATTACTACATATTGTGAGGGTAAGCTCTTCATTGATGTAAATATTCATTAAGTTCAGTCATCTAACCAAGTGAAACTTAGTTATTGTGAAAAAATCTAATTGTTTGCTACTAAAACGTACAACAAAGTAAATACTGTTTGTCGTGCAAGTATGTATGATATAAAGTAGGTGAGATTTCATTAAAAAAATATAAAAAAGCATCTAGATAGATTTCTATGAATCTTAATGAAGTCCTCGTGAAAGAATATTAATATTACCTAAGTCTACTTAATTAGATTATATTTTTGCTGTTTATTCTTGTTTGATTTTATAAAGTTGTAGGCATCAAATCAGCACTTCATAAATACAAAATAGAAGACAATATTCATAATTTTTTTTTATTTAAACTGTAGCTTGTTCATAATTAAATAAAAATATATATGTACTTTTTTTTACGGCTTAAAGTGGCAAACAATCTGACGGCCCACCTGATGGAAAGTGCTAACCGTCGCCTATAGACATGAGCAGTACCATAGACATAACAGAGTATACTGTTTCGCCCATGATACGCGCCATGCGTCGCCAAATAGAGACAGAGAGACGAATAACTAATTCAAGTATGACCGGAAGGATGTCCCGTTTGGCTCTACGTCTTGCACCGTACACATACAGTATACATACTTTTTAAAGTTAAAACATTTAGATATTTGCGAAGCCCTGACTGATCTGACACAGTTATGTCAATATGTTGCTAAAGTACTCACCTACCGATACAATTCAATCCACACACGCGCCATTGCAGAATATCTCATTGGAAATTTTGCTGCTCGCATGCTATCTAGCTCGGCACATAGAGTACTTTCTCCATTACAAACATTAGATGTTTTTTATATGCGCATCATTCATTACACCGTCTATTCTTTAGAACTAATGAAGCTAGTGTATTTAGCGTCAATGTATATGCAACAAAGTAATTTGGAATTTCAGTCTTAATTTGTATGATATACTGACCTAGTGTAGACGTAGCTCGGTTAACATTGATCTCAAATGAAGTCTATTACTAGCTATTACAATTCATTTCGAACAAAGATTATTTTCAAGTAATATTACGATTAATCGCACTAGGCCACTTTTTCAAAATAATATTTAGATATTGAAATATCTACTTTTCTTGAGGAAGATATAGTTTGAGTTTGTTTGTTTAATAGATGTATTATATATAATGTACTCTCATATATTTACTGTCTCCTTTACATTTTTTAAAGTAAAAAATGTAAAGTAGTGAATGAACGTAGAGTGAAAGCCTGAAATGAAATATGATGATAAGAGAGACCGTGTCCTATCTGAGGCAAGAAACTAAACGACTCTCGAACTGCCATGCATGCTTGACATAAGTTTAACGATTATAACTTATGCCACCAGGTTCTCCCTGTCTATCTCGTAAGAGATTTGGTTTGAAGATATGGCAGATAAGATAGAATATTTACATTAACCAAGTTTTGCTCGTATATTTTATTCAGATCATTACCGAAAATTTAGATGTATCGATGATGTTAGATCCATTTCTATATGTTTATAACATGATATATCCAACTACCTACTTATCACGATGTTTTTTTGTGCAGCGATCCTGCATGATGTTTCTGCTGGGTATGTCCCTGAACACGATCTATGGCCGCAACATGCTGCAGCAACTACGCATCTTTGGTGTCCTGCAGCGACTAGCCGTTGCATATTTGATCGCAGCTGGCTATTATGCGCTTACTGCACCTAAATATTATACTCCACCAAGGGTATGTCTTGTTATTTTATTTATTTGTTATCTGTTACTAGTTGTTTTTGAGAATTTTGTATGACTGACATAAAAAGTAATCTATGTACTTTCAAATACTATATGTACGCCATAGACATTTACATATTTGTATTTCTTGACGAAAGTTAAAAATTACAATAAGACAAAGTATTAATTGGATTGCAGAGAAGAATTCTTTAGTCTGTGGATGGAGATAAATGAAGTCAATACTTCATTCTATATGATAATTTACACGCCACTGATAAAGTACATGTTGTAAAATGTAAAAGTCGTTTAAGTCAATTAAAGTAATATCCCTTGAGCACCATATCTTTTTAAAAATATTATATGTGCTGCTGTTTTAGTTAATTCTCTAATCTGTTTCCCATATTTTCATGTTCCAACATCTGGATTTCCAATTTGGGATCAAAATTTAACAGAAAACCTTATTCAGTCTGTTTACACTATATAATTAATGCGCAAAGTACATGTACTTTTTTATGATTTATATTTAAATACATGGCTGTAGTTTCGGCTAACCATAGCACAATGCGATATCTTTTCTCAGAACTAATTCTGTTTTCTATTACCATTACATATGTAACGAATTACCGAAAAAGAAGTTTTATGTTTAAATTCTAGTGATCACTGCTAATAACTTGTAAATTTTGGTGAATAGTTTTCTTTATTCAAAAATGCACCGCCTACGTATTTCTCGGTTTGCCCAATGGTTGACTGGTAGAGAGCACCGTCCGGTGTTAAGTCCGCCAAATGTATACAGAATTTTACTGAGCATTAAAGCTTAAATAAATAAAATAAATAAATATGCTTTTCTGTGACGTTGATACCTCCACTTCATTTCCTTCTGTTACAGTGTAATTTGAATTGATTGCAGGGTGCATGTGGTCAAGCATTGAAAGATGTGCTCTCCTGTGCATGGTGTTGGGTTCTGGCTGCCGTTTTGGTAGCTCTGCATACTGCCATCACCTTCACGATCCACGACCCCAACTGCCCAGCGTAAGTACATCTGTTAATATTAATTTCTTAACAAAAAATTACGTTATCACACCATTAGCTTAGTTTTGTAGCTTGTTGTTGAATCAGACAATGATTGTCTGGTATATCCGTATTACTCAAACCGGGCCAAATTTAGAGCAGTTTCACTTTTAAATTGGCTTAACACAGAACCGAATCCAAATTACTCAAAGCAATGTGCTTATCAGTGCCCTACGAATCCAAGTAAATCTCTAATTATATCTAGTTTGTTTCTTAAAATATATTTAATCTAAAGACATAACTGACATGATTTAAATGTTATATTATCGTTAAATAACGTAAGTAGAAACCAGGAACACAGGTTTTTTTCTATGCAACTTTGAATGTCTTTGAACAAATATACTGGTGGAAAGTGGTAACCGTCGCGATATGAATAGTACGAGTATCATAGACATCAGTTTCTATACAGAATAGTCTATGATATAGAATATACTGTGACACCTATGATAATCTTCATGCTGTTCCCGAGGACAAGGGTGTTATGCCTCTGTACCTCGTTTCGAAATTAAAAAAAAGATTTTCGTAAATAAATGCTATTACAACTTCAATGAGTATTTCTCAGATAAATTGTTATAAAATTATTAGGTGATTGGTAATAATAAATAATATACCATAAAATAAAAAAAATTAAGAGTATTATTAAGTTTATTTAAATTATTATTAAAACTTAATTTAAAATTTAAATTTAAATTATTACTTAATCTATCCTGATTTTTATTGTGTCATATAAATACCAATTACAATAAAATATTACTGATATTGCCTAAGATAATTTGCGAATCAAACTTGTTTTATAAAAAATGCATTAAAAGTTATCTCTTCAATTGTTATTTTCTGCGATCAACAGGGTTTATAATGCTCACTATAATAATATTATATTAGCAGAGATCTATTGTAATATTAGGAAATAGAATATAAATAATTTCACTGCTATATCTTTACCATTCAAACCAAAACACAGCTATGCAAGCATAGCTGCTTTATAGCAGGATCATGAGTGGAATAGGGGTACCCAAGCAATAGCAGTGGGTAATATATAAGAATATCTATATATTTTGATTATAATATCTATATATTGGCCCAGTAACGAATATGTTAAATCTGTGATCCAATATATAATACAATATCAAAATGAAGAATACAATAAAAATAAAAATAGATATTTGACCTGTATGCGCAATTTCGTAATAAATAATGACCATTTTTCAGAGAAACTTAATATATAGATATCGGAGAAGCAACAGTATTACCTATGCTTACCAAAACAAGATTTTTGTAGTTTCACTCTGCTAATTTTATGACAGTGTGATCTTGATTGCTATATAATTTAGGTATTAATGAAATTAGTTAATTTTTTTTTATAACATCATTATTTTATTTTAAATTAGAAAAGAAATTCTTAAAGAAGAAAAAAAAAAGACAAGATGAATGTAGCAGTGTTTGTCCAAATCACCTAACTCAGCATATGTGGGGGGAAATGGATTGTTAATAATGAGATTTAACAACCCCATTGCTAGCAATATACCCTATCAGGTCGACCTCCACGCGGTTCCCCCTGGAAACCACAGTGGTTAATTCTTGTTCAATGGGTCACTATGGGCCAACTGATCTAACTTTATCCTCACCTGCCATCCTTCACTGGTACCCTGCTAGCGTATACCGATAGCGCAGGAAGGGTTACCATTTCATCTTCACCCATAAAAAAACTCAGTATATGTCGCAGTTTCATATCCGAAGCTACGACACTGATTTTCAGTAGGCACTAAATACGTGACTCACGGACATACTGCATTGCCTTTTCAGTGGCTATTTGGGCCCAGGTGGTAAGCATGACGACTGGGTGGCTTCAGAGTGCAGCGGTGGTGCTGCTGGTTATATAGATCGACTGGTGCTGGGAGAGGCCCATTTGTTCCAGCAGAGTGATGCCAAAAGGGTGTACGGTGGACTACGTACAGATCCTGAGGGTTTATTAGGTAAGAATGAATTATGGAATAGTATATTTATATCAAAGTGCAGTTAACTGACAAATAAACTAAGTCATATATACCTATATATTACTCCTGGAAGGGTCAAAGTTATGGTGTGGTTACCTTAATGTAAGGTTTACGTTATGTCTGTGGGTGTTATATGTGTGACGTCATAAATGACGTTCATTTAGAGTTGTTATGCTAAAATGACGTCATTCCTGACGTCAAATATAGGGTATAGATAACACGCTTACGCGTTTTTTGACAAGGTTCTTATTTATCAAAATTTTACAAAATATGATTTTGTACAATAAAATAAATCTTCAGTCGTAATATAAAATTTGGGATGCAAAAAAAAATTAATAACAATTTAGAAAATAAGATATAGTGTGACGTATACACTTAAAAATATAAGCAAAATTACTTGTGTTTTTTTAAAGTCCCTTAAAACATAAACACTTTTAGGCATTCAAAAGCTATATAAAGCACTTGATGTAGACACTTTATTTAGATTATTACGGTTAATAACGATAATTACATTATTTTTCTATTATAAATCTATCTTTATTATAATTTTTTTTTCTCACTTGTTATCTGCAATCGGCTCTTTCATAACAGCCATAATCAGATAATGTCATGTGTGAAAATTTGCATTTTGAGGAGCGGTCCACTGACAGCTCTCTCAGAATGATTTTGTAAAGCTCTTCAGACTCTAGTGTCAAAGCTCAATACAAGCCATCGTCTCAGTCTTGTAGATTGTTGTGCTGTAGTAGTTCTCTAGCATAAAATATATAATAAAAATATTTATATCATCCTATTCTGCATTTAAAAAAAATTCTCCTATATTTTCAAAATTGCCCTTTGGCCGTGTGGTCCCGGCATAGAATAGGCCACTCCTTATCCCGTGTGTGTCATAAGAGCCGACTAAGGGAGGATGAGGGATGGGCAGCAGCATCCCTCTTGTATCATCTCTAAAGCTTGACTGCGGTTGCCAATTCGCCTGCCAAGCGTGCCATCTACTGGCAATCCCCCAAGGGAGAGGCTTATGTTCAGCAGTGGACAATTTCAAAATTATATGTTCAACTTATTGTCCTGTTATCAGGTTGCCTGACATCAGCAGTACAAGCCCTGCTGGGAGTGCAAGCTGGCGCAACAGTACTACTGCAGAGGTCGCACAAGTCGCGTATCTCACGATGGCTGGCCTGGGGACTAGTGTTTGCCCTCATTGGGGCACTTCTAGCTGGATTCTCCAGGGAGCATGGTGTCGTGCCCATTAATAAAAATCTATGGTACGTGATTATTTTCCAGTAATTTATATATTTTTTAGAATAATAATAGGAAACTAGAAGAAGTTTTCATTTAAATATTGTATATTTAATGGTTAAAAATGGAATAATACATATATGCTGGCGGTGCATTAGTGAGAGATGATAAATGAGGATGAATACAGGTCAGTTAGGCTATCATGATAAATTCCATAAGAATTAATAACGATTATTTCCAGCGGGAAATATATCATAGTTCATATTTATGTTAGCTAATATTATAAATGTGTCAGTGGGTTTTTTTTATGGGTGAAAATGGTATGGCCTGCGCCAACAGGATACGCGGGCGGAGTACCGCGTGAAGGGTGAATGAAGAACCACTATGAAGGGTGATAGATGAGAATGAAAACAGGCCAGTTAGCCCACCATGATGAATTCATCAGGAATTAACCATGATAGTTTCCAGGGAGAACCGCGAGGAGGTCGATCTGGTTGGGTATATTGCTAGCAATGGGATTCTCAGTCTCCATTACTAACAATCCCTTTCCCCCCTGTGTCAGTGGGTTTGTTTGTATATATTTTTTAGTTATAGCACTTTAATGGCTTAACCAGTCATTATTGGATATACACGTACTATATGGGTTGGAGAAGGATATAGGCTACATTTTACACTCGGTTAGTATAGATATCCCAGTCAGTAAAAACTAGTAGGTTATAAAAATATTTTTGGTTACAGGTCTATGTCATTTGTACTAGTGACATCAGCGTGTTGCCTAGTGTTGTTGAGTATTTGCTACACTTTCACTGATGCTTGGCGCATTTGGGGTGGCGGTCCGTTCAGGGCGCCGGGTCTCAACGCCATCGCACTCTACGTGGGTCATTCCGTCTGTGCCCACCTCTTCCCCTTCCACTGGCGCATCCCTGTAATGCGCACCCACGGTATACATCTCGTCGAAGCTGTATGGGGCACGGCACTTTGGGTCATCATTGCCCACGTGATGGCGAAGAAGAAAGTTTTTATCACTCTGTAAACACTTTTTGCGATTGTAACAAGGACATTTTGCTCCGCAAATTAGAGAACACGTTGCCCTGCCAAAAATTAAATACTTATTTAAAAAACAAATAGCCAAGATGATTTAAGGATTCCAATGATGTCCTATATATTTAAATTTGTCCAGGCGTTTAGAAGTTATGGTGGAATAAAGAAACTCACACAAATGAACTCTGAAAATATTTACACTCTTATGTGGCAGTCGGGTAAAAATAATTATTGTTAGAAAGTTCTGTAAGAATTAATAGACATTGTGAATTTTTAATCCGTCTATAATTTTGGTTAATAGGTGAATACTTAAATATTATTTTTGTATGGGTTTTACATACATAAAACAATCATACAATTTTTACATATTACAGAATTCTGTTGAACCGCAATGTTGATAATTCGCAATACTTATGTGCTTGGTGAATTTTGTATATAATGACTAGACCATTATGTCTTGGATCCAAGCTTGACTTCAAGTTTGATATGTTATGAATTTCTTATGTGTCCATGATTGATTCACATATGGGAGTCCATTATTTGCGTATTCAAGATTATTTTCTAGGCGAGATGGGAGGAGAGGGAGCGGGGGGGGGGAGGCTGGCCTTTTAAAAAGGCGTATATGTACTATCAGATGTCTTTAGGAAGTTTCGCTCGCATCCAAATATGGGTAAATATGGCATTAGACGATTCTGGGGTGGGCACGACCCACGATGCCCCCTCCTCAAATACGCCTTTGGTGTTCATGCAAATTGATCCAATTTGTATGATGTTGTATTATTAGCCGTTATCATAAATATTTTTGTTAACAATTTCACAAATATTGATGAGAAAGAGAGCATTGTTTGCCGTGAATACTGAAATCAAGTAGTCTGACATCTGACATTCTAGATTTGTTTGTATCTGGATACAATATAATTTGTAAGACTGAAATTTACTATAACTTTGCATTATGATTTCATTTTTTTTTCTGGAAATATTGTTTTCTAGTCTTAAATGAACTTTGTATTATACCTATACAATATATATTCCTGAATTATTTGTCTATGATAATACATTTTAAGATGTAATTTACTAATAATAATAAAAAGGTAATTAATACTAACAGTGATTTATTATTCTTTTACGTGTTCCCATGTAATGCTAATGCAGAAATTCTGTTCTGATAATATCAATATAAACTTTATACTAATATATATTTTTTTTAATGCATGATTAATGGAATGGTAACCCCGCCTGCGCTAACAGGATACGCCGGCGGGGCACCAGTGAGGGATGATAGGTGAATAATGAAAAAAGCAGGTCAGTCAGCCCATCGTGACGAGTTCAATGATAAATTAGTCACGATGGTTTCCAGGGGGAACCGCGTGGAGGTCGACCTGATACAGTATATTGTTAGCAATGGGAACTTTATACCAATATTATCTGTTAAGAATTATTTAACATTTTAATCTATAACAGACTGACATCGATTTGAAGGTTTATAAATCAGTCGGTTAATGGATCAATCGATTAATCTATCGATGGATCAGTTTATCGCTTAATTAACAGCTTGTTGGGTGGGCAAGGAGATCGAAAGGTTAGTGGGTCAATGCACAAGAGCAATTAAATATAAAACCACTGGCTTACAATATTTGACACTTTATTAGCAAGGTTGACAGTAAAATCCGTAATGTCATTGGAAAATAATAATAAAACAAACGATTCAACAAATCATGACTCAAGGTAACAGCGAATAGTTTTAACAAATAAAACTATCAATAAAATTACACTTTAAATGAATAACAAAGTTACACGGACATAAGACGGCGTGTTTATGGCTCATTCGAGATTATCATCGTTATTTTGTGTCTATGAACGATTCGATATTCCATGCTTTATCTCAATTTAAAGTATTTTATACAACATGTATACATGTTAAAAACAATATTACTCGTTGTATCAATTTTGCGTCGTTCAAATAAGTATAGGTAAGTACTTTAAGTACGCATACTAAAAATAAATTTTTGTTTGTCTATATATCGATTTGGTATGAGTCGAAAAGAATAAAAACATGTTTAAAACAAGTCACATGAAGTCACATGTATATAACATGTTTATTGTTTTATAAATGAAAATATGTACTTACAACAATTTATCTATATGTGACAGAAAACAGAGAGTTGTAAATTATGTTGAATAATAAAAAAAAATCATGCGAATTCAAATATCGAATGATCCATTAACTTCTGTCCCCAGTATGTGCAGTGTTCGCCAACTAACACGCTTAGGTGAGATTGGCATTACGCCCAATCCGCGACCTCACTGCTCGCATGCTATGCGCACAAAACTCATCCCCACACTAATTTCATAAATTAAAATATTCCTACAATCAGTTAATTTATATACGTCGATCTCAATTTATTCACTCTTTGTAGACGGTAAATGCCATATTAGGAATTATATATTACACACGTTAAATACTTTACTTTTTTTTTTAAATATATAAACTTTTTATACGTCTCAGGATATTTTTCGATATCGTTATTCACTATTCTATTATCGACACTTATTCATATTGGTAAAACAGCTGATAGGCAGGCACACATTGCAATTTCAATAATAAACTTGTATATATGTACTAAACTAGATACTTAACTTGTATAGCGAAAAGACATGTAAACACTTTTAAATAGATATTTATGTATATGTCTAAAATTTTATTAGAAAAAATCTCTTAAAATATATTTCAATTCTTGTATATTTGACCCGTGACAAGTCGGGCGATATATGACCATATATTAATATGCGCGATATAAATAGAACATTTCCTTATAACTATAAATAGGAAGAACTTTTTAAAATGTAAAAGAGAACATAGTAATTGCACACATATTCAATGTATCAATAAGATGTAATGTCCGTTTACAATGTAATTTAACCGATGACCATAACTAGACACGCATATTTTGTAGCGGGAAAGAGATTTAAAAATAAAATATTAAAATATTACGCTGAATAATTGTATCGGTTAATTTACACTGCAATATATTTTTTGTATTATTCTCACGAATGTTACAATATAAACTAATAGTAACAAACAACTTGGCTAAACATATAAATTATGCTATCGAAAATATTTAACAGTTCATACTTTTTATTTTGCGTGCGAAATAGTAGTATATATATTTTTAGTAGACAGCAGATACTCGCACGAAAATATATAAACGATTTATGTGTCTATAATTTACGACGAAATAGTTTTTATATAGGTATTTGTTGTTACCTAAGTTTGTATATTATATATTTAATATGATTAGTGTAATAAGTACTCGAGCTTACTTTAAGTCACTCACATTGATAGTTAATTAATGGAATGTTTAGTATTAAAAGAATGTAGCGTATAAAATACAAACGCAGCTAAAATGCTGCTGCGTTTGACATTTGCAAAATTCTGAAATAATTTATTGGCAAGACCAGGGTTCCATTTCTACTTTATCACTATTGTAATATACTTTAAAATTTGATTTAGTGCTCGAAAATGATTCAAAATAATAAAGCATAGCCACTTTAGTTTTATGCCTTCATTATATTCTTATGTCAGATATTGTCTTTGGAAATCTATTGATGGTTTTTCACACTATTTTTTATAAAATCGTGTTTATTACCACTTATTTTCAGTCGCTTCCTCTGTTCATTTTATCATGTATGAAATTCACTAAACAAATGGATCGACTGATGATTCGATATTCAAGATTTGACGTTGGAAATTTAATCGATGTCCGTCTATTTATATATTTTTAAGTAGCACTCAAACAATTGAGTTTTTTTTTTCTTTGGCTATCCAAAGATCTGAACATTCTTTCCTGGTTGTGATGCCTGACATGACACTAAAGTGGGTACTTAGCACTGTTCCTAAGGGCCTGCAGACGAGGGACGTAGTGTTCACGGAAGACAAAATGCCCCTTTGTGTTAGCCACGTACTTTGTAGCGTGCCATTTAATATGTTATGACAATCAAATATTGTCCGTAGACTGCGCAGGCCTTATTCGTGGTACCCCGGAATACATTTGTTCTTAGATTATAAAATTTATATAATTTAATATTTTCCTATACTCCATGCGTTAACGCATGGTGCGGTTGTCATCCACATCAGCATTACACTGTGGAGAGTATATCTGTAGAGATTCCAAGACGTTAAGTTTAACAGACATTTGTATTATGTTAGAATATGAAAATACTTTTGATAGTAAGTAGAGGGTTAATTAAACGATTATATTATTGTTATTGTGTATTCATAATATCAGTTCTCAGATAACACGATTACGTCTATGACCTAAAAAGGACGTCATTTCTCAGTCACTTTAATGTCTTAAAATGACTAAAAAGGAACGTCTTTTCAGCCCTCTTTGCACGCATCGCCATGTTACTGAGGTTACGTTATATATTATCCGTTGAAGGCAGGCCGTTTTTGTACTTGTCGATTTCAAAGCGTAGCATAAACTGAGAGTGAATACAGCTAATGTTCCTATCAGCGGGTCTCCATAACGAGACCCATTTACGGTTCTACGAGAGACTAGACATAACCGACGTAATAAACTTGTCATACAAATCGGTATATATACAGGTCTTTAGGGAAATCACTGCAATCCTCGAAATAGAGGCAGTTAAACGTTGATTTTAATTATTAAATAAACACTTTTCAAACTTAATAAAATAAGTTGGTCTTAAAACAAACTGCTAATTAAAAAAATTTTTGAACTTATATTCAGTATTGGCGAATATATCCTTAACTTCAGATATAAAACTATACGTATAGTTGAAATGAGAATCCATATTTCAAGTCAGTTAAAAAATAAAATGGTGCAAAAATATTAATCGGGTATATCCGTAGTCATGAAGATTTAAATTTTGAAATGACTTAAAAACGTTCAATCTTAAGGTTCTCAATTCGCCTGTATTTTACTATGTTAGGCGATTTTTCGATAATTTTGAACTGATTTTAATATTTCTTTTTGATTTTTTTTATTTACTCCCATTTTGGTCCTATATTAATTTGTCATGATTGAAGTCGCTGTTTTCGTTTTATTTTAGGAAAGTTTGTTCTTAAATCAAATAGTGGTACGTATTCAATATCACGCATTGGGTCGCAACTTTCGAAGACTGCGGTCATTTCTCTTAAAGCCTCTATAAATTCTCTATTAGATACATACATCTAACATTATCTTAAATACAAGATAAAATCTCTAGGGTGATATACGTTTCGCTATAAATGCAAATTCATGGAATTCAATATTACTCGGTAAGGCGACATAGGTATATACACCGTTCACCTTACATTATTATGCTACAAGATTCCCTATATAAGCACACGCGACACGACAACCTAATGTTTTGTAAATTCGTATAGAGATGTTAAAGAAAATATTGAGACTTCACATAGAAATAATTTAATTAGTTTACTTAAAAATTGCATATATGAGAAACCGATCCGATTTCATAAAACATTACAGGGTAATGTTTAGAAATCTGCGCAACATAGATTAGCCGTCGTATTGGAGTTAGACATATAATATTGAAATTGATTGATATGATTTCGGTGTATTCTCAACTCCTAACTTGAAAAACAAACTTTGCAATGCACTCGTTTCAATTTACTATAAATATACGTGACGCAAAACATTAAAATTTATTAGGCCAACAACGTGACAATTATTCTGTCGAATACATGTCTACAACCCATAATTATGTGGTATAAATACGTCCTGCGAAAACGTTGGCGCAGCATAGTGACATATCAGAATATTGTATGCTTTGGGTAACAATTTATAAATCCTTAACCTAATTGCATATTTTAATAAAAACACGCACAAATTAGAGCTTAAATTATGTAACGCTTCTAGAGCATTATAAGAATATATTACGAGATTTCAATTAACGCATACGTAACTATCGACCTTATCTTAGAGCCCAGTATTAACCCTGTGATCGAGTCAGCGCCTCTCACACGCACGTCAGACGAAATTGAAGAGCTGTTAAAATAAATATCTAGTGTGGCACTTGACAGTTGGTATACCTATAATCGGAACGCAGGTATAACGGATCCAGCACCACAGCAAACCTATTACCTACTAATATAGTGAGCAACCATTCAAACGTTAACAGTCCACCCCATTGGGTACCGCCGGTTCGTTTCATTAATGTAAATACATCCAAAATATACATCGGTAAAAATATAGGTACTCCGAAACGGGGCAATTTATATTACGACCAACTATCGAACTGTGAGAATCTCGCCGTTTACGTTTCCTCACAGCCTCAGTATAAAGCGCCGCCGCCGACGGTGACGTCACCATAACGGACGGAACGCGAGCGGGTGCGGCGCGGTGTGACGTCACTTGGGCCTGCCGTGAGACGTCACTTGCGGGCGCTGCGCGTCACCAGCGCCTGCAGGGCCGCCAGCTGGCTCAACAGGCTGGCGTTCTTTTGTTCCAGGGAGTCCACCCGTTTTCGGTAGTCCGTGTTTTCTGATACTAAGATCTCGACTTTCCTCTCGAGTTGGTCCATGTATTCCTTCTTCTTGCGTCTGCTTTCCTGTGCTGATATCTATAATTGAAAATTAATATAATTTATTTAATTTATTCACATATTAAAAATACAATTAAGATAATAAATTTGGTTTTTAGATTTATATGAATTTGGAATTGGGTTCTTCCATTGAGATTGCAATTTTTTTTTTAATTACGTATTCTTCTATACGACTATTACGGCAATCAAGTATACGGTTTGTCAGATAGTAAGCGATTACCGGAGAGCTAACCTTATTTTTTATTTTCCTCCTTATTTTCTTGAGCGATTTTTCTTCAGCTTTAGTGAGAGGTAGACGAGTTGGAACTGGATATCCCTCAGCCAATAATGTTCGTTTTTCTTCTTCTGTTAGAACCAGCGTGCCAGTAGAACCTTTCTGCAAATTGAAAAAAGAAAGATTAATAAGAAAATTTTAAGATCATTGTATAGTTATTAGAGTCACCCGGCTCGAAGGACCAAATAATGTATTTATATATATATAAATGAGTTATTGAATAATATTATTAGTGAATGAAAATCTATTCAATAGTTCTGCTAGAATTGTGGAAAGTTAGAGATGTATGACATCTCTAAAAAAACTCTTATAATGTAAAAACTGGGTAAATTTTTACAAGTGACCAATTTGGTCCATATGCCTCATAGATCGTGGGAAGAAAAAAATAACAACTTCGAGTCACTTCAAGAATTAGATTCTTGTTAACAGTTGAAGAGATTTTATCAAAATTTGGTATACAAATGAACTATATCGTAGTTTAGCATATAAGATACTTCTGTCCGTCAGGACAAACTTGCTTTTGTAAATTATTACAAATGCAAAGTTGTGGGATACAGCGTCTATTATAACAAAAGTAATTGATTGAAATACGTACCGGTTGACTACTAATAAGTGGCGTATTGATGGGTTGTCTAGAATGGTGGGACATGTATAGGTGGGGACGGCGTCCGGAGGTTCCTGTAGTGCCCGCTCCCCCACCCCCCGTACCACCCGCCACCCCTACACCTCCCGTCTCGTGCGCCGGCGACAATGCACCCTCGCTGTCTGATGACGATAGAGACGACGGCGGCGTTGGGGGCAAGTTGAACCCTGGGGAGAGTTGATTAACTGCTTAATCATTAGGTATACAACAGTATAATAATAAAAGACAAGAATTGTTCTGCTAATCCTCTTTTTGTGGCCAGTCTACATGAAATTAAATTTTGAAAGTACTTGATAAATAACATCACCAAGTTTCCTTTAAAGAGCTTTATACCTGAGGCTGTAAGGCCTTCCAGAGAACCAGAAAGAGATTTTGTATAAAAGTCATCTGCTTTAAATACCTTTGTACCATTACACACATTTGTGCTATTTCGATTTGCAAAATGAGATATGGCACTGAAATTACATACGTAGGGTAGGCGTGCCCTAAGTAATGCCACTTTTGATCAAATGACCATCATCAGATGGGCCATCCATCTGATCGCCCATCGGCTTGTTTGTCATTCTAAGTATTATAAAAAAAAAACTTTAAAATGCGTTACCTGAACCACTCGAACTGGATGTGACTTTAATGGAGAGCTTGTTGGAGCTGAGTGAGTTGGCTAGTCGCGGCGCGGCGCTGAGCAGCAACTGTGGTACCCCTGCCGCACCCACTTTTTGGAGCACCGCTTGTGGCATGTGGATAGTTCCCGTCTGAAGACAACAATTATAATCTATTTTAAAGCTTAATTATTAATGTTAGCTACATAATGTTACATACTCTAAGACATTGTTCTGTACAATAATACAGTAATGTTAATAAAACAATGTGTTACAGCTTCATTTCATCACCAGGACACACTTTACTGATCAGTGACGAATAAACTGGTCATTGCACTAGCGTGTAGGTACGTCCACCTATTCTATACCGGCACCACATGGCCAGCTCCTCACTTACACCTCCTTTATATTAGCTTGTACTCATAAATGATCTATATTGTTTTGCAAAGGCAGTATCTATTTGGCATTGAATATGAAGGAAAATCAAGGATAAAGCAATCGAGTTGTACTTTTAATTACATTTCGCTTTTTGTATACGAATACACAAATATCATCAATTTCCGATTTATGACAGAAATCGCCCAGAGCAACACCACTTTCAAAATAATTTTAACTTATTAAATTCAATCAGTTCTGTAATGAACAATATACTTTTCCTGCTTTACATATTTAGTAAATGCAGCTCAGACAGTGTTCATATTTTAATGACAGGCTCCATCTTTTGCAATTACACAATTACTTTGATTAATTACATGCAATTCACATTAAGAATGACCATTTAACGTGTTCTTAATATTCCATGAAAACTGCCCACGTCGTATTTGGTTATATTGCTGTAATTATAGTTATTCAGCCATGACTCCCAATTAAATAAGTTTTTGCTATGAGTATATAAGTTATTTTTTTCTTTATTCACTACATTACAAAAAAAATGTTTGTTTGTTAAGTTTCTGTAATATAAAGCAGTAAAGACCGCTTCCGTATCATTTACACTCCGTGACCTACGGCACCGAGAAAAAATGTGAAATGTAAACGTGTAAGAGCAAAAAAAGGAATGGTTATAAAAAACAACTGCCAAAAAATGGTTCACAAAATGCCACGACCGACTACTATAATTATTATTTATATAATGCGACTTATTTGCGATGATTGTAAAGTGATTTTTTTTAAATAAATTTTTACGTTCCATGTTGACATTTTATTCTATATTGTTGAAATGTTTTAGTACCGCAAAATTTAATTTTATAGTCCGGTTGCAGTAATGATAATGGCGAAGCAACGAATTCGCAGTAATATGTCAAAGTAATTAATATTCATGCTGCAGATAAGCGTATGTATCTACATAAATGTCATACTAATATAATGTTGTTTTTGATATTTAAAAATAATTTACAAGGTTCAGGATTAGCTGGCGAATGAAAATTTGTGTTAAAATTTCCATTCGCCATAAAGAAAAATCTAGGAGTAAAAAGTAAATGATTGTCCTGAATTGTATTTTTTTTGTTTAATCGATTTTTTTTAATATTTGACACATATTTTCTTAGATAGATAAATAATACGTCACAGAATATTCCCTGAAATAGACAACAATAGAAAAAAAATTAAAATTCTACTATATGATAAAATGATGAATTATTAAAATAGTTTTTATAAAATTATAATTAAAATAAATGTTTCTATTGGTTCTTAATATCTATAACGTTTCAAATTAATATAACAAATTATCATTATCATCATATGAGCCTTTAACTATCCATTGTTGAACATAAGTCTCCTCCTTGGGGGGGTTTTGCAAATAGTTGCCACGCTTGGCAGGCGGATTGGAAACTGCAATTAGGTTTTAAAGATGTTTTAAGAGGGACGCTGTCCATTCCTCGTCATTCTTTAACCGTGTGGTCCCGGCATAGAATAGGCCACCCCTTATTTTCCCGTGGGTGTCGTAATATAACAAATAATATGTATAAATTGTCAGTCTCTCTGCCTACATTTTCATGCTAGAGCAAGAGGTCACAACTTCATTAATAGCTTTTGCATCGAAATCTAACAACGAATGTATTATTATAGCAATTAAAAAAAACAATGAAAACTATTTAATAATTTTAAATTATATAAAAAGTGGTTTATTTAGTTTTACCGTGTGGTCAATGACATAGTCGAGATGTGTAACAGGTGTGCCGGGCGTCGGTGACGGTGGACAGGAGGACGCTGGAGACTCGGGTTCCGATTTGGGTTCCCTCTTCACTTCCCGTGGGGGGGAATCGCTGGATCGCCTTCGATTACTCCACGCGCTCGCTGGCATTGCTGGGTAACATTCGTCTTCCATATCTGAAAATAAATAAATAAAATAATAGATAAAGAGGTACGATACAATTATAGCATTTTCTGGTCCTGGAGATAAGATATATGGTTGTAAGAAATCAGATAACGAATTTAGTGCAAAGTGCAGAACACCCAGAACCGAGTCAATTTAGGATAGTTCGTTTCCTAAATTGTTCTGACTGAGAATCAAACCAAGTATTTCATTTACGCAAAATACTAGCGTAATGTAATAACATAGATGTCACTATTTACAGAGCTTATAATGTTAAAATAACAACTGTGATTAATTATAATTAGTCGAGTCCAGAGGGACACTTTATACAAAAGTCGATTGCTTGGGTACCTCTGTCCCATTCGTGTTTCAACCGTGAAGCAGTTGTGTTTACATAGTTGTGTTTCGGTTTGAAGGGTGGGATATGGCGTGAATTTACTGGGTACAGAGGAATAACATCTGAGTCCTTAGGAATAGCATAGAATATGGGGGGGGGGGGGGGTAATCATGGGCGAAACAGTATACTCTGTTCAGTCCATGGTACTGCTTATGTCTATAGGTGACGGTTACCACTTTCTATCAGGTGGGCCGTCAGCTTGTTTGCCATTCTAAGTTGTATAAAAAAAAAGTCTGAGTTTCAAAAATATATTTTAATATATTGCAAATAATAATATATTGCAAAAGACTTTGTTTCTTTATATTTTATTTTGTTTTATTTATAATATTAGGAGGCAATTAAATACAATCAATATTAATTTTAATATTCTCATATTACATTTTGCTTTAACGACTTTGCAATACCTTTAATTCTTATTAGTAAGTATTATAAATGTGAAAGTGAGTTTGAGTGTTAATTCTATTTAAAAACGAGATTTTCAATTTGGCTGCATTTTTATGTTTGTCACCTCATAACTCCGTCACTTACAAACTGATTTGGAGAAATCTTTTTTTATCTGAAAGGATATACTTTTAGATTGATGCTATAGAAATTTTATCAAAATCAGTTCAGTGGTGTAGTTTTTAAATAAAAACAACTGGTCTTGCTACGATTGAAATAGTTTTTTTTTTCGTAGAGCACAATGTCTGTCACAAATGATGTCATAGATACAGACACTAATTAACAAATGATCTAATAAAATAAGAGCAGTGAACAAAAATAATTCTATTACGTATACTACGCTAAGGGTAAAGTTAAAAAAAAAAACCGGGCAAAGGTAGTAAAGTCTCAACCTCCCTATTTACCGCCGGCGTATCCCGTTAGCGTAGGCGGGAACCCCGCCTGCGCTAACGGGATACGCCGGCGGTATACCATTTTCACCCATCAAAAAAAAAAAAAAAAAACCTCCCCATTTGTTATTCTTCTAATGCGTTTTATAGTTATTATGTTATTTCTTCTGTTTTAACAATCACATTCTCATATGCACTAATTAAAAAGTACAATATGTGCATAAGTACGGTAAGGTGATGATTATTCATTTAATTATTGTTGCTAACTTCCTAATATTGTAATATTGCACGTATGCAACCAACCACATACCATTGGAGGGAAATGTCGGCATGCCGTGAACGTTGCGTACCTTATTAACACCTTCGATGATTTTTAAAACGGTATTATACGATTCGATTGTTTATTGCATTCTATAACCTTACAGACGTTAACTGACTGATTGATTACAAGGCATAACAGTTGGAAATGAGGAGGGCGTTAATTTTATTGCGTTTCCTCTATAAAATTTTACTATCTACTTAAGTTGTAAGAAAATAAAAAAAGTAAAAAGCATAAAGCAGGGTATTCTCAATTCGCTTGCATTTTTTTTTTTGTGAAAGTTAGGCGGATATTTTTATTATATTTGAAATTTATGTGATAATTTGTAATCTATATAATAATTTTGTCACGATGAAGTTCTTTGTTTTTTATATTTATTTTACTGTACATTATATAGCCATAAAATAATATAGAAAACACTTTTAAATTATAATTAGTTGTATGTACGTTATAACTAATTGTAATTGGATCTTCTAGATAACTAATTGTTGAAAGGATAGTATCAATATCAGTGTAATATATAAATAATGTTCCATTAAAAAGTCACAACTAGGGTTTGCAAATATTCGATAATTTTGATATTAGAAAATTCGTTATATATTTTCCTTTTTAGAACAATATGTAAATATTTAAATAATCCAAAAGTAAAAAATAAGTGAAAATCAACGATATAGTGAAAAGTAAAGAGTATAACTATGTCTATAGGCGACGGTTACCACTTTCCATCAGGTGGGCCGTCAGCTTGTTTGCCATTCTAAGTTCTATAAAAAAAAAAAAAAAAAAAAAAAAAAAAAAAAAACTTCGAATATTCTGTTTTGCTACCTTGACAACGCTGTAAAGTAAAAATCGCTGAGTACAAAACAATTTTTTTAAGTCTATTTTTTTTTTATTTTATTAACAGAAAACGTGGATATAAAATTATTCGAATAGCAATGATTTACTGTTCGAATAATAATTCTAAAATAATTCGAATATTCAAATGCAAGCCCTAGTCACAACACAAACAGTAAAATATATTAAGACAGTATATGTAGTACTAAATCAACAAGTTAAAACACACAAGTTGATTGATCTATAAAATTTATAGACGCTAATTTGAGGTGCTATTATATGCGTATACGAACACTACGTACACGTTAATTATTTTAATGAACCGAATTTGCAGGTGAATTTAAATAATTACATTATTGAATATTAATTGGGGACGCATGATTAACTCGTCAATTGCAGACGATTTTCACAACGCAACCCAGCCTTACATGTATGTTGTGTTTAGCGTAGTATTCAGCTGTAATTAATAATATTAGATGAAACTTTCAGGCTCTTTAACTAAAGCAGTTTTTGGGGGCTCATCATATCAGCTAGGGGGTTTTGCTAGTAGTTACCATTCTTGGCAGCCGGATTGATAACCGCAGTTAGGCTTTAGTGATGTTTTAAGAGGGACGCTGCTGCCTATCCTTCAACCATTAAGTTCTCTTAGTTGCTTTTTACAACACCCACGAGAAAGGAAAGGGTGGCCTATTCTATACCGGGATCAGACGGCAAGGGGCTCATATACAGTGAATAATGTAAGTATTGAAATGATAGAAGAAGATAATATGTAAACGGAACACCTAACAGTTTTCCAATATATTGATGTAAATCTTTGGCATTTAAATCTTTATACTTTACACACTTTGGCCGAAATTGGCGAAAATACTACTGCAAATTATGCAATTACTTCTGATTAGTAAGTAAAACATTTAGAAAAAAAAAATAGAAAAAATATATAATAAATACTCCATCTATATATTTAGTGTCAGGATCTGATAAGTCAACGCAACAGTACAACTCTACAAGTGGCAATATTCGACCTGCTGCCTTGTGAACAGCGGTAGGTGTCTTTAAATGGAACAGTAACCTTGCGCTATGGATTTACACTGGCAGAGTACCAACTATGGCTAGATGAAGAAGAACGAATTCACCAAGAATGACCATATGAAAGTCGAAAACAATATTCACTGTCTTCTATCAGTGATTATTGTTGACATTGGGGATCGCTGGTTTATATTCTTCTCCTATGTGTTAACTGAAAAAATCTATCTATAAAGAAATAAAATCAATTTTTGAATGTATTGAGGTATTCAGAGGTTTCTGAAGGGAAATATTTCGCGTATTAACTACATCGCTCGCATGTGATTTTGCCAGCATGACCATGACTCCATAGTACCATTAACAAGGCACTTGACATTTCGAGATAAATCGTTAAAATGATCATCGTGCATTCACCCAATGACTGCCTTTCACCGAAATCAGTAACGAATGAAACCGTAAAAATGATTGGCTCTTTAAGAAGCGGTACCTCCATACAATGTAATGCTTATTGGTATTACTTTGTAAGTAACTTTCGAGGAAAAAACGACCACTGCGAACATGATTAGGCGAGAATTACTCAACACTAGCTGAATCTCATGACTTTGCTCACGTGAATTGAGATATCCATATATCTGTACATACAACTATAACTACTACTAGAACTACTCTAATATTAGTATTTTAAAAGGAGAAAAAAATTGGATGATATTTTCAGGTTCAAACATGTATTTAAATCTTTTGTATGCGAAATTCTTAAGCAATTATTGTTATTGAATTTCTTGCAAAACCATCCAAACATTTATGACTGAGTAAGAAATATTTTTACAATATTTAATATTTATAATCTACACTAATATTATAAAGAGGAAAGGTTTGTATTTCTGTATGTTTGTAACGAATAAACTCAGAAATTACTGGAACAATTTAAAAAATTTTGACACAAACAAAATACTACATTATCCCTATGAGTAATATAGGCCACAGATTATTATTTTACCTACCTTTGTAGAGCCAAGTCGGATCACTAGTATATAATACTCGTATTATAGCAATTAATCGCATACACATTCAAAAAAACTTAATTTGATATAAGTAATTTCATAAATTTAATTTGTGACTAAAATGTAAGTCACAAATCAATAAGAAAATGTGACATATTACACGACATAAATAACGAGAAATTGTATTGACAAATTACGATTTTCCTCCTCCTTTCTACGAAAAGAAAACAAATTAATTTCCTTGAATATTTAGCTTTATACATAAATACTAACAAAAATTACAATGAATAAATTGCTGAATCCAAATCAGTATATCAGACGTTGACTTTGTATAAAAATCGTTTGCTTACCTCTTTACCATTCGTGTTTCTACCGTGAAGCTGTTGTGTTTGCATGGCTGTAATTCGGTTTGAAGGGTGGGATATGGCATGGAATTTATAGAGTACAGAGTTATAACACCATAGTCCTCAGGATTTATAACCTATGGATGAAACAATATACTCTGTAATGTCCGTGATACTGCTCATGTCTATAATACATGATGTATACTAGGTATACCATTTCACCTGATGGAAAGTGGTAACCGTCACCGTGATGTAACGGTTACCATTTT